TATAAGCCCCCATGTGGGTGCTGGGGAACCATCTCTCCAGCTCCCTATTTTAGTTTTTGAGACAAGGTCTCATGTATTGCAGGCTGACCTCGAACTCACTACATAGCCAAGGATGGCTTTGAACTCCTGATGCTCCTGAGTACTGTGCACCCCTAACCTGTTTATGTGGTGGATTCGAGGGATGGAACTAAGGGCTAATGACCCAAAAGACCCAGGTGAGCTGGGAAACTCTGGGCAGGACACAATGATGACGTGATGGTGAGAATCCATCTGGGAAGCTCCTGATAAGCCAACATACTGACATGCATTGGTATTTACATCTTTGAGACCACAGGAAACAGATTTGCATAAAGTTCCCTTTTCTGCCCTATAAAAACCCCAAGTCCTCTGTACCTTGGCGCACACTTTCCACTCCCTAGGAGAGGAGAGGCTGCTGGCTTTCATTGCTCTGTTCTTTATTTGTTGCAAAAATCCCTGTACACTGTGTGAAAATGTATCGCTGTGATTGGTATAATAAAGAGTTGAATGACCAATGGCTAGGGAGGAGCTATAGGCAGGACTTCAGGGCAGAGAGAGAACACTGGGAAGAAGAAAGAGGGAGTCTCATGGAGATTCTGGGGAAACAATGACATGTAGAAGATGAGGTAATGTGGCAGCATGCAAATTAATAGGAATGGATTGACTTAAGTTAGAAGAGCTAGTTAGAAACAAGCCTAAGATATCAACTGAGCTTTCATAATTAATAATAAGTCTCTGTGTGGTTATTTGGGAGCTGGCTGGTGAGACAGAGAAAGACTTGCTACATTTTTTTCTTCTTTTTTGGTATTTTGAGAGAGGGTTCTCTTCGTAGTCCTGGCTTCTCTGGAACTCACTCTATGGATCAGGCTGGCCGTAAACTCAGAGATCCACCAGTCTCTGCCACCTATGTGCTGGGATTAAAGGCATGGGCCACTGCTGTCCAGCTCATTGTTCTTTTTCTGTTTTTCAAGACAGGATCTTATTTGCAGCTCTGGCTGTTCTGGACCTCACTACTTAGACCAGGCTGGCCTTGAACTTACATAGACCAAGCTGCTTCTGCCTCCTGAGTGCTGGCACTAAAGGTGTGTACCACTGCCCTCCTTCATTTTTCTGATTGAAGGATGATCTGCTTCTGAGAATGTTGGTGTCCTCTTTCTTTCACATTGCTTCAATCAATCTCATTCTAACAGGAACCTTGTTTATGACACTAGTCCTAGGAAGATGTGAACAAACGTCTATTCACCCCAGGGAGGGAACTAACAACAGCGTGGCTTGGTGATTGGACTCCTCCTTGGAACTGTAAATCAGAATAAACACTTCCTTCTGTAAGCAGTTCTTGGTCATGGTGTTTATCGAACCAACAAAAAGTAACTAACCTATTTTCCTTTTCCGTTTGGCTATGCTCATTAAGGCCACACATTGCTCTCTACAACCAATTTGCTGAAAATTTATCCTTCTTCAACGTCTCATAGAACACATCATTATAGTTCATTATTATAGAATTGTCTCAACAGTGAAACCAGCATCCTTCAGATTTGCTGAAAATTTATCCTTCTTCAACGTCTCATAGAACACATCATTATAGTTCATTATTATAGAATTGTCTCAACAGTGAAACCAGCATCCTTCAGATTGGTTTGTTTGAATGTGACTTCTGATGTCATGACAAAATGTCCAGGACTTGGTATTTTATGAGAAAAAGAGGCTTTTCTAGATAGTAGTTTTAGAATTTGGAAGCAACCCCACAGACTGACAGGCAGAAAGAGGCTTTGGGGACCAGGTTTACTCTTCTTATTACTTTCTCTTGGCAGAACAAATTCACTTTCCAAGACAATACAATTTCTTCCCAAGGGCAGTGACTTCAAAGACCCGATCATGTTCCGTGAGGCTCCGCATCTCCAGAGTGCTGGAGAGATGGTTCAGCAATTACGAACACTTCCTGCTCTTGCAGAGGAGCTGAGTTGGTTCCCAGAATCCATGTCAGGTAGCTCACAACTGTCTATAACTCTGGTTTCAGGGGCTATAAGGCCAATTCCTGGCTTCTGTGGGCACCTGCACATATAATTCGTATACTCAGACAGACATACATGCACAAAAATAAAAGTAAAATCTGAAACAAAAGTCACCAGGGGAGGATCACAGTTTGGAGACAAGAAATTTCTGGAGAAACACCGAAACCCTGTCCAAATCATGGCAATTGTTCTGCAGGTTTGATACCCTACCTCCGATCTTAAAAGCAACATTCTTTCGATATTTGAAGTACTGAAAAGAAGTGGCTGTTGAACACTCTGCCCTGTGCGGATCATCAGTACAACATCTTCCATGGCTTCGAGAACATTGCAGAAGATGGGGTAAAAAGCATGAAAGAGCTCAGAATGGGAGGCGGGCCATGAGATGCAGTCTTCTGGACATTGCACGGCTGTTGCACTCACGGACTCCCAGCAGTCGTGAAGCAAAAGGCTAGAGCCCTCAACAGAGGAGCCCTGGGCAGTTGGTAGCCTCATGTGTCTCTAAGGAGCTATTGGTATTCATAGTTGCTGGTAGAGGGGGTTAGTGCTCTTCACTGGTAAGTTGCTCATACTGCAGTAAATAACCATCCCTCCCCTATGCTAATGCAAGCAAACCTAATTAAACTGAGTGGTCACAAAACCACAAAGCAAAGACAAGACATTAATGTAGGAGGGGTACTTGGTAGTGGGAAGCGAATGAGGGAGGGTAATGGAGGATGGAATAATGGATATACATGAATAAAATTATCAAAGAATAATTATCAAACAAATAGTCTTGATGTACTCTCAACAGTCTTGGTAGTGTACACCTTTAATCCCAGCACTCAGAAGGGAGAAGCGGCAGATCTCTATAAAGTTGAGACTAGCCAGGTTCATATAGTGAGTTCTAGGTCAGTTATGGCTACATAAATGAGACCCTTTCTCACTGAATGAATGAAAACATTTAAGAACCAAATCTCTGGTCTTAAGATCTACCTGAGTGTGTACCTCCCTTCTGTTTCTCTATTATTGGGCTAGGCTGACCTCCAGTTTGTCAAGTGGCTGAAGAGGACCCTGAACTTCTGATCTTCCAGCTTCTACCTCCCAAATGCTATGATTATGGGTACATGCCACCACAAACAGTTTTTGTGGCGCTGGGTATCAAACTCATGGTTTCCTGTGTGCTAGGCAAGCCTTCTACCCACTGAGCTACATCTCCAGTCCTGAGTCTCACAACTCTTAGACCCACTCTTAGGAGAAAAGGTGCACACAGTCAGCTGAGGTCTGAGCTTTTTGCATGAGAAACAGACTTTCTGGGCCTGGGATTCAATGTTGTTGTTTTTTTTCCCAGTAGCTCAAGAGCCATTATCAAGATATGTCCTTTGTCTACAGGCCAACCAGGGGAGAGCAGCAGCAGGAGGATACCATGGCAGAGTGTGTCCCCACAGTCAGAGCGGGGAGTTGTGGTTATAATTGTTCAATGGATGCTAGTTGAGCACTGTCCTGGGGCTGGGGTCTAATGAGTGCTGGGATTCTCTGTAAGTATACAGGGATGGGGAGGAACCAGGTAGATGAAGGAGAGAGGTTATGGCTGGGGGGTTGGACTCTGAATGCTGTGGTCAGGAAATGTCCTTTGAAGAGAAAGTGTTAACAGAGGCTGGGAAGAATAATATGAGTGACTGTGGGTAAAGGGACATGGCAATCTGAGGTGTGGAAAATTACTGGGGTGGTCCTGAGTGTTCAAGGAATCAGATACACAGAGAGCTCTGTTTATTATTGCTGCTACTGGTGATGAAAAACAGCAAGGTAGCAGTTAGCAGAGTCTGACTATTGAGCACTGAGCCCTAGATCACAGAGTTGAAATGTGCATACTGGAAGCACTAGATTTCAAACACACATGACCCACACACATGCACACACACACACACACACACACACACACACACGCACGCACGCACGCACGCACGCACAATCAATCAACACTGAGTAACTTGAGTATTCTCCCCAACCATTCCCTATTTATTGAGGTAGGATTCTTTTTTTTAATTAATTAATTTATTTTTCAAGAAAGGGTTTCTCTGTGTAATAGTCCTAGCTGTCCTGGAACTTGTTTTGTAGGCCAGGCTGGCCTCGAACTCACAGATATCCACCTGCCTCTGCCTCCTGAGTGCTGGGATTAAAGGCGTGCACCACCACCACCACCCTAGCAAGCTAGGATTCTTGAGAACCTGGAGCGCAGCAGTTCTGGCTAGTCTAGCTAGCCACCTCTCCAGGGCAATAGTCTCTGCTTCCTGAGAGCTAGGATGATGGGCAGCTAATGCTAGACCTTTTATGAGGGTTCTGGGGATTTGAACTCTATAGTCTTCATACTTGGGCAGCAGCCACTTTATCCATCGAGTCATCTCCCCATGCTGAGTTTTTTGTGCATTCTGGGGACTGAGATTGGGTGTTCCAGCTAGGCAGCAGGAGCACGTACTTGTTTTTCTGCTATCTTGGAACTTGGGAGGTGACGATACAGATGCTTCATTCTGGGCTGAGAAGCCAACAATCACTTATTCTCAGCACTCTGAACAATTATGTGTTTCTGCATTAACTAACATCACATACTATGAAACAAATTAACTTTTTTTTTGTGAGACAGGGTCTCTCTATGTAGTCCTGGCTGGCCTTGAACTCAGAGATCCGCTGCACATTTATTTAACTAAGGGCAATAAATGATAAAAATCTGGAAAACAAAGGTTAAAATAAGTATCGGCCAGCACCTTTGGGCGAAACCCTGGAGCTCAGCAGTGTTGACCCGGCTTTTCCCAGGACCTTACAGGACAGTCTGAACTGCTCACCCGATCGACCCAGAGAGGGGAGGGGCCGGAAGGAGGAGCGAAACGGCCGGCAATATGGTGGCCGCAGGACGCTCTGGCAATCACCAGTCTGCACTCTATAGCCGGAAGTTGTCCTGCCTTCGCCTCTAGGAAGCGGAAGTGCAGGGGTGGCTGGCAACTGGGTGACTGCTTTGAGAAACCGGCTTGTGAGCCGCGGCGGGAAAGGCGCGTGTCGGTTTCTCACTGGCGCAGGCTCCACCGCGGTCGTCGCTGTCCCGCCCTGCCCGGGCGTCGTTGCTAGCACCAGAGTGGACGAAGCGCGGCCCGGGCATGGGCAGCCGGGGGGATGCGAACGCCGCGGGTGCCTCGGCTGCGCGTTGGGTGACAGGTACCTCTGGTGGCGTGGGGAGGCCTCGGAAACCGGAGAGGGGCCAGAGAGGGAGGCGACCGTGAGTCCAAGTCACCTTGGGCTTCCTCGTCTCTCCCGATGCGGTTTCTCCTCCAGTGTTCTCTTTGCGAGCGCCTCAAGTTGTCCCCAGCGGTCTTCTCTGTGCGAGTGGCGGTGGGCTCTGTCCTGCAGTCCTGGCTGGGTTTGTAGGAGGAGGAAGTGCCCCCGGGAATTTAGACCAAGCCTGACCCTAAGTAGCTGGAGAGCCAGCACTTGGCGTGACTCTGGAGAACGAGTTGGTGATTTTTTATAGGTTTCCGTTTTTCCTAAATGAAATCGGGTGATGCATCTTGGTTGTCGTTTTCTGTGAGTGATAAGATCTCTTGGAATATAATTGGACGATCCTCTTCGCTTGTAGCCTGTGACCTGCCAGCAGAAGATATGCGTGCATCTCCAATACATTATGGACCTGAGCTCTTCTCGTTGCTTGGCTTGACGGCACTCGCTCTTGATCTGCGTTTTTGTTGCCTGGTTGGAGAAGGAGCGTGTTTTTGCTCGTCCTGAGACTTGGGCTCTAACCCCAACTGTGCCTTGGAAACATCTGTGCACTTGCAAGTCTATTTTAATATAAAGTTCTTTCTTTCCTAGAAGTATCTTGTGCATTGGCAAACGCATGAAGACATATTTTTGTTTGCTCCCCCCACCTTGGAGATGAGGATCTCACTTATCCCAGACTAGCCTTGGGACTAGAGGCGTGGCCAGCCATCACCGGGCTTGCTTGAAGCCATTTTAAAGAGCTAGTTAACTGTACCAAACTGGAACAGATTGTAACCTTTCCACTTGGCTTGCTTTGCTCTTGGTAAACTTAGCTGAAACTTTTCCTTTTTAAATTGAAACAAATATGTATATTTACGTAATTTTGGTTCTGTGTGTGCAGGGCAACTTTGTGGAGTGGTTCTCTCCCCACCTCTGTGTGGGTTTTAGGGATCAAACTCAGGTCACCAAGCTTGCATGACAAGAGCCTTTACCCACTGAGCCATCTTGCTAGTAACTTCCTCTTGAGAGAGAGAGTGAGAATGAGTTAGAGTTGGAGAGGGAGAGAGAGAGTTAGAATTGCTGTGTGTATGTCATGGCGTGCGCGTGGAGATCAGAGGACATTGTGAGTCTGGGGGTTGGACTTAGATCATCAAGCTTGTGTAGCGAGTGCCTTTATCCACTGAGCCATCTCCCTGGCCTAACACTTTATTAAAGGATGGAAACAATGCTTTCTATAGTAGCAGGGTATTTTAGTGCACATTTAACTAGAAGGGAATGGAACTATGGAGAAATTTAAGTTAGAACCTTTTTGCAGGGATCTAATCATTTGCATTCAGATGTCTAGTAACTACTTGGAGTTGAAAGCAAATTTATGTGATCCACAGCAAACGGTTGTTAGGTATAAATTAGGTATAATTTCTTCTCACTTAGCTTGGATGTGTCCTCTTATTTTTCTTTGCTACTATTGAACATGCTGAAGTTCAGTCTGTAGACTAGCAGATTTTTTTTTTTCTTTTTAAGAGTTTGTTAACTCTCCTTTAGTTTAAAAATGATGAAGCAGCTAGGTCTGTGGTGGTGTGCTCCTGTAGTTCCAGGACTTGGGAGGGTGGTAGAGGCAGTAGGACTTGGAATTCAAGGTCATCCTCAGCGCCGTAGCAAGTTAGTGGCCAGCATGGGTCATAACGAGAACCTGTCTTGACAGAGAAAGACAGTGAAAACACTGGCATGCACAGCTGTTACTTACAGCTTTTATATTTTACTGCTGATCAGTGAGCAGGCTGTAGTTTAAATGCCCTGGGAGCTCACAGATGGCCGGTAACAGACTCGGTCTGGAGCTGGCTACAGTGCTTGCTGCTTGACTGTCACACTGCAGGTGTTGCTCCTTCCGTGCTGCCACTCGGAGTATTCATCTTTACAAGCAGCACATAAGGACCACGAGGTCCAGAATGACAATGGAGCTTATAAAGTGACAGCATCTTCAAACAAAAGAGTGCTTCAGTGAAATTCTTACCTGTTTGTTTCTCTGGACAAATCTCTCTGGTATCATTTAGGAGGTCTAGTGTGAAGTCAGCTTGGCAAAGCTACTCTTTGATGTATAACTTTCATCTTGTTCCCATTTCCAGTGGTGCTATGCTTCTCAAGGATGTATACTTTCTCTGAAAAACTATTGCAAGCTAGGGCAGGAGAGATGACGGCAGCAGTTAAGACTATTTACTTTTCTAGCAGGTGACCCGAGTTCTGCTCTCTGCACCCACAACAGACAGCTTATAACCCCCTGTAACTGTAGTTCCAGGAGATCCAATGTTCTCTGGTCTAGGTGGGCACCTGTACCCACATGGTGTACATAAATTCATAAATCTTTAAAATATATTAAAAATATTGCAAGAATACCTCTGGGTATGTATCCTCTCACTTTTGTTGTTGTCGTTGTTTTTGTTTTTGTTTTTCGAGACAGGGTTTCTCTGTGGCTTTGTAGGCTGTCCTGGAATTAGCCCCTGTAGGTAGACCAGGCTGGTCTCGAACTCACAGAGATCCTTGTGCCTCTGCCTCCTGAGTGCTGGAATTAAAGGCATGTGCCACCACTGTCCTGCTAGCCTCTCACTTTTATTCTTCATATAATCTTGTCTTTTTTCTATTTTGCTTTTTCTTGAGTGTGTTTTGGAGGTGCATTTACTGGTAGTGGAGGCCTGAGGTCACTCATGAGACTCTTCTTCAGTGGGTTGGAGAGATGGCTCAGTGGTTAAGAGCACTGGCTGCTCTTCCAGAAGACCCAGATTCAATTCCCAGCACCCACATGGTATCTCACAACTGTCTATAACTTCAGTTCTGGGGATCTGACACCCTTTTCTGACCTCTTCAGGCACCAGGACAAATGATACACATACAGACAGGCAGATAAAATACCAGTACACCTAAAAAATAAAAATAGTCTTAGAAATAAAAATGAACACATATATAAAAAAGTCTTCATTAGTTACTCTATTTAATTACCTTATTTGTTTTCAAGACAGGGTTTCATTATGTAGCCCTGGCTGTCCTTGAACTCACTCTGTAGATCAATGTGGGCTCGAACTCACAGAGATCCACCTGCCTCTGCCTCCCAAGCACTGGGATTAAAGGCTTGTGCTACCATCGCCTGGTTCCTGGCCTGGTTTTTACTTTTCTTTTTGTGGCACTGTGTTGGAATGGGCATCATGCTGTGCTAGGAAAGTGTTCTACCATTGAGCCACAGTTCTAGACTGAGGATGCTGGCCTCTGTTTAGCTTGGGGGAGGTTGTGTGTGTCTGATTAAGGAAGTTCTGTTGGTAGGTTTCTAGCATGAAAACTGAGGTCAATAAAGAAATGAAGAGGTTCTCTACAGTGGTCTGGATGCTGTCTCTAAGAATGTCAGTTTGCTTGGAGATGCTGCTGGTGGGAGCCAGAGGCTCTGCTGCTTCCTAGGAACTTGGGTTCCCTACTTTGTACATGGGAGAGTGTGGCATGAGACACTACTGGAGTCTTTACCATTGCAGATCGGTCTTTGAGTTTATTACATTTGAAACTCACTACATTATTCCCGAGAGCTAATAAAATGAAGGGCCATAAAGTGGGTGGCTTCTGACAGCAGATTCATTGTCTTCCAGGTTGTAGGCTACAAGTCCTCGGGTGAGGTGGGGGGACTTTAACTTGCCTGTTTCAGTCTTTAGTAGTATCAGACCCCTTGACTTGCAGTAGAGTTCCAGTGTTTTCTTCTCTCTCCATCAGTACTCTCTGTGGGTCTGTCCATTCTCTCCCTTTCTTAACACTAGCAATACTGGATTACTGTACTAATGACTATTCTAATGACCAAAATTGTACCACCTCGTAAAGACTGTCTCCAAGTCATTCTGAGAGAGAGAGGTTATGACTGTAACATACAGCCCCCACCCCCCTTTGAGGATTAGGATTCAGGCTATAGCACTACTAGTCATTTGTATTTCATCTGCCTTAGCTTTCTCTCCCTCATACTTTGTGAAGTTGCATGCAGCCTGCCTGCTGTGTGACCCCTGTGGTTTCACTCTTCAGGAAGGGAAGACTGTAGCCAGCTTTAGCTCTCTGCTTTCCTTGTCCCGGGAACTCAGCTCTGTCTTTTGGGCCATCAAGGTGTTAAGTGCTGTTTATTTCAGAAGCATTTTGTTTCCTACCTTCACTGTTACTTTGTGTCCCCGAGTGTTAATGTTGTCTTGTGCTTCCGTGTGAAGTTTTAACATTCCCTTCCCTTCTTTTCCCTTCTAGGGCTGTGTTACAACATGAGACTTCTGATTGCGCTGGCTTCACTGTGCCTGTTTTCCTTGGTAGAGGCCAATTCAAAAGCCATTACCACCTCTCTTACCACAAAGTGGTTTTCTGCTCCACTGCTATTGGAAGCCAGGTGAGGAGATATTCTCTTCCGTATAATGGAATATTATAAACTTAGGGTCTGGTAGTAAATGAATACTCAGTAGTGAGCTTACACTTTTCATTTGCACGTGTTAAGTGTCCCTTACAACACCCACTGTGTTCTGTACAGTGTAAGGACTCTGAGAATGCAGACTCTGTCTGCCAGCTGCACAGGACTGACCCATAGGCAGGTTTAGGAGCATTGCTTATAAGAACAACACCCTAGGTAAGCGAATGGGGGTGGAGGAGGAGGGAGCTGAAGAAGCCACAGGTCTAGTCCTGTTCTTCATTGTAGTCTCCCAAATCTGGGTACTATCTTAAATTTGGAGGTTGTTATTATTATTATTATTTTTATTTTACTTTTGTAGTAAGTCAGATCTTACTAATTTATATCAACATATATATATATATATGTGTGTGTATATAAAGGTTTTTTTTGTTTTTTTGGTACCACATAGTATTCCTTTGTGTAACTATATTGGTCCTTGGCATGACATAAACTGGATAGGGTGAAGAGCACATGCCTGTAATTCCAGCATTTGAGAGGTTGAGGCAGGGGGATCAGGAGTTCAGGGTCATCCTTTGGTATATAGAGAATTCAGAATCAGCCTGGGATACATGAGACAATGATAAAAAAGAGTTATCTTAAGCTGGAAATGGGTAAGTTGTCCAGACACTCTCTGGAAATGTTGTCATCCAGCAGCAGTAGCCATAAAAGAGGGAGAGGATAACTTAGTGGTAGAATGCTTGCCTGCCTGCCTGACCAAGTGTGAAGCCCTAGTTCAGTCCTCAATGCTGCCCCCACCTCCAGTATATGGAGAGGTTAAAGTAGGAGAACTGAGTGTTTGAGGCCAGACTGGGATACGTAGCGATTTTCTGTCACAAATAAGCAATCAGGCTGTATTTTAATTTTATAAAATAATTAAGACAAATTGATAAAATATGCAATAAATGATTTTTTTAATGATCCTTGTTTTTCTGTTGTTTTGCTTTAAAGACAGGGTCTCATGTATCCCAGACTTGCCTCAAATTTACTATGTAGCCAAGGATGACCTTGAACTTCTTCTGATCTTCCACCTACTTAGCATTGGGATTATAGTCATGTGATATCATGTCTGGTTTATGTGATATTAGGGATAATGAACCCAGGATTTTATGCATGCTAGACAAGTACTCTGCATCTCTAGCTCCTGGAAGGTTTTTATGGTATATACCATGGAGTTGAGAAACCATGTCTAATACTATCAGCTCTAATTACTCAAATTTTGTCCAGTTTCTTTTATCACAATGTATGTAGGCTATGATATTTTGGTCATCAACTTCTTCATCACGAACATCTCGCCATTTCATGGTGTCTCTGGCAATTTGCCATTTGCATAGTTACTTTTAGGCCTCTTCTCCAGTAGGTGTTTGTAAACAGGTAGTCAAGGTGATGGGCCTTGCAGGCAACTCCAAAAGAAGCCTTGTGTATTTGTATTTGTATCATTCTGCAGTTACCTCTAGAGCAGTGGTTCTCAACCTGTGGGTCGAGTGACCCTTTCACATTGGAAAACAGATATTTACATTACGATTCATAACAGTAACAAAATTGTAGCAGTGCAAATCATTTTACAGTTGGGGTCACCACAAAATGAAGAACTGTATTAAAGGGTCACAGCATCAGAAATGTTGAGAACCACTGCCCTAGAGCTAACTGAGGCCACCATTCCTCCTCCTGTCTATGATGATCCACACTGTCTCTGTGCTCTATGCACCAGGGCATGTAGCTGTTACAGACCTTGTTTTCCTTTCATCTAGCCCGAAGGGACTAAAAACATTCCTGTGTATATTTTTAGATTGTGCCTGATGATTATGAAGGGATTTTTAGCTCTGTGATTGCTCATGAAGTGATATATATTTAACTGAAGTAAAACTCTTGATGTTTTGAGCAGCTATAGTTACTAAAGCCGGGGCCGTGGTGGCACATGCCCTTAATCCTAGCCTAGCACTTGGGAGGCAGACGCGGGAGGATCTCTGAGTTCGAGGGCAGCCTGGTCTACAGAGCGAGTTCCAGGACAGGCTCCAAAGCTATACAGAGAAACTCTATGTCAAAAAACAAAATAAAACAAAACAAAGAAATAGATATTAAAATGGCCAAGGGATATAGAATGATAAAGTTAAATTAGATCACTTAAATTGTATTCACTACTAGACTCAGAAAACAGTATTACCACCAGATTTACAGATTCATGGAGAAACACATATACTCTCAAGAGACACACACAAAGTCTTGCTATGTAGAGACTAAGTTAACCTCAGACTTGTGATCCTCCTGTCTCTGTTTCCCAATAATAATTATGGGATTATAGGCATGAGCCACCAAGCCCAGCTAGCTTCCTTTTTATTTTTTTCACAGATGAAAACTTTAGCAAGCTCATAGCAGCTTCCTTATTTGGAAAGTTGTTGTAATCGAGGGTGACTGTGAGGCACTTGAGTATGCCAAGTGCATCATCAGAGAACAGACCACTTAAGTATTCCTTCCTTACTCGTCTAGTCCTGTGTAAGACTTAGCTCATATCCACAGTAACAATGGAAATGTAGAATGTGGTTGCCACATTTTTACTATCTGGTATACATTTAGGTGGTTTTAAGGCTTAGGTTTTTTTCTTTGTTTTCTGTAGATGAAGAACTTTGTATTATGACGTTTTAAAAGTATTTATCAATAAAGAAATGGTATGTGTTCTTCTGTACACATGACCCATTTTAACAATGATTGGTGATGGATGTGGCTCTGTAAGTAGGTGCTTCTCTGTTGTTGGAGGCCCTAAGTTTTACACACCCAGCATCAAAGAGGGGAAAAACCAGTGTGAGTGCAGTAACTAGTACCATCTTCTTCCCCATCTGAAATGTTTTACAGCAAATCCACAGATACTTTTACTCACTGGCATTCAAAGCCAAGAAGCATAACAGCAGCTAAACAGCAAAGTTAATTATACTACACAAAAGATAGCATCATTCCTTGTAATAATGTCTCCTATTCTCTTTTCTGCCTGATTATTTCAGTGGATTTAGTTGTTTTCTTGTTTTTGGTTTTTTGTTTGTTTTTTTTTTTGAGGCAAGATTTCTCTGTGGCTATTGGAGGCTGTCCTGGAAGTAGCTCTTGTAGACTAGGCTGGTCTCGAACTCACAGAGATCTTTGTGCCTCTGCCTCCCTTGTGCCACCAACACCCGGCTCCTGTTTTCTTAAGACTACTACAATCATAGATTTCTGAAGTAGTATGAAAAATATGTTTCAAGAAAATTGTCTGATTATATGAAAAGTATATTTAGCCTGAGTGAATCCTTGTTTTTGTCTACCATTGGTGAGTATGTCATTTTCCCCTTAGTTCGTGAATTGATGTTCATTTGCATAACATGACATCTTAGTACCTGTCTTCTTAGAGTGTAAGCTATTCTAAGATGAATCTAGTGTTTATATCAGTTGCTAGACAGCCTAGAAAAATAAGACTCATGGAAGCACTAAATCTAATACATTAATAATAGTGGGTGATTTTTGAAACCCATTTTTAGAGAAGCTGTGTATTACCAGGAATTGTTTCTTATTTTAGCTAGGTAAGCTGAGATCTAGAGCTGTAGTTTGCTTTAAGACAGTCAGAGATAACCACCACATTAGCACTCAGCTTCAAGTGACGATCACCAGTTCACATGCATCATTCATTTGGCTATTAAATGTGCTTTATTTGAGGATCTTTAGACTCAGGTGAGAGGAAATTCATGAAGACCATTATTTTAGGAAAATAGTGTAAAGATAAAGGAGATGATATGATAGTTCTTAGATTTGATTTTGTTAGATGTGTGCTAATTTTAAGCTAAAAATGATTACCTTGAAAATTTGGTGTTTTAGATATTAAAGATATTGCTTTCTTCAAGAAAATTTTTAGGGTTCATGTTTACTGTGGGAGAACCTTAAGCTAAACATGTTTGATCTTTGTAAGATTTTTCAGAAAAATATGGGCCGAACTATTGCTAGAATGGCCAGTTCTTAGTTCTGCTTTCCCTGCTGATGAGTTCTGCTAATGGGTTTCATGAGTCATTTGTATATTGGGGCTTCCCTATTACTGTAGCATTTTTATTGTTCTATGTTTCTCAAGAAATAGCTATTGAGTGAACAAGTTATTAAGCTGTTATTAATAGCAAATATGAAACAATAAAGCTTTTCATTAAGAAAATATATATTATACATAAAGGTATGTATATGTTTGTGTATATATGTATATATATATAAATAAATTAAAAGCCAAACTACAGACATTTGGAAATGTAAATCCCCTTTTATTCTCCCTAGTAATATAACCTTTGATGGAAGATTTTATTGTCTCATTGCTGATATCTCCCACTTTTCTTCCAGTGAGTTCTTAGCAGAAGACAGTCAAGAGAAATTTTGGAGTTTTGTAGAAGCCAGTCAAAATATTGGATCATCAGATCATCACGGTAAAATTGAAGCAAATATTTGTTTGACTCTGTGGTCTGGGAAAATATTAAAATAAAATGGTGTCCTTTGTATAGTGTATGTAACATGGCAGTCAATAGAAAATACGATTTTCTGTAATGACTAGAGTTGTCATTGTAGGAAGATTGAACCCAGTGCGTGGGAAACCTATGCTATGCAACTGAGCTATTCCCAAACCCCTACTGACTTAGACCAGTGCATTTTTATTTTTTATTTTTCAACAGATGTGATCTTGCTTTGTGACTAGGCTGATTACACAGTCCTACTGCTTCAACTTCTTGAATAATTGGGGCTGTTGGTAGACACTACTGTGTGTAGCCATAAATCATTATTTGTGTGTGTGTGTAGTTTGTAATTTTGACTGCAAATAATGCCTTTCTTCTCGTTGCTTTTGCTCTGTTGTGCTCTTTTGTTAATGTGCTTTGGGACTACTTAGTGGAAGTACATTTTATTTTAGATCATTTAGCATTTACTTTATCTGTCTGATTGATTCTTCTTCCTTTTATTATGAACTGATTGCACAACTGATCTATCTGTGTTACATGTGTTATTATTAAGTTAGTGCCATCTAGTATGTTTTCCATTATGCCTGCTGGCCACTGAATACTTGAGTGTCAAAATGTTAAATTAAGATGCATCTTGTATCGCTCAGTTTTAGCTTATGGATGGTGTACTTTCTTGAACATGTTCTAACATAAAAGATGTAATATAGGCTGTAGATATTGCTAGTCAGAGATGCTAATAGAGGAGTATAGTGATGAGCTACCCGGTGTTCTGGTCAAGGGTGAACCACATACATGAGAGTGGTGCCATAAGATGCCACCCTGTGACCTTAGTTGTCATAATTTGTATAAGCGTAGTTTATTAATATTAGTGTATTGCTCTGAACATATCCTCTCCTAGTGACATATGACTGTCCTTAAAATCTTGAACATTAAGCTTAGACAAGTGTTAGTTCTTACTCGCATAGAAATGGTTGGACACTGACTATTGTTAAGTTAAATATAATGGGTTACTTTTGAATACTTGTTAAAATAGCATTTTAATAGTCATCTCAATCTTTTTGGTTTTTCGAGACAGGGTTTCTCTGTGGCTTTGGAGGCTGACCTGGAACTAGCTCTTGTAGACCAGGCTGGTCTCAAACTCACAGAGATTCGCCTGCCTCTGCCTCCCGAGTGCTGGGATTAAAGGCGTGCGCCACCAACGCCTGGCTCCATCTCAATCTTGTGATGGAAATGCATACAGATTTTGGGCAAGCATCTATAAGTTTTGTCATATAAGTTATCGTGGAATAGATTGTGCATAACAGATGATTTCACACAGCTGGAGACATGGCTCAGTGGTTAAGAGTGCATATGCTTTTCAGATGACCCAAGTTCAATTCCCAGCTCCCATATGCAGTAGTTCACGACTGCCTATAACTCCAGCTTCAAGGGGATCTGAGGGTGGTCATATGTAGGTACCAACACACAGGCAAACACATAATCAGAAATAATAAAATAAATCTTAAAGTATTTTATGATTTCATGTAATAAATTTATCAATGTAATTTTTAAATAAAACCTCAAGTCTTAATGTTTAAAATGTAATTACAATATAAATGATACATATTCTTGGTTAATGTTACAAGGAAGTGATTATAAAAGTATGTTAAATATTTTATTATTCATAGTTCTGCCATCTAAAGATTGACATTAATTTCTGAGATCATTTGAGGAGTTTCTGTTTTCTTTTTTATGTAAGATGATGCTAATGTGATATGGAACCTTTTATATCCTGCTTTTAAAAAATGTAAATACTGGGACTAGGGAAATAAGTCAGTGGATGAAACACCTAATGTGCAGGCAGGAGGACCAGTGTTCAGATCCCAGAACCGTGTGATAGCCACTGTCATCTTAGCACTCAAGCAGAGTAAGGGATCCCTGGATCGAGCAGACTGGTAGACTAGCTGCAGTTGGCAAGCAAGCTCCAGGCTCAGTGAGAGAGCTTGCCTCAACATTGAGTAGAGAGATCGAGGAAGATGCTTGGTATAAATTTTGGATCTGCCCACACATATATGCATGTTCATATCTCTTGACACAAATGTGTTCACATATATACATGAGTGTGTACCACACTTACCCATGCCAGAGTTAATATTTTTCATATTGAAACTTTGACCATACTACAGTCAAAGCTTAAAAAAAATGGTGGGTACTCTTCCTTGTCTCTGTTCCTTGTATTTGTTTGCTTGCTTTTAAAAGCCATTTAACATTTTTTCCATAGTGGCTTTTTTTTTTTAATAACACACACACATATGCACACACATTTGTAACACAGTCTTTGGCAAAAACGACTACTTGCTATGTAACAAGTTTTGTACTTTTGCTTTTCATTTATTAGAGGACTTATACTAGCACACAGATGTCTTTTCCTTCTAAATAATTTTGCCTAGCTTTTTTGTTTAAATGCTTATCATCACTTTTTATGATACTATCAGTGTCCTATTATATCTTGTTGCACTGCTTATGTTTTACTCTTTTAGTTATTTGAGTAGAGAGCACAATCTAGGTTCTGAGAGTACAAAGATATACATTTTTGCCTCTCTTTGTAGCGTCCAAAGTCAGTAAGTAAGTACTTCAGTAAATGATGTGGTAGACAGACAGTCTCCGATCCAGGCAGTGATGTAACTGGCTCCGGGAAGCACGGCGTAGAGATGAAGTCTTTCCTGAGTGAGTGACTTCATAGCCGAATTCTTCCAGGAGTAAGTTGTCGCGGTGAATAGGAAAGTAGCAATCTAGGCAAGCGGAATTCTTTAGAGGAAGGACAGAAGTGTCCATCTGTATTGTGGACCTCTGGTAAGTTTAGTCACTTGACAGAAAGAAGTTCAAGATGGGAACAGTTGATCATCTGTGTTTGTTTTGTGTTATGAACTGTCTTGTTCGGTTACCTACTGTCTGGTCAATGTGCTTCTTTGACAGATTCTGATCATTCCTATTACAATGCCATATTGGAAGCTGCGTTTCAGTTTCTGTCACCTTTGCAGCAGAATTTCCTGAAATTTTGTCTCTCTCTCCGTTCCTACTCCGCCTCAATTCAAGCCTTCCAGCAGGTAACAAAACATTATTGTGTCTAAAAGACAGCATTTTGTAGGGGCTGTGACATGTGATTCAGTTGATTGTAGTTCTTTTGGGATTGACTTGTAGTTACCACTTTCTTTGTCTGATATTTTCTGGGATTTATGATTTATTTTTAAATAATGAACAAAATCAATGTTTTTAAAACATTAAAGTCTTTAAATTAAAGATGTTTCCACTGTCGCTGATTTTGGGGATGGAACACAGGATCTTGGATGTGCTAGGCAAATAAATAAATTCTACCACTGGACCATATCTGCTTACATATACATTTTCATTTTTTTTGCATCGGGGTTGGATTGGGCTTCAACATTGTCTGTCTGTCTGTCTGTCTGTCTGTCTGTCTGTCTGTCTGTCTGTCTATCTATCTATCTATCTATCTATCTATCTATCTATCTATCTATCTATCTATCCATCTATCTGTTTTGTTTTTTTGAGACAGGGTTTCTCTGTGTAGCCCTAACTGTCCTGGAACTTGCTCTGTGGACCAGGTTGATCTTGAACTCACAGAGATCTCCATGCTTCTGCCTTCTGAGTGCTGGGATTAAATGCGTGCACCACCACTGTCTAGCTGGATTTGAAAAATTTTAAGGAATGGTTTACACTATTTTTCAAGTGAGAAATGAAAAGAATGTTGTCACAGGGAAAGTGACAGCTGGATGCTATTATGCAACACAGTCTGGAAGATATAATCTTGCTAAACCAGTGAACCTGAGTCTGGTCACAATCTTAAAAAGTAGAAGATACAAGAGACAGAAGTGTCAGGCAACACTGGGGAATGTAGTCCAAAACGTCTAGCATTAGAGAAATGTTTTAGTAAAGTGATCTGGGATCTTCTGTGGATAAATGAAAAGGGGAAAGAAAGAGAGGAACATAGCAACATCAGGAAGGCTTCAGAATATCACTGCAGGGAGAGTCATGTGTTTATACCAACTAGAGGTTTGTATGCAAGAAATGTTAATTTTAAAACCATCTGTGTTGTAAAACAAAACAGATACAGAAAACTGCTCACTACAGAGGAATTACACGATGGATTACTGTGAAGGGAGCGCACCTTTGTAACTTTCACCAGGCTAAGAAGTGATTTTCCTTTTGCCTTTTTTTTTAAAAATCTCAGACAGGGTTTTTCTGTGGCTTTGGAGGCTGTCCTGGAACTAGCTCTTTGTAGACCAGGCTGGTCTGGAACTAACAGAGAATCACCTGCCTCTGCCTCCAGAGTGCTGGGATTAAAGGCTTGCACCACCACCGCCCAGCTAGTGATTTTTCACTTGCTACCTTTGAAGTCCTCCATGTGCTGTCTCTGTCATGGCTGCTTTTTGTCTTCCCAAAGAAGCCATGTTGCCACTTCCTGCCAGAATCATCTCATGTAGTTTTGCTTTTAAGGTGTTTTATTGCCCAAGAATGCATCTATACCCAATAGAATTTAATCTTGTCCTGTTTTAGAAAATTAGAAAAATTTAAAACTTTGGGAGAGTGTCTCTTGATTGTTATGTGTTTATTCTTTGTAGTACAGGCTACCTTTGAATTCTCGATCCCCCTACTCTAGCCTCCCAAGTGTTGGGATTGTAGGTGTGTACTGGCATCCTGAGCTCCTCTTTTCTTTTTCTGTTGTATCCCGTGGACCTTGTCATACTTTTCATGCACTCAGTTTTGCTGATCATAATTTATGGTGTAGTTTAGCTTATTCCTCTACTTCCTATTTCCTATAAACAGGTAGCATGGGCTAGGGCTCAATCAGAATTGCATTTCCTTCCTTAGGCAAGCCTACAGGTAATGTTCTAGTCACTCACTAGGGGACTCAAATGTCTGTTTGCTTTTCTTTTTCTTTTCCTCCTTTCCTCAGACTCTCCCTCCTTTCCTTTCTTCTTCCTTCCCCTGTTTCTTTCTAATTCTTAATTTTTTTTCTATAATTGATCATATTCTTGCCACTCTTTAGTTCCTCCCAGATCCTCCAAGTTCCCTACTCACCTAGCTTTGTTTTCTCTCTCTCTCTGAAAAGCAAATAAACAAACAAAAAGGAAAAACAACTTACCCACTGCACAAAAAAATAGAAAATTAAACTATAAAAGAGAAATCAGTTATGACAAAATATCAAAACAAAACAAAAAGCCAATAAAAAACTGTTGCGTTTGCTTTATGCTGACCCATTATTCCTGGGCATGGGACCTGCCTTGGAGTCTGAATGGTATAGCCAGTGGTTTTATTTGTATTTAACCTGATAACTGAGGATGCTGAATATTTTTAAGGAGTTTCTTGGACATAGGTGTTTCATCTTTTTTTTTCCCGAGACAGGGTCTCATTATGTGGCTCAGGCTTCCTGAAACTTATAGTGTAGACCAGCTTGGCCTTGAACTCACAGAAATCCACCTGCCTCTACCTCCTGAGTGCTGGGATTAAAGGTTTACACCACTTTGCTGGCTTTATGCCCCATTTTTAAATTGGGTTATTGTTTTCTTGATGTCAGATTTTTTTAGACCTTTATACAGTCTAGATACTACCCTTTAGCAGATATATACTAGGTAAAGATTTTTCCCCATTCTGTAGGCTGCCACCTTGCTCTGATTTGATGGTGTCTTGTCTTCTTTTTCTTTTACCCTCCCTCCCCTCCCTCCCTCCCTCCCTCCCTCCTTTTCTTTCTTTCTTCCTTTCTTTTTTTTTTTTTTGGTGAAGCAATAGTGAATGGTACTGTTTCCCTTGATTATGGTGGATAATCCATTTGAGGTGTTCTTGAATTCAGTTGCAATTTTTTTTGTTTGTTTTTTGAGATGTTTTCTCTGTAGCTTTTGGAGCCTGTCCTGGAACTTACCCTTTAGACCAAGCTGGCCTTGAACTTACAGAGATCCACCTGCATCTTTCTCCTGAGTGCTGGGATTAAAGGCATATGACAACATTGCCTGGCTTTCTCTTGATTGTTGAGACAGGATGTCTTTTTTAGCACAGCCTGAGTGCAGTTGTTTGGATGAGAATGACCCTCATAGGCTCATATGCTTGAGTATTTGTTCACCAGTTGGTAGAAGCGTTGGGGAAGGATTAGGGATGTGGCTTTGTTGGAAGAAGTGTATTACTGGGGGTGAACTTTGAGGTTTCAAAAGACTCACCATTTTTGGTTAGTTCTGCCTACTGTTTATGGATCAAGACGTGAGCCCTCAGCTGTTCCTGCCAGCATGCCTTTGCTTTGCCATTTTGGGTTCCAACCTTCTGAAGCCATGAGCCTAATTAAACACTTTCTTTTATAAATTTCCTTGTTGTGGTGTTTCAGCACAGAAATAGACAAGTAACTAGGATATTGGCCTTGAACTTGCTTGACTGTGTAGCTGTGGCTAAGCTTGAACTCTTTCTGCCTCCTGGTCTCTGGTGCCAGAATTGCAGGTGTGCCCCATCATGTTCGCACTCCAGAGCTGTTTCATATTGTGAAGCTGAAGCTATATACAGAACTCTACAGAATGTTAATTCTCTTTATTTGCTTTCTTCCCCTATTGCCCCTAGCAACCAGAATTCTGCTTTCTATTTTGTGCTTTCTATTTTTCTTCCATTGTGGGTGCCTCATGTGAGTGCAGTCTTACAGTTTGTTCTTTCCTTTTTGCTTCATGAAGCACAATTATTAATGTTCATCCATGTGTAGCATGTATTAGGTATTCACTTTTATTTTCTGCTGAACAATGCTCCTTTGTATGTGCATTTTACACTTTGTTTATTCATTCTTTCCTTAGCTGACATTTGGGCTGTTTCTTTTGGCTCTTATCAGTAGCACTGCTGTAGAGCACTGACATCTGGCTGAGCTCCCACTTTCAGTTCCATTGCTTTTATATGTACGTGGCCACCTGGTAACTCTGTGTTTAACCTCTTACTGGCAGTTTTTGGGATTGAACCCAGGACTTTGCACATGCTAAGCAGGTACTCTGTGGTTGAACTACATTCTTAGGCCCCTGTATTTAATATTTTAATGAAGTGCTAAGCTGTTTTGTGTAATGACTGCCCCATTTTTACTTCCCACTCAATGTACAAGGGTTCTAGTTTCTCTATCTTCCTCAACAGTTTCTTTTTTATACTGGGCACTGATGGGTGAATTGTGTCATCACATTTTGGTTTTTCTATTCTTTCCCTTTCTTTTTCTTTTTTAAACATATGTTCAGTTATGGGCCGGGCGGTGGTGGCACACGCCTTTAATCCCAGCACTCGGGAGGCAGAGGCAGGTGGATCTCTGTGAGTTCGAGTGCAGGCTGGACCGACAGCCTCCAAACAATACAGAGAAACCCTGTCTCGTAAAAACCAAAAAAGAAAAAAAAAACATATGTTCAGTTATGTAGCCAAAACATCCTAGAACTCTAGATGTCCTGTCTCAGCCACCCAAGTGATAGTGTAACAGATGCCCGCCACCATGTCTGGTTTATCGTCTTCATTGTGGTTGCCTGTATTTTCTGTGGTCATACACAAGAGATCATTGTAAAATGTGATAGATTTGCTTTTTTCCCTTTAGTATATAGTATATTAAATATGATCCCTTCCTTCCTTCCTTCCTTCCTTCCTTCCTTCCTTCCTTCCTTCCTTCCTTCCTTCCTTCCTTCCTCTTTTTGTAATGGTAACTGAACCTGAGTTAATGGCTCATCTTAGACAAATGCTCTAGCACTGAGATGCATCCCCAGCCTTCTTAATTTTCATTTTTTTTGGAATGTTAAAAAAACAACTAAAAACCCACTTCTTCCTGTGACCATAATCCCATAATTTTCATTTTGAGACAGGGTTTCATTGAGTTGCTCAGGCTAGCCTTGAACTTGTTATCCTCTTGCCATAATCACTCAAGAAACTGCGATTATAGGTCTGGCTAATGAATTTGGGCTGATGCAGATGATTTCTGTGCCTAAAGTAATGTCTCTTGCACATGGTGCTGGCATATACAGATGGTATTTCTGGTCCTTTTTATTCCTTTTAATAATTCTTTGAATAGTATGTTATTTGAAGTAGAGACTTTGCTCCTGTATGCGTGAGTGGGTGTGTGTCTCCTTTACTCACACTTAACCGTCTGTATCAGTCAAGTTTCTTACTGAACTTGATGCTGGCCGTTTTGGCTGGTCTGACTGCCTAGCTTGTTCTGGGGCTCTCCTGTCTCTACCTCTCCCACACAGGGCTTGCAGGTGGGCCACTTTGTCCACGTGGCTTTTTAGGTGGGTTCTGGGAGTCTGAACTCTGGCCCTAATGCTTTTCCCACTGAGCCATTACTCAGCCCCATAGAGATTTGTATTCATTTTGATGTGTGATTAATCTTCCCACCTGCTAGAGGTTGACATAGCTCCCTCTTCTGTTGGGTTTCTGTAGTGCTAAGGAAATACATTAGTATGTTACTGTGATTTCCTGCTTGTTCTCTTGTATCTAAAAAAAGAGGTTTATTTCTAAATTGTGTGTGTTTGTGTGTGAGTGTGAGTGTGTGTGTGTGTGTGTGTGTGTGTGTGTGTGTGTGTGTGTGTGTGTGTGAGTGAGTGAGCCATGTGACACCTGGTGCTGGGAACCACCCTCAGATCCTCTACAAGAGCAGCATGTACTCCCAGAGCCATCTTTCTAGCTGCATCCTCCTTCCATTGTCTCTGTCCTGCTGAAGTTTTCTACTTTAAGAAGTTTCTCCTTAACGTGGGGCCTTGTCCTAGGAGGGAGCCTTGACTTGTGATTTGTGTAAGATACTGAGCAGGCATACCACCTCAGCACCTCTGCACTTTCTGTGGGTGCCCGGTACTTCCTGATGCTAGCCATTGGCCTACCTACACTTCCTGAAGACCTGTTGTCTGTTTTCAGGATGCTTACTTCTTTGTCCTTGGTCCTATAATCTTGCCTCCGCTTTCTGATAACTGAGATTACAAATGTGAGCCATTGTGCCTGGCTTGCTTCCTTTTCTTAATTAATTTTTATTTAAATAAAAAACAATCTTAGTTTACATACCAATCCCAGTTTTCTCTTCCTCCCGTCCTCCATCCCCCCTCAGCCCCCTCAGCTTGTTTCTTTAGATTTTATATAATTTTTACTTAAATGAGGGGCTTCCTATTAATTTGCATTCATCTTTAGTTAGAACAGCATAATTCTATCTTTGCACATTATTTTTGACATATTTATTTTATGTGTATGACTCTTATTACTCACATACATGTCTATGCCAGGTTCGTGTAGAGGTCCCAGGAGGGTGTCAGGTCCCCTGGAACTGAATTTATGCATGGTTGTGAACTGCCATGTGGGTGCTGAGAATTGAACTGGGCCCTCTGCAAGAGGAAGTGCTTAACCTCTGAGACTTCTCTCCAGTCCCAGTTTCATACATTTATAATCAATTTAGTCTTTTTTTTAATCCTCCTTCTCCATGTGGAACACTGGTCAACAAATTTCTCTGCTAATTCCATATCTTCATTTTGTGTGTGACTCACTGAGCTTAATTAGATTTTCTTCAAAGAGCACAGGTAGGTAGGAGGTTATTTACGGGAGCAGGGCAACTTCACAGTTGCTACATCATTAAAGAAAATGTCACCCCTTCTGCCAGCGACCTTTAACTGTTCTTGGAGTTGGCGGGTGAGGTTCGTTTTTGTCCATGATGCACTTTGATGGACTTCACCCTGTATAGACTGTGCAGATAAACACAGCTGTAGTAAGTTTGAGTGAAACTGCAGTATGTTCAGAAGATGACTTTTTCCTGCACACCTCCCCATCCTCTGGCTCTTATGTTCTTTCTGCAGTGTTCTTCAATCTTTGGAGAGGTGATAATAGCTGTCCTATTTAGGGCTGCATCCTCTTACATTAATTGCTTGGCACTTTGGAAACTAATATTTCACTGCTGTTAAAAGCATCTCCAGTGAAGACTTGGACACACCACTAACCTGTGGATAGAAACATGAATAAGTATCTAGAAAGCCATCTGATGACACAATCAAAGTAGTAATAGGTTCTTTTTGTGTGTGTGTGTGTGTGTGTGTGTGTTTTTATTGGGGTATATCATGGGTAGGAACTGTTACCTTAAGGTATGCCCCTCCCACTAAGCATGTCTATTCTAATCCTCCTGGGATGCTTTCTGGGGCTTTTTCTTTTTCTTTGTCTTCTTTGTGCAGCTAGCAGCAGCTTCAGGTTCCTCAGAAAATTTCCTTCTCTTCTTCTGGGGATAATAATAGGTTCCTGACCATATGCTCTTGACCAGGGTTATCTTAGCCTATGGTGCGGGCCTCAAATCTAGTTGACCAGAAAGTAGTTGGTTACTCATGACATCTATACCACCAGTAGGCACATTTTGCCACACAGATCATTATTATAGCCCCCAAAATTACCCTTGGAGTAAGACTTTTCTTTTTAGCAGCCTGTATAGTATATTCTAGCCATATGAAGGCTAGCCTATAGGGAGATATCTTCTTCTATCTTAGCTCCAGTTTGATTATGTATGTCTTGTGATCAAACTATGTGGTATCTTTAGAAATAAGTTTTTAAAAAATAATTTGAAATTGTGTGGGTAACATGAATGTAGGTTTCCGTGGTGGGCAGAGTTTTCAGATTCCCTTGAGCTGGAGTTACAGGTGGTTGTGAGCTATTTGATGTGGGTGTTAGGAATTAAATTTGTGTCCTCTGCAAGAGCAGTATGAATTCTTAACCACTGAGCCATCTCTCTAGCCCCAGCAATAGAATGTTACTATCAAGATCTGGTGGGGCCAAGAGCAATGGCAATAGCCTACATTGTTTGGAGGGAAGGGCTTTTGTGCTTCTCTGGTCAGTCACTCATCGGGAGGTAGTCCAAGACTTCCATGAAGGGCTTCTCCATTCTGACTCTTTAAAAAAGCATAGTTTTTAAATAAGCTTGTATGTTCATAGGTTCCCATATGGCTTACTATGTATTTCCTTAGTTTTGATTACTCCTTTCTCCTTCCACCCTCTTTTCTGTTTTCCTACCCACTCACCTGTTTAGGTCTTCCTTTCTTTTTTTTTTTAAAGTATTTATTTATTTAATATTTATTTAAATTAGAAACAAGCTTGTTCACATGCCAATCCCAGCTCTCTCTCCTTCCCCTCTTCCCCCGCCCCACCAAGTCCCCTAACCCCCCCAGCCAATCCCCACTTGACTCTGTAGGGAGGGTGAGGCCCTTCATGGGGGATCTGCAAAGTCTGTCATATCCTCTGGGGCAGGCCTAGGCCCTCCCCCTGCTTAGGCCTTTTTCTTCCCAGTGTTTCATCACTGCCCCTTCATCTCTGGTTTGTTATATTGTCTCACCTCCCTTCTGTTGGCCCCGTTCTATCTTTCTGGCATTTCTCAGCACTAAGTGTCAAGCACAGCATCTAAACATTTTGTCATGCCTTCGTGTATTTAGTGTGCATATGCACATGCATGTGCCATGGCATGCTGTGGAATCAGAGGACAGCTTGCAGCAGTCATCTCCCGCCATGTGCACCCTTGAGCTTAGGTGGTCAGCTGACATTTTAAGGGCTGACTAGATGACTCAGTTGGTAAAATGCCTTTATGCCTCGGTATGGAAGCTTATACTTGTAATCCCAGGGCTAGGAGGTAGGGAACCAACAGGGAGATCTCTGAAGTTCATTGTCTGTTCATCCTAAGTAGATTGGTGAGCTTCAGGTTCAATGAAAGAACCTGTCTCAAAGAATAAACTTGAAAGGACACTCCTTGTTAACTTCTGACATCAACATGCATGTGTACATGTACATATATGCACTTCAAAACCCTCTGCCATTTTGAGCTAAGGCTTTTTTGAAAGTATACCCTAGATTCCTAGATATCTTTTTTTTAAATAAAGATTTATTTATTATGTGTACAGTGTTCTGCCTGCATGTATAACTGGAGGCCAGAAGAGGGCACCAGATCTCAATACAGGCTGCTGTGAGCCACCATGTGGTTGCTGGGAATTGAACTCAGGACCTCTGAAAGAACAGGCAGTGCTCTTAACCGCTGAGCCATCTCTCCAGCCCCCTAGATATCTTTTGATAATTGTCTGATATAGAGAGGGTTTTAACTTTGTGTTGTGGGATTACAATACTAGTACTGACCTGGAATGATATGGGAGAAACTGAATATTATAAGCAGCAGAGATCTGGCTGGAAGCCCTCTTACCACCTTGGCCCACAGTGATGCTCAGCAGATGGCAGTTTTTCCTTTTATTGGTAATGGGTTATCATTTAGTCATGTGTTCATTAAAGCAATAGATTTCTGTCTGGTCTGTGAGTAGAACTACCTGTTTTGTCTTCCCTGACAGATCGCAGTTGATGAGCCTCCACCAGAAGGATGTAAGTCATTTTTCTCAGTACATGGGCAGCAGACCTGTGATTTTGATTCTCTGGAGTCCCTTCTGTTAACTGCACCTGACAGGTGGGTTGTCTTTCATCATTTCAGTGTGGTTCACATCCCGAGCCTTTTCTCTTATGTGTACTCTCTGAGTTGATTGAGTTTTGTTTAGTTTTATTTGTTTGTTTCAGATAGAGTCTCAGTATATAGACTCACAGATTGGCCTGCTTTTCCTCTGGGGGTGCTGGGATTACAGATACATATGTCCCCATGCCTGGTTGATTTTTGTCTCTTTAGTTTGTTGAGAAAAGGTATTGATTTGTAGCCCAGTGTGGTTTTTTTTTTTTTTTTTTTTTTTTTTGGTTTTTTCAAGACAGGGTTTCTCTGTATTGTTTTGGAGACTGTCAGTCCAGCCTGGCCTTGAACTCACAGAGATCCACCTGCCTCTGCCTCCCGAGTGCTGGGATTAAAGGCGTGCGCCACCACCGCCCGGCCCAGTGTGGTCTTGAACTAGCAATCTTCCTGCCTTAGCCTCCCAAGTGCTAGCGTTATAAACATCATACATGCCTGGTTCCTCTGATTTTCTTACCTAATCTAAATGTGTACTAGGGTATGGCTACTAGCTAGAGACTGACCACAAACATTAGCTCCATTGCTTAAAATAGTTTTGTAAAATGAAGCAAATTACTTTGTTTTCCCTTGTTTCAAAACTAGAAATATTTGACATTCCTGTGCATTAGGTAATGGTTATGTAGACTTTGTCATTGGCTTATCAAAAATACTGTAGGTACAAAAGCCAGTACCTGACGTAGCAGATTTGAATGACAATGATCTTTTACCAACTACAGAAAATAATGAAAAGATAATTGAAAGCTTGATTTGAATAATGGATGTGCCAGTTTTCTTTGCCTGAAGAGGCCAATGTCTTCTGGAGTGGGCACTTAAAATAAGTACATATCTGGCTGTCTGGCTTGCACAGCACCTCTCTGTACCTGCTCTAATGCGCTGTGATGATGGCTCGATCTACTAGAAATGTTAATGGGATATTTGGTTGTATAAGTCTGTGTAGTGACATTGTCAGACCAGTACTGTCCTCTGCCCAACAAATGGCATTAATATCTCTTATTCAAGATGAAAGCCAATAAACTCATTGTATGGCGTCCCAGAGTGAATGTATGGTTGGACTTTTGAGAATTGCCACATGGTAGATTGATGCTTTCTTGGGTGAAATATAATTGGTGACTTTGTAGTTCCTTCAAAACCTTGTTTGATATGTTAGAGCAATAATGCAGACCTTTGAAAAGAGTGGTGCCTTTTCTTCTGAGAAGTTGGAACTACTTACTTTTAATAGTATTCTGTTAGGCATTTTTATGGTTTTACATTTGTACAAGTAGGTTTATTTCTGTTGAGGCATCTTTCTATACGTACATTTAGTGCATGTAGGTATACTTCAGTATTTTTAACATCTGCATATTGTCCTATATAAAAATATTCTACTGCTGGGTTTTTTAAAGTTGTTTTCAGTTTTTGGAACTTTCCTGTTATAAAGAACATATTTTTTCATATATGTTTGCCTTCTGTTGAATAGTTTAATAGGGATTGGTAGGTGTGTTAGTTATTTTTTGTTGCTGTGGTAGAATGATGAAAGGCAGCTTAATGAAGCATTTATTTTGCCATAAGATTTCTGTCCTACTTTACTTTTTTTTTTTTTTTTTTGCTGTGATAAAACAACATGACCAAAGGCAACTTTGGGAAGGAAGGTTTGTTTGGCTTATATATAGCCTTATCATCAGGGGAAAGCAAGGCAGGAACCTGGAAGCAGGAATTGGAGTAGAAACTGTGCAGAGATATTGTATACTAGCTTGCTCAGCCTGTTTTCTTATATAATGCAGACCATCTATCCAAGAGTGACACTGCCCATAGTGGCCTGGGCCCTCCTCCATCAAACATTAATCAAGAAAATGCTCTATAGACTTGCCTATAGGCCAGTCTGATGGAGTGTTTTCTCAAATGAGGTTCCCTCTTCCAGATAGCTTATGTCAAGTTGACCAAAACAAAAAGCAAAACAAAACAAAACAAAAAAACAAAGAAGAGAGAAAACTAAGCAGCATAGTTTCAGGAAGCTAGATGTCCATCATGACAGGAACAGGAAGTTGAGAGATCACAGCTTATTCATACACAGGGAACAGAGAGCGGGAACTGGAGTGTGCCAAGACTATAAACTCTAAAAGTCTGTCTCCAGTGGTGGTGTTCTCTATGTTCCAAAGTTTCGTAACTTCCCTCCAAACTGTGTCACCAACTGGGGACCACACATTCAAATACATGAGCCTGTAAGAGACATTTTTCTCTCAAACCACCACAGTAGATGAGAACTTTTAATACCCTGATGCCAGTCTTAAGTGTGGTGGTAAGTCTGGAGAGATGGCTCAGCAGTTAAGAGCACTGTCTGGTCTTTCAGAGGTCCTAAGTTCAATTCCCAGCAGCCACATGGTGGTTTATAACCATCTGCAATGAGATCTGGTGCCCTTTTCTGGCATGCAGGCAGAAGACTGTATGCATAACAAGTCTTAAAACATACAAGAAGCTTAAAAAAATGAAGAGGAAAACTGAAAAGTTGAATTCATTAGTAGGAAGATCACACCAGCAAACATGCTTGAAGTAATCATGTGCTGCTCACCTTATTTGCCCTTTTGTTCAGATGAATTACAGGCATACTCCACACGGTAGAAAGATGTCCTGTAGATTTAGTCCTGTGAGATTTGGTATGCATCCTGGCTTCCCTTCTCTTCCTTTTTAGGAACTGATAATAATATTTAACTCAAGTCAGTATTTCATAGTTAATATTCATGTAATATACTTCTATTTTTTGTGGTCACGAATGAGTAAAATTCATATTTGACAGTATTCAAAGTGCAAACTGATCAAGACTGTGATGCCCTTTATATTAAGATATTTAAAGTCTTTGCTAAGTTTTAAAAATCATTACAAGTGTCCTGGTTTTTGTTTAAAATTTTTTAATTGAAAATTTTAAGCTCTTAATGTTTATTTCCAGACCTAAACCTTTATTGTTCAAAGGAGATCACAGATATCCCTCATCAAATCCTGAAAGTCCAGTGGTGATTTTTTACTCTGAGATTGGCCATGAAGAATTTTCTAATATTCACTACCAACTTAAATCAAAAAGCAAAGAAGGCAAAATTAACTATGTATTCAGACATTATATATCTGTAAGTATTGACTTATTTTATAATTTCTTGAATATTAATTTGTTTAAAATGACCTTAGAACATGAGCTTATTCTTTTTCTCCTTAAGATCTAATTTAGTTTGAACTGCTCTTTTGGAGGAAATCCAGTACTTTTTATCAGGTATCTCTTTCTGTCTTTGCACTCTTACTCAGCTCTCTCTGCCCTTCCTTCCCTCCCTCCCTCCCCTTCTCTCCTTCCCTTCCTCTCCATTTTTTTGTTTGTTTGTTTGTTTGAGATAGGGTCTGACTGTATGGTTCTGACTAGCCTGAAAACTCACTATGTGGACCAGGCTGACTTCAAACTCACAGAGATCAACCTGTCTCTGCCTCCCAAGTGCTGGGATCAAAGATGTGTGCTACTACATACGACATTTTCTTGTCTTTTTCTTTTTCTTCTCCCGTCTCCTCCCCTCTCCTTCCCTCCCCTCCTCTCCCCTGTATTGTTTTGGAGGCTGTCCTGGAACTAGCTTGGTAGACCAGGCTGGTCTCGAACTCATAGAGATCCACTTGCCCCTGTCTCCCAAGTGCTGGGATCAAAGGCGTGAGCACCAATGCCCGGCTGACACTTTTCAATTAATTAATTTTTTAACTTTTTCTGTCTTCTATCTTGCACTTCCTGTTTCATTTCCATGTCCTCTGGAGTCTTCCCTACGCCTAGATTCATCTCCTCTCCTTTTTCTGCCTGGACATCCTGCCTAACCTAGCCATTAGCCATTCTGCTGTATATTATTCCAATCAGAAGGTGCCTTGGTAAAGACATATCTTCACAGTATATGAAAAGATTATCCCACACCAGCTAGTACTTTTAACTGCTGACCCATCTTTCTAGCCCTCACTAGAAGTATTTAAATACAGCAAAGAAGTGCTCTCTCTCTCTCTCTCTCTCTCTCTCTCTCTCTCTCTCTCTCTCTCTCTCTCTCTCTCTCTCTCTCTCTCTCTCAACAAATTGTTCATGTCTGGGGTCTTACCAGCTTTCTCCTTGTTCTGTAGGTTTTGGAGTCATTCTGCCCTTCATCTGCACTGTTCCTGAGCCTTGGGGAGGGTAGTTGATACAGATGTCCTGTATAAGGCTGCATATTCACAGTCACTTATTCTCAGCGCTTTAAGTAGTTAAGAGTCTCAGTTATTAACCAGTGTCTACTACAAATAGAAGCTTTTTTTTTCTCCCCACAGTTGAGTGCAGCACAAACCTATGGATATAAACACAAATGTTTAAATGTAAATATGTAGAAGTCAGTTTGATATGATCATTATGCAAAACAACAATAATAGGTTCCCTCTTAGAGCCTGTGATATACCCAGCCATTGAATTTTGACCAGGTTTACAGGGATTCATTCTCTCCTGTGGCGTAAACATTCTGAGTCCAATGAGAAAGCCATAGATTACCCCCCTAACAGTCTTGCTATTGTTGTACCAGTGGATATGTCTTGCCTGGCAGTCAGTATTGTAGCACATAGGCTCCAGCGCCAGCTAAGACCATTGATGTCTTTTTTTCCCCAGTGGCCTCCATAGCACCTTCCAGCACTGTTGAGATCTAGCCAGCAGCGAGGAAACTTACTGGTCAGTTCCAGAATTAATTTTTTCTATGTCCTGCAACCAACGTGTCTGGTGTCTTTAGAAATGGAGTTTTATACCTAGCTATAGTAGGTAGCCAAGAGCAGTGGCATTAGCTTGTGTTGTTTAAGGGGCCTCTGGGGCTATCCTGATGAGTAACACATAATAGAGAGGTATCTCATGCTTGGCACAGGAATTTTTATTTAATAACCATTTTCTTCTTGGAGCAACACTGTTCAGCCATGCAGGATACATATATATTTTAAGACTTACTTGTGTATTTTTAATTTGTATGAATGTGTGAATGCCTGCATACATACGTATACATACATGTGTTCAGTATGTATACAGTACATGTGCCTGGTGCTTGCAGAATGTAGAAGAGAACGTCAAGTTACCTGGAACCGGAGTTTTACAGGCTGTTATATGTAGGTGCTGAGTATCAAACCCAGGTCCTCTGTAAGAACAGCTAGTGCTCTTAACCACTGAGCCAGCTCTGCAGCACCACAATATATAATTTTTAATTAGCTTTGGAGCAGTGGGCTTCCATAAGATTTTTCATATAGCCTTAGTTTTGTTTCTATCTTGAAATTCTCATTCCCATAGTTGTGGTAAGATTCAAAATATAAAGGAGACTAGGATTTCCTAAGGAGGGAAACAAATTCTAGTTTGATTTTATTCATAAATGGATGAATGTTTTCCTGGTAGGCAAGTACTTCTATTGCTGTTGATATTCAATGAACTCTTTTGAATATATAGTTAGTAACTTTATATATCAATTTCTAAATAACTTTTTAGTTTTTTTTACATCATTCCTCCCTTTTTATTCCCCCAGTTCCCCACCTTGGTTTTGATCAAATTTATCCCTTGTTTTTCTTATGTTGTTAAACATACAAATGTATATGTAAACACACACATATATGTATGCACACCCACAACTGCTCAGTTCATATAATGTTACTTGTACATACATATTTCAGGACTGGCCATTTGGTATTAGATAACCAGTTGATATGGTCTTCCATGAAATCTCACCAATGTGGCTGCTTAAACATGACCTGAGCAGAGACGAAACCAATAGACATGCTAGCAAGGAAGGGAACTGCTGTGCCTCATAATGAGCTACGTGGTGATGGTGGAATTCTTGCTCTATTTGCAGAATCCCAGGAAAGAGCCAGTTTACCTTTCTGGCTATGGTGTGGAATTGGCAATTAAGAGCACGGAGTACAAGGCCAAGGATGATACTCAGGTGAAAGGTGAATTTGTAAAATAAGACCAATGTGTTCTCTTATCTTTAAATATGACTTTATGGGAAGTTGCTTCCCATATCAAAAAAGAATAGGTTGAGGAGTGTGATGAGCTAGTGTTTACAACTTGGTTCTGTTATATCTGAGTGGATGACCTGCAGCAAATTTTCTAGGTGCTAATTTTTGTATTCTGTAATATAAAGGCAATGATAGCTTCTTTTTCAAGTATTTAAGAGAAGTAAGGAAGATAATATAAATCAAGAATTTGGGGGTTTCCAGGTGGTGGCGGTGGCGCACACCTGGTGGATCTCTGTCATTTTGAGACCAGCCTGGTTTACAGAGTGAGTTCCAGGACAGCCTCCAGAGCTACACAGAGAAATCCTTTCTTTAAAAAAAAAAAAAAAAAAAAAAAAAAAAAAAAAGAATTTGGCATAGATATGTTGTGCAAACTTGAAGTCTTAGCCCCAAAGCAGGGGTATTATAGTTCAAGGCCTGCCTGGCCTGTATAGCAAGTCCCTGTCCCTTAAATAATAAAAACAAGAATAAACAAAAACAAAAAGCTCAAAAAGCTTAGTATAGTTTTTTTCTGCATAAAGTGATTTAGTAAGCATTGTCAGCTGTTGTTAATATTACACGTATCACATAGGCATTAATGTTGTGATTCCAGTATGAAAATTTAAATATACAAGGCTTAATGGATAATTTTGTGTTTTTCTTATTTTTTGTTTTTTGGAACAGTTTACTTTGGGTTCTTACTGCCATAATACAATGTGGTTTTGAATTATTATTTTATTTTTGAGACAGGGTCTTTCTATCTAACTCTAGCTGCCCTAGAGTTAGTTCACTATGTGGACTAGGCTGGTCATGAACTCACTGAGATCGTCTTGCCTCTATTTCCCAAGTGCTGGGACTAAATGTGTGTATCACCACATCCAGTCCTGAATTAATTTTCAATCACAAATTTTACTTGCTGCCTTTTTTTCTTTAAAATTCACCATTATTATATCTTTTTTGTGCTATGTGTGGTATTGAACTCAGAGTCTTGTCTTGTATATATTATGCAAGTACTCTGTACTCTACCACTGAGCTACATCCACAGTTCTTTTTAATGTTATTTTTTGTTTCTTTTTGAGACAAGCTTTTACTAAGTTATCCAGGCATACTAAATTAATCAGGCAAGTCTTGAACTTGATCCTTCTGCCTCAAGCCTTCCGAATAGCTGGAATTGTGGTGTGTGCTATTATATTCTCTAAACTCATTTTAAACATAAAAATGATTGAATAGTAAAACAAGTAGAAAATGACTATACTTAGGATTTTGTAACTGTAAATCTTCAGAATTTAACTGTGAATAAATCCTTCATAATATTTAAATCTATTAATTTTGAAAATCTTCTAAGGTTATAGAAAAATACATTGTTTTGTTGGTTTGTTTTTGTTTTTTGAGGCAGGGTTTCTCTGTGTAACAGCCCCAGCTGTCCTGGAACTAGATTTGTAGACCAGGCGACCTTGATCTCAGAGATCTGCCTGCCTCTGCCTCCCGAGTGCTCGAACTACAGATGTGCACCACTACCCAGCGAGAAAAAGCATTGTTATTTTGTCCAAGAACAGAAGAAATATTAAAATACTGTTGGTTAAAAGCCTATAGTGAAATGCTAATTGAAACATTTGACATTTTTTTCACATTCAAACTTTGTGAAGTTAACATTTCTTTCTATTCTGAGCTACTAGACATGTGTTTGCTATGTCTTTATAGGAACTGATGTGAATACCACAGTCATTGGTGAGAATGATCCTATTGATGAAGTTCAGGGGTTTCTTTTTGGAAAATTAAGGTATGTAAATTCCTGGTGGCAGATGCCTCCTTGCATTCCGGTGTCTTTCTCATTACTCTCTAAGTGTGCCTGTTCTAGCACTTTATCTACGTAGGCTACAGTGCAGGAAACCCATCTCATTTATAGTAAAGTTGGTCATTTCTAGTTATTCCAATCACTTTGTTTTCTTGGGTGGCACTGTAGTTACTGGCCTATGGCAAAAGTGGGTTTTCTGTTCCTCTCAGTTGATGACATAAAGTTACATATCGTTTTGACTGAACAATAGAATGGATCACATTGCTTTTTGTTCATAGAGTTGGTGGTAGTGTGGATTTTTAAATTAGAGTGACCAGAGTTATTTTCTAATGTTAAGCTGAAGCTGAAAAAAAATGATCAAGAGTCTTATAGTACTTTAAAAACACATAGCAGAAATACGTTCTGTCAGCCAACAGGAACTTTTTTTTTGTCATTGGTATTTTTGAGGCAGGGTCTTGCTTTGTAGCCCTGGTTGGTCTGGAATTCTCTATGTAGACCAGGTTACTCTCAGCCACACCTATCTCTGCCTCCTGGGTGCAGATCAAAGTCATGTGCAGTCGTGCCCGGTTTTAATAATGGAAATTGTCTAATAATTTCTCAAACCATTTTGTGAAAATATTATAATTTATAGAAGAAACTAATTTTTAACCATGGTGACTTGATACATTTTTCAGAGCTTTGAATTCTGCTCTGTGTGGGAATTTCAGAACATCTGTGGTGTGCTGCTTGTTTAGAAAAATAAAAAAAGATGACAATAAATAACATGCGAGGCTCATTTTCATGTGCTTCAGTTATGACATTTGGCTGAGTGAAATAGTCTAACCAGGGTTAGGCGGTAATGTTTTCATTTCCAGTTGAATTGCTGTGTTGAGTTGATTCATTGCCTACGCACACTTGTTTGCCGTCACTTTGAACTATGGCTGTAGTCAGGTACCACTTTTATTTGATGAAGATTTCCAGAGTCTTTTAATATTCTTTTTAGAGGTTTTGATTACATTTATTTAGTTTGCGTGCGTGTGTGTGTGCGTGCGTGCATGCATTCGTGCGTGTGTGTGTTGGGGACAGTGCATGGTATACATATGGACCTGGTTCTCTGACTCACCTTCTGGGTCCTGAGGTCCAAACTCAGGTTCTCAGGCTTGATGGCAAGCCTTTACTGGCCTCACCAGCTCACTAGTCTGTTTTGTTATTTTTTTGGGTGTTGCTGTGATTTTACGTATTTATAAAACAAAAGCGTCATGTAGACTATACAGTGCTAACTTACTTCTAGAGGACCATTGTTGTGCCTTAACATCTTTTGCCCATATTAAAGAAATTTTCTTAGGTTTGGGAGGGGATGGTCATGAAGTTAAATCCATAGTCCTTCGCTGAGTGTACTCTGAGAGAAAACAATGAAAATAACTGATCTGTTTCTGTCAGAGAACTGTACCCCACCTTGGAAGAACAACTGAAAGAATTCCGGAAGCATCTTGTGGAGAGCACCAATGAAATGGCACCCTTGAAAGTTTGGCAACTGCAAGGTGATGGAAACTCAGAGGCCACTGGCAGTTTTGCCAGTATATTTTTTTCATATTAAAAAAATGCAGAAGTTGGGCTAGGGATATAGCTCAGTCGTTAGAGTGCTTATCTAGCATGCACAGAGCCATGGGTTGATTCCTGGCACCCCATTAACCAGGATTTGTACTGTACCTGTAATCTCAGAACTTACTTACATCTGAGGCAAGGTGATTGTCAGGAGTTCCAGGCCAATTTGTGCTATAGAACAAAACCTTGTTTTGGTGTAGGGGGTGGGGTTGCAGAAATTGAATGAAATTTACAAGATTCGGAGAGTGCCACGGATTGTGATTTTTTTTTAACACACACACACACACACACACACACACACACACACACACACACACATACACACACATGTTTAGATACTATTTTAAAATTAAAATATAATTACACCACTCCCCTCCTTTCCTTTCCTCCCAACTCCTCCCATGTTAATATGTAACTTGCTGAGTACATTTAGTGTTGCTTGTGTATATATGCTTTCGGGACTGACTGATAACCAACTAGGGGGCCCATCCCCTGGAAGCTAATTCTCTCTTTTTCAGCATGTTTGTTGTTGGTGTGTAGAAAATCTATTGATTTTTGTAAGTTGATTTTGTATCCTGCCACTTTGCTTAAATTATTGACAGTGTTTTGAAGTTTTCTTGTAGAATTTGGGATCCCTTATGTATAATATCATGTCATCTGCAAATAGGAAATTATATCTCCTTAATTTCTTACCCTTGCCTTACTGCTCTAGCTAGTGTTTTGAGAACTAAATGGAAAAGGCCCTTTTTAACCTAAATTAAAAAAAAAAAAAGGCCCTTATCCCTTCCTGATTATAGTAGGATTTGAGTCTCCATTTAGATAATGTTGGCTGTGGTTTATCATATATAACCTTCATTTGTGGTATGTTCCTGCTGGTGCTATTCTCTCTAGATTTTTGTCATGAAGTCATGACATGGATTTGTCTGTCAAAGACTTTTTTCTACATATATTGAGACAGTCTTTTGTTTGTTTGTCTTGAGACAAGGTGTGCTGTCTTGGCTGGCCTGAAATCATTATGTAGATCAGGCTTCCTTTGAACTCAGAGATCTGCCTGCCTCTACTTCCCGAGTCTTGGGATTAAAGGTGTGTGCCAACACACCTGGCCAGAAATGGTTAAATGTTTTTTTGCCTATTTATATGATTTATCACATTTATCAACTTACATATGTTGAACTATCTTTGTACTTTGGGGATAAAGTTAACTTTGTCATGGTGGATAATTTATTTTGATATATGCCTTTATGGGATTTGCAGGTTATTTTACAGAAGATTTATGAATATATTTTCATGGTGGATATTGACCGTTAGTGTTCTTTTTTGTTGTATCTCTATTTTTGTTATTAAATACTGGCTTATTAGAAGAAGTTTGAACATAATTCTTCAGTTTCTATTTTTTGAGTAAATTTAAGAAATATTAGCTGTACATCTTTGAAAGTCTGGTAGAACTCTTGTGTAACTCCATCTGGGCCTGATCTCCTTAATTGGAAGGCTTCTAGTTACTCTTTTACTTACCCGTTTAAATACTCCAATCTCCTCATTTATTATTGGACTGCAGATCTCTTCTTGACTTAACTTCAGTGGTTTGCATGGATCTAGAACTTTGTCCGTTTCTTTTAGACTTTCCAACTTAATGGAATTCAGGTTTTTAAAGTATTCCCTTATATTGTTCTGAATTTCTTTGGTGTCTGTTAATGTTTCACTGTTGATTTCTAATTCTGTTAATTTTGGTTATCTCATTCTTTCCTTTGGTTAACTGGGCCAAGGGTCTGTCAGTCTTGTTTAACTTCTCAAAGAACCAGCTGTTGTAAAGTGTCAGAGGCTCTTTTTTTTTTTTCTGTTTTTTAAAATTCTGGGCTGAATTTTAATATTTCTTGCTATCTACTGGTCTTGGGTTTGTTTTGTTGTTGCTTTTCTAAATTCTTGAGTTGCATCACTAAGCCATTTATTTGTACTCTTTCTGATTTGTAAGCACTTTGAGTTATAAATTGGATTGGTTTCAGTGTGCCCCAGAGATTATTGTTGTGCTGTATTTTCTTTTTTATTTAGTTCCAGTAATTTCTTGACTTCTTCTTTGATCCATTCAACCTTAAGTAACTAGTTTTTAATCTCCATGGGTTTGTGTACTTTCTAGAGATTTGTTTGCTGTTGATTTTACGTTTTATCACATTGTGGTCAGATAGGATACATGGTCTTATTTCTATTTTTCTGCAAGTTAAGATTTGTTTTGTGCTCTATTTGAGAAGCTCCCATGGACTGTAGGGTTGAATGTATACTCTCTGGTATGTATGTGGAATACTTTATAATCTGTTAAGCCCATTTGCTGTATGAGATGTTCATTGTCATGCTTCTCTGCTGAGTCTTTTTCTATTGGAGACAGTGTGGTATTAAAATTATTATTATTGGGTTGAACCTTTGTCTTTAATTTGGTGAGTAAGCTTTTTATGAAATTGGGTGCACCACAATTGGATGCATATATGCTTAGTTATAATGTCATCTTGGTTAATTGTTCCCTTGAATAGAATGAAATATCCTTCTATTTCTTTCGGTTAATTTAGTTTGAAGTCTGTTTATTTTGGAGTTATTTTAGTTTGAAGTCTAAGATAGCAACGCCTGCTTGTCTCTTGGTCCACTTGATTGCAGTTGTTTTCCCATCCTTTCTCTCTGAGGCGGTGCCTGTCTTTAAGGCTGAGATGAGTTTCTTGTACACAGCATAAATGTGGATTTTTGTTTCTTTTTGTTGTTGGGGGGCGGTTCGAGACAGGGTTTCTCTGTGGCTTTGGAGGCTTTCCTGGAATGGATTTTTGTTTCCTAATCCATTCAGCCATCCTGTGTCTTTTGATTGGGGAGTTGAGACCGTTAGTATTTAGAGTTATTATTGAAAGGTTTATGTTCTCAGTTGTACTTTTTGTTTCATTAATTAGGGCATCATTTATTTTCTTTCTACAGGCTCCTCAGTGTCATTATTCCTCCCTCAGTCTGACATTACTGCTTTGAGTATTGTCTTTAGGGGTTTGTTTTGTAAACAGGAATTCTTTTAGTCTTTTTATGTCACTGAAAGTTTTTCTTTCTCCTTCAACGATGGCAGATACTTTCGCTGCACATGGCAGTCTAACTGGTATCTGTGGTCTCTTAGAACTTAGTGTGCATTGCTCCAGGATCTTGTGGCTTTCCAAGTTTCTGCTGAGAAGTCAGCTGTTACTCTGATGGGTTTCCCTTTATGTCTGACTTGCAATTTTTTTCTCTTGTAACTTCCAATACTCCTAGTTCTGTATACTCAGTGCTTTAAATAGGTTATGGCATGGAGTTTGTTTTCTGGTCTTTCTGGTGTGCTGTGTACTTCTTATATCTATGTCTGTCCCTTTCTTTAGTTTGGGGAAGTATTCCTGTATAATCTTGTTATAGAAAGACAATGGTTAAGAGAAGAAAGGAAATCCTCTGTAAAAACCTAAGTTGTCAGTTTTTAATTTTAGGTTTGTACTTTTTTTTAGTAGTGCTGATGTACTGGGTGGTGGTGGCGAAACCTTCAATCCCAGCGCTTGGGAGACAGAGGCAGACAGGTCTCTGAGTTCGAGGCCAGTCTGGTCTACAAAGCTACACAGAGAAACCCTGTCTCTAAAAATCAAAAAACAAACAAAAAAACAAACCAAACAAACAAAAAACCAGGGAAAATAAAACAAACAAATAAAAATAGTGCTGATATTTGATCTAGGGCCTCACATATTGGACATGCACTCTACCATTGAGCTATAACCATGGTCTTACATGCATTTTAAAATTTATTTACTATCATTGTGCATATGTAGGCTGTTGTGCCCATAGTGCCGTGTGGTGGTTAGAGGACAACTTTATTTGTTTAGTTTTTCCACCTTTATTTGGGTTCCAAGAGATTGAGTTGGACTAATCAGGATGGCATTGTAAGCAGCAAGCACCTTTACTCACTGAGCCATCTGGCTGGTCTCCTGTGTGTATTTGTACAGTTTCTTAAACTGGGTATTTGTAGAATATATGTGTACTTTTCTGTTCTAAAGAATGTTCCAAATTGTTCTCAAGATATTTTCCCAAGATAATTTGCTAGATATTTTAATCCTGTATTTTATGATATATTGTAAATCTAGGAGACACTAGGGTCTGGGCTCAACTTTGCTTCTGCTAAATGTGTTAGCATGCACCCTAGGAATTTATGCATGTAGGTTAGGAATAACTTAGTAACACTCCACGGGCCCATGAAGTGGTTGCATTCTAAGGCATTCATTACTCTTGGGAATTGCGGGTAGTACTGGGGAATTTGGTCTACTGTCATTACCTTAGAGTCCTATGTTCTAATGTGACTCTTGCCATTGTTGCAGATCTCAGTTTCCAGACTGCTGCCCGAATCCTGGCTGCCCCTGTGGAGTTAGCTTTGGTGGTGATGAAGGATATTAGTCAGAATTTTCCTACCAAAGCCAGGTAACATCTGCTACGGTTTTGGTACATCCTTTAACAATATTTCCAATGACTTTCATGTTTACATAGAACATGATATAACTAAAATATAAAAATGCTTTGAAATGAAACCTATTTGTAACTACTGTTGCAACTGGTGTCCTCTTCTAAGAAGATGACAAGACCATTGGTTGTGTGGTTGAAGAGAGCGGGATCTGGATGTTGTTGTCACTGCTGCACTTAAGCCAGATCAGCTAATCTGGAGTCTGACCCAGACTGCCAGTTGTGAGTCCTGATGAGAAGGGCTTTGCCCAGGGCTCTGTGTAGCGCTTGCCTCACATGGGTAGGCCCCAGTTTAGTCTTCATTCCTGCCACAAAGAAGAGGAAGAGAGGGGGGATGTGGACGATCAGGTTCCCAATGGAGGAACTGAGGCTCAGAGAGACTGACCCTTCATAGTAACAGTATTCTGAATTTTCCGACATGACTGCGTATTCTGTAATGTTACTCTCTGTCCTGTGAATGCAAGGTAAATTTATTTAAAAGCCTGATTCTTAGAAGCTAATCTTTGTCTCAGATTGCTGAAAGCACTAGTGGGCTTAGTTCTGGACTGAATGTTTTATTCCTTTTTCACTGAGTAGTATGCCTGTGTAAAATTTCTTAACCCATCATGCTTCTGGAAGATACACATGCAGGGCTCAACCTCCAGCAGAAGGATTTAATAGGACCAGCAGTCTGCTTCAGTGCATTTAATGCTATTTATCTGTCACAGTCAATATCAATGTCACATAAGGAGTAGGGCTACACAGTCAAGTGAGACCTTGGAAGCAACTGGACTTTCTGTCATGTATTGTCACTATGCAGTTTTCCTTTGTTGTTCTGTCTTACAGAAGTGGAAATTTGTGCATCTGTGAGATACACTTGTCAGTTGTAGAACTGTGATGTTGACTTAGTTCTTATTGAACCATGTGTTTCATGTTTAAGAATAGGGAAATTGAAAGCCTTTAAATGGAATGCTAAACCAAGCACTGATCATATTTTTGTTTTTTAGAGCAATAACCAAAACAGCTGTGAGCTCTCAACTTAGAACGGAAGTGGAAGAGAATCAGAAGGTATTAGTAACTGATAGAAAACATTCTGTCCTGTGTTGTATCTTTTTAAAAAAAATGTAGAAACTTGAATTAAAGTAGTGACATTTAGCAGCGTTACTTTTAGTAATACTTATAAATACTTAGGGTAATTATCATATAGCGAATGACTACACATATATGTGTGTATATTGATACATATTAAAGTTGGTGGCATTTTGTTAAGGAGATCAGTCTCCTGAAGGGGTGGGGGTGGGGTCAACAAGGAGTCTGGACCTCTTGTTTTAAGCAGACTTTCTTTAAACCTTTTCCGTCCCTGCCTTTGATGCACTCCACAGGGTAGCTGGGTTCTTGTCCTTCCTTCCCATCAGTCCCCCACGCAGCTTCTGGAGATTGCCAGGACACTCACTACTCTCTCTTACCCCTTCTGCATCTAGATTCCCTTGGCCTTTTTCTGTCTGTTCTCTTTGCCATGGGCATTCTTAACAGAAAAGGCCTGTCTCCTTACAGACATTTCTCTAGAGTTGTGGGTGTAGGGAGAACCCGTGTGTTCAATTAACCTTTTAAAATCTTTCTTTTGGTTTTTTGAGATAGGGTTTCTCTGTGTAGACCTGGCTGTCCTGGAGCTCATTATGTAGACCAGGCTGTCTCAGAGACTTACCTCCCTCTGCCTCCCAAGTGCTGGGGTCAGGCATGTGCCACCACACCCATTTTTACCACTGGATTTCATTATGTGTAGGATGTTACTTAATTAAATAGATTTGGGAAAGAAACCAAATATTTCACACGAATTATGAAATTAAAAGCATTATAGGTATGGTGGTGCACACCTGGAATCCCTGTATGTAGGACGCGGAGGCAGGAGAGCTGGAGCTTTATGGCCATCCTTGGCTACATAGTGAGTTTGAAGCTAGCCTGGGATTTCTTTTATTTTATGGTTCCTGTTTACCACTCTAAAGGTGGTAGGACCTGGGAGAGTGGAGCCTAAAAATGGAGTGGATGAAAGTCTCATGCAATAGTCAGCTTTCTTCAGAGCATCAGAGAATATATACCTCAGGTTAAGAGTCACGAGTCAAATGCCCAATCACAAGAGCCAGCCACATGTGGCAAAACCAGGTTTTTTCCAGAGCGGCACATAAATAAATAACAATGTCCAGCTGTAATGAATAATCTGAAGTAAACTCACTCCTAGCTGCTACACCTGGGAGGGGCTTGAAAACACACTCCAGGAACAATTCTGTTTTTGGAGAAACTGAGGTCACAAGACTCTTAGTTTCTTGGAGGTTTCTCACAAGCACTCAGAATTCTTATGATTCCATTTTTTGGACTATGTTCTGACAGCTACCCACTCCAGAGGAGGCATAACATTAAGTTACGTGAGCTATATTGGTATTTCTTGGATTCTTGATTTTGCATGCATAAATGCGTGCATACAGAAGTCTATAAAGATGAAGCACAAGTGCATCCAATCTTAAATCTAGTGTGATGAATTTTCTCAACGTGAGCTCACCTGTGTCCCAGACCTAGCCGTAAATACCAGTTATATTGGGTTGTATTTACAAACTCAGAGTTAGACTTCCTTACCATATCAGGCCCAAGAGAATGGGCATGAAAATGTCCCATTAAGAAAATTTGAATTCTTGCTGGGTAGTGGGGCACACCTTAAATCCCAGCACTTGGGAGGCAGAGGCAGGTGGATCTCTGTGAGTTCAAGACCAGCCTGGTCTACAAGAGCTAGTTCCAGGACACAGCTCCAAAGCTATACAGGGAAACACTGTCTTGAAAAGCGAAAACAACAACAGCAAAAAAAAAAAACAAAAAAAAAACCCAAAAAAAAACAGAGAAAATTCTAATTCTTATTTTAATTGTGTGTGTGTGTGTGTGTGTGTGTGTGTGTGTGTGTACACATGTGAGTATATCAAGGTTTACCTATGGAGGTCAGAGGACACCTTTCAGGAATTAGTTCTTGCATTCTCCCTTGCTGAGGCAGGGTCTTTTTTTGTTTCTTTTTCATGCTGTACTATGCACTCCAGGCTAGCTGGGCCTCAAGCCTCCTGGCAGTTCTATCTCCACCTTCTGTCTTGCTTAGGAGCGCAGACTTAACAGATATGCACCATTACATTTGGAGTGTGGACTTAACAGATGTGCACCATTACATCTGGCTTTTTACATGGATTCCAGGGAATGACTTGAGTTGGCTTGGAGGGCTAGTGCTTCTATCTGCTCACCATTCTCTGGTTTGAAATTCCAGTTCTTAGTTGCTTCAGCTCTCCATTATTTTCTTTTTTTTTTTTTTTTTTTTTTGTTGTGTTATTTGTTTTTAAGGGTTTTTTTGTCTTTCATTATTTTCATTATTTTTCCTCCTTTCCTTTTCTACTTTTCATATACCCCTCCTTGTTCTTTCAGATTTATGGCCTTTTTTTCATTGTTACATATGTGTTTTCAGCATTTTGTATTATCTTCCATCTTGTTTTCTATTTAATGCTGTCATGTCTGTGAAGCCTGAGACACAACTTCCTTGCTGTTTATTTTCCCATGCAATGCTGAAGCTTGAAAGTATACTTTCCTCAGTCCTTGACTGCTGGGGAGTGAAGGTGCTCCTCGGGTCGGGTTTTTCTTCTGTACCACACTGTGTTGCCTAGTCCTCCTGTGGTAGGACACACAAGACAGAGTGGTACGCAACAGAAGTGTCAGAGTGGAGGCACATCGGTGTTTCTGGCGGGTTTGGGCTGCACAGTCACCAGCGTACTGGACTGCCACTCAGCGTGGCACAGCGATGAAGTACTCCACAGACCAGGCCTTGCTGGCCCAGGCAGGTGGAGGGGTGTTGCCTTTAGTACAACAACCCAGTCTCTTGGCATGCTTTAGTTTGAAGGCTTTCAGGGGGTTGGACTTGGTGTTAGAAACCCTTTTGTCAATCTCATATTTCATCAAGGGGCCCTTGTGTTGGTTGCCAGCCCAGCCTTGGTTGGCATCACAATCAGGGAGGCAACAGAAGCATAAAAAAGCAAAGCTATGCACTTTACTCTGGCACTTGCAAACAGAGGTAAGGACAATTCCAGTGCCTGTGTAACTTGACAGATAGACAGAAGGCAGAATCATCCTGTGACCCCAATTATAAATGGCTGTCTGCCTCTGCCTCCCAAGTGCTGGGATTAAAGGCGTGCACTACCAACTCCCGGTCTCCAATTACACTTTTACATTTTAAGAACAGTAACAAAAACAAGCATGCAAAGTCACATGTTGTGGAACACATCTTTAATTCCAGCATTTGGCAGGTAGAGGCAGAAGGTTCAGTCAAGGTCATCCTCACAAAGTTGTGTTGTGGGCCAGGAAGAAGCATGTTATTTTTAAAGTTATCTAGAGATAATATTTGTTTAGTTAGTCCTATTTATATTTTGTTGTGTTTGATGTGGGTGTGTGTTCATATGTGTTTGCATGTGTGTGGAACACAATTTTGTAGGTACACATGCATTTGAGTGTATGTATGTACAGGAGCCAGAAGGTTGATTGATGTTGGGTGTCTTCCTGTATTGCACTCCACTTTGTTTACTGAGGCAGGGTCTCGGACCAAACCTAGAACTCACATTCAGCTAGTCTAGCTAATCTGCTTGTCTTTGGGAATCTTACCTCTTCCAAAATGCTGAGGTTACAGGTGATCACTGTGCCTGCTTGTCTGGCCTTTATATGGATGGGTTCTGGGGATCTGAACGTCAGTCCTCCCTCTTGCATGGCAAGCACTTTCTTTATCCACGAGCCACCCTCATGGCTGCTCTGTTTCCTTCCTTCCTTCCTTCCTTCCTTCCTTCCTTCCTTCCTTCCTTCCTTCCTTCATGATTTATTTTTTTATTTTATGTTCATTAGTGTTTGATCTGTATGTATGTCTATGTGAGGGTGTTGGATCTCCTGTAATTGGAGTTACAGACACTTGTGAGCCTCCATATGGATGCTGGGAATTGAGCCCAGGTCCTCTGAAAGAACAACCAGTGCTCTTAACCACCGAGCCGTCTCTCCAACCCTCTATTTTTTTTTTTTTTTGATAAGTGACTTGTAGCACTTGACATCCTTGCATGCCCAGCGTTATAGAAACAGTTGTGTCATCATCAGAATGAAGGAAGGGGACGGAAAAAAGGGGAAAAGGCAGAGGCCCAGTAAAGCAGCATCTTCATTCACTATAGCGGATGCTCAGAAGGGTCCATGGAAGAGTGTAAAAGGGAATTTATTTTCTTTTCTTTTTAAAACTTAATTTAAATTAGAAACTAGGTGCTTTACATGTCAATCCTAGTAAAAGGGAATCTTAACCTGCCCCAGAACGTCAAGATTTGTGTGGGTTATAAAGCCCAGAAACAACAAACTTTGCTAAATATCCTGCTCTTTGTGTGTGTGTTTTCAGTATTTCAAGGGAACTATGGGATTGCAGCCTGGAGATTCAGCTCTTTTCATCAATGGACTTCATATTGATTTAGATACCCAGGATATATTCAGGTATGGCTAATATATACTTTTTAACCACACCCCCCATAAAGTTTTATAATTGACATGTTCAGTTCCTGTTTCTCTTTGGTGTGGCATGAGCAAAGGCTCATAGCTAATGAGGCTCACTGGGGGTGGGCCATGCTGTGACTGGGGTAGGCAGCATGATTTGTCATCATCCTGTAAAACAGAGTGTGCAAGTCTTGAGTGTTTTAAAAGATGTGTTTGAGGTTGTAGTTTTCCTGTTAACTGTAGAAGCATTGAGGAGAGAGAATTCCTTTGCTTCTGAGAAGTGTAAAGTAGGTGTAATTATAGTGCTGTCACTCCTGTCTCACAAGGCATTCATTTTTAAAAATGAATATTTTGAATATTATTTTTTTAAAATTTGTTTTGTTTTTGAGATAGGGTCTTATTAGCTCAGGCTAGCCTCCCAACTTTGTGAGGATGGCCTTGACTGAACCTTCCGCCTCTACCTGCCAAATGCTGGAATTAAAAATGCAAACCACAACATGTGACTTTGCATGCTTGTTTTTGTTACTATTCTTAAAATGTAAAAGCATGCAAAGTCACATGTAGTGGTACACGTCTTTAATTCCATACAGTCTTGAGTTACCATTTGGGTTCTGGGAATTGAACCTGGGTCCTCTGGAAGAACAGCCAGTGCTCTTAACTGCTATGCCATCTCTCCAGTCCTTGTCATGATGGCTTTATAATAGTAAACATAAAAGCAGTTGTTAATGCTTTAGGAGAAGTAGTTTCACAATATTATTGTGTGAATTAATTGAATTAAACTTTATACCCATCTGTTGCATCACAGACCTAGTGATAAGTTAGTAAAATGAATATGAATATTGTTCATTATGTGACTTTATTAAGTGATTTATTAAAATAGTCTATCCTTCAGATTATTGCAAATTAAGAGATTGATCATTACAATCTTAAATAATGCAGCATATAGCAACTAAAAAGTAAAATTTCTGCTATCTTGTTAATCTCCTTATCTCTTTGTTCCCAGAAGACATCTTCATTGTTATTAATGTGTGTGAGTGTGTGTGTGTGTGTGTGTGTGTGTGAGAGAGAGAGAGAGCCTGTTCCAACTGACTCTGATATTAAAACACACATTAAAGATTTAATGTGCTCTTTTGTGTGTTTTTAAAATTTAAGATAATTACGGATTCATTTAATGTTGTAAAAATGTAATGCCGACTAACTCTTCTTTTAAAGCAGGGTAGGTCAGGAAGGTGGCTTAGTTGGTAAGTGCTGTGTGCAAATATGAGCACTTGGGTTCATATCCCCAGTACTCAGAAGCCAGGCAGAGTGCACCCTTCTATAGCTCTAGCACTGGTTGGGTGGAGACGGCTGATCTCTGAAGCTGTCAGTTGAATGAAGAGGCCCTGTAACAAAAGTCACCTGATAGGGGCCTCTGACCTGTACCCACACATGGATACATTTACAAACATGTAAACTACATATGAACACACATATATGCTGCTTACAATAACAAATATAAATGAATAAATTAAAGCCTTGAAATATCTCAGCAGATAAAGCCGCCTGGGACTTCCCATCTGGCAGTGCAAACTTGACAACCTGAGTTCAATCCCTGGAACCCACATAAAGGTGGCAGGAGAGAGCTAAATCCATAAAGTTTTCTTCTGATCCACACAAATGCAGAAGCATGTACACATACCTTACACACAGTATGCCCAGTAATTAGTAAATAAGTAAGTTTTTAAAAAAAATACCAACAAACAAATACACATGTGGTGTAGGGATGGGGAGATGACTTAGTCCTGACGTGTTTTGGCCCTGAGTTTAAGTCTTATGTAAAACGCTAGGTTTTGTGGCACACTGCTGTAATCCTCCTGCTGGGGAGGTGGAGATGAGGACCCATGGAGCATCCTGGCCAGTAGTCTTGATGGGTCTGGAAGCTCCAGGATCAATGAGAGACTCTGCCTCAGAAAATAAGCTGGAGAGCAGTAGAAGACCCTGATATTGACCCCTGGCCTCCATGCTCACACAAGTGTACACATATGAACACATGCATACACATTCCTCCACTCTCATGCACTATGAAGTATAAATTGAGGCCTCTTTCATTTTAAAGACAACCTAAGTTTATACCGAGAGATAATCTACACATCCACTGAGAATTTAAATAAACAGGACCAGGAAAGCACATCCTGCCACTGTCCTGTGTACTTTGGCCAGATGAAGCAAGGGGAAGAGTTCATTTTTAGATCTTCAGTCGGTTTGCTTTAGCATTTTGAATTGATAGAAATTTTTAATATTAAGGCTTCCTTAAGTTTTTTCCCTACCAAATACCATCAGTTTGTGTATATGTGTTATATGTTGTGAGTTGAATCCAGGGCCTCACATGCTAGGCAAGTACTGAACTCTGGCATAATCTCTAACACTTAACTGGACACCTTGGTTTCTCTGCAGTCTGTTTGATACTTTGAGGAATGAAGCCCGGGTAATGGAGGGTCTGCACAGACTAGGAATAGAAGGCCTTTCTCTACACAATATTTTGAAGCTCAACATCCAGCCCTCTGAGACTGACTATGCAGTAGACATCAGGAGTCCTGCTATTTCAGTGAGTACTCATTTAGAGTGGTCCTGAGGCCTCTGGTCAGGCACCTTACTGCTTTCTAATTTGTGTTTTATCAAAGATTTACAAGTACTTGTGTGACATTGTGTTTTTGTAACAATAAGATGAGTTCGCTCTGTCTGTCTGTCTGTCTGTCTGTCTGTCTGTCTGTCTGGGATTAAAGGCATGCGCCAACATGCTGGGTATAAGATAGGTTTTTACATGCTCTTGAAAGTTGTTTTCTGACCATTGTGAATAAGAAACATTCTTTCCAGGGATGGAGAGATGGCTCACCAGTTAAGAACATATACTGCTCTAGCAGAAGTCCCAAGTTCAGTTCCCAATATCCACAGTTCCCAACAGTCACCTGTAACTCCATCTCTAGGGGAGATGTCTAACTTATGTGGGTACCTGCCCTCATGTATACACACACACACACACACACACACACACACACACACACACACACACACACAAATCAAATAATTAGAAAATAATAAAAACTTTTAAAAAACATTCTCTCAATTACATTTTATTCATAGGATTCAAATGAGCGTCTTGGGAAGAGGGTTTGTGTTTTTCTAGTTGTGTCTAGGTTTTCTGTGTCTGTGACAACATGCATAATTCAAACTCTTTTTTTTTTTTTTTTTTTGGTTTTTCGAGACAGGGTTTCTCTGTGGCTTTGGAGGCTGTCCTGGAACTAGCTCTCGTAGACCAGGCTGGCCTCGAACTCATAGAGATCCGCCTGCCTCTGCCTCCCAAGTGCTGGGATTAAAGGCGTGCGCCACCAACGCCCGGCTGCATAATTCAAACTTATTGTTAGAACATATATTCCCAATTAATAGCCTTATTTACAGGGACCTTGCTGTCAGCTGTGTGACCCCTGTGTCATTGTCATCTATAAAAAGAATGTGGGGAATGGTGGTGTGTTATCTTTTTTCTCCTTGGCTGTCCTGTACTTACTTTAGAGACATTTTATTGGAAGAGAGACTGTGAGTCAGGCATGTGTATCCTGCAGCCTGTCAGCACATGTATCCCAGGATAGCACTAATGCAGCCAGCGTATTATAGGTGTCAACGCTTGGGCCTGCTGTCTGTGGCCTCTCTTCACCCACACTCTCACTTGGTGCTGCAACCGTTGCATGGTTTTGCTTGTAACGAATAAAGAAAACAGCGTAATAAATCTATTGATAATCATGTGATCATCATCATTCTTTCTAAATAACCAGCTTGTGTAATAATTGCTGTTCTCGTGCAGTGAAAAATGTTTCAGTTGAGGATCTCTTTGTGTTCCTTCCTAGCCACACCACTTCTCCCCGCTGACAGTTCATTCCTGCAGTTGGTGTGCACTCCTCTGTCTCTAACTTTATACCTTTACTTCCTTTTAAAGGTTTTCAATATTTTCACAGTCTGGTGTGTCTGTTGGTGTCTCGTATCTATTTCCTTTTCATTCCATAACCCAATTTTATTTTTATGACCACTTTTTAGGCCTCCTGTCTCCACATTCCTTTAAGTCCTTTTAAATCATGTAATTAAGAACATTTTAATAGTGGTTTTAGATTATTTATATTGTTGGGAATGGTAACACATGCCTTTAATCCCTGTACATAGGATGCAGGGGCAGGAGGATTTCTGTGAGTTTGAGGCCAGCCTGGTCTACAGAGTGAGTTCTAGGAGAGCCAGAGCTACATTGTCAGACCCTCTCTCACAAAACAAACAAACAAAAAACCCCAAAAAACCAACCCCCCCAAAAATCCAAAGCCCAAAACAAATAGACCAAGAAATTCACATTGTTATAAGTCTTTTTTAATAACAAGTTTTTAAGACCTTTCAAGAGGGTGCTACATATCAGAGCTGGAGTACTTGGTAGTATTGGAAGGTCTTCAGCTTTATTAGGTCCATTAGACGAGAGTGAGAGTTCCAGTCACCAACATTGTGTGAGGATTCCTGTTGCTCTATTTTTTTTAACCTTTTACTTATTTTTTAAAAGAACCTTTATATTTTTGTAGCTGAAAATTTAAGATATACTGAAGGTGTCTTAGTTAGGGTTTCTGTTGCTGCAATGAAACCACATGACCAAAAAACAAGTTGGAAAGGAAAGGGCTTATTTGGCTTATATTTCCACATCACTGTTCATTATGGAAGGAAGTCAGGACTCAAAGAGGTCTGGAACCTGGAGGCAGGAGCTGATGCAGAGGCCGTGGAGGGATGCAGCTTACTGGCTTGCTCCCCATAGCTTGCTCAGCCTGCTTTCTTACAGAACCCAGGACCATTTTCCCAGGGATGGTACCACCTACAGTGGGCTGGGCCCTCCCCTAGCAATCACTATTTAAGAAAATGTCTTTGGCTGGGCGGTGGTGGCGCACACCTTTAATCCCAGTACTCAGGAGGCAGAGGCAGGCGGATCTCTGTGAGTTTGAGACCAGCCTGGTCTACAAGAGCTAGTTCCAGGACAGCATCCAAAGCCACAGAGAAACCCTGTCTTGGAAAAAAAAGAAAGTGTCTTTCAGCTGGGTCTACGTGTCTTACAGGAACATTTCCTCAATTGAGGTTCCTTCTTCTCAGATGACTAGCTTGTATCAAGCTGACATAAGGCTAGCCAGCACAGAAGGTGTATAGTAGTAGATGTATTGTCACCAGCCATCCTGCTTCCTGGAGTGGTAGCATGAGCAGTGGCTTGTGTACCCTTTCAGAGCACTCTGCTCACACAGATGGAAATATCTGTGTCTTCCCTGCTCCTTATCCATACAACACGTGCTTACTGTCCATCTGTTCTCATGCCTTCCTACTGTTGTAGATACTGCCATATTGGGTCTCTCAGTGTCCTTTCCTCCCACATACATGTGAGAATTCAGTTGAATGGAGACCTGCATCTATATCTGTTTCTTTAAATGAGTGTTGCAGACACCGTCATGGCCTGAGGGTTCCTGTGTGCTCTCTACTTTTGCCTAGTCTTAGGTACTGACAAGCTGCTAATTTTTTCTAATTTAATGAATGTGAAGTTTTCTTGTGGATTTGTTTACATTTCTCAGATTGTGATTGAAGTTGTGTTTACTGATGGTCCCTATGTAGTTTTTGTTTTATTATTTTTGTTTTGTTCTGTTTTGTTTGTTTGTTTGTTTTGAGACAGGGTTTATCTATATAACAGCTCTAGCTGTCCTGGAACTTGCCTTGTAGGCCAGGCTGGCTTCGAACTCACGGATCTTTGCCTTCTTCAGCCTCCTGAGTCCTGGGATTAAAAGTAGGTGCCACCATACCTAGCTTAGCTTTATTATTCTTATTCTTGTCTCATTTACTGTGGGTTGCTTGTTGTTTTTTTTAATTGTATTTGTTGTTACTTGTCTTTAGTTGGTTGTGTTGATTGCAAATAATTTCACCTATTTTATGGTTATGTTGTAGTTATTCCTTTTTCTATTCAATTTTTGTATATTTGAGAATTGTCTTATCTCTTATGCCTGTGTATTTGCTGGAGACAAGGTCTTGTATCACCCAGACTGGTGTCAAATTCTACATAGCCATTGACAATTTAACACCTGATTCTCCAGCCTCTACCTTCTAAGTGCTGGGATCACAGGCATGTGCTACCATGTCCATCTACTCTGTGATTTTTGAAGTCTCATTATCTTTTTTTCCCATCAATGACTAATATGTATTTACCATGTTGTGTTTTTTGTTTTATTCAAGTGGGTCAACAACCTAGAGGTTGATAGCCGATATAATTCATGGCCTTCTAGTTTACAAGATTTACTTCGACCCACCTTTCCTGGCGTTATACGACAGATCAGGAAAAACTTGCATAACATGGTGAGTAAAACTCCTTACCACCTCCCACAACTGTTTCTCTTTGCCTTGTCTCTTTCTTTTCCATCATATGCAGAGTATTCCAGTTTTCTCTTTATATATGCACAATGTCCAAACAGTAAGGACTTTGGAATATGTTTATGTTGTAGCAGGGTGACAGCCTGTGTTGCTATGTGACACACGTGTCTCATCCATAACTGAGTGTTTATACTGGGTGACTTATGGATTTATATTTTAATATTTTATTTTCCTAGAGAAATTTTAGGTTTACAGAACTGCTGTATGAGTTTTAATAGGGGTTTTTTTTTTGTAACTCAAAAGATACATGACTACTGCTTTTTGTCATGTCATTTGTGCATGTGTAATAGTCTTCTTTTTATTCCAAGTTACAACTTAGTCATTTGATCAATAGTTTTTTTTATCTTACTAAGTAAAAGAAAGGAGGGCAACACTAAAAAACGCTAGTGTGATACTTGACATAGTATGCGAGAAATGAATGGATCAATATTTGGTTCAGTGGAAGTAGTTGTAATTCTCAGTGAGTTCTCAACGTTGTGACATGTTTTGGTCTTAGTGTGATATCTACTCCACCCCCCACCAGACTTGCTTTCTTGTGAGCCATTAAGCTTAATTAGAGTGTCCTAGTTTGCTTTCTATTGCTGTGATAAACTCCATGGCCAAAAGCAACTGGGAAAGAAAGAGTTTATTTCCCCATACGGCTTGTAGTTGGCTGTGAATGGAACTCAAGGCAGGAAGTGAAGCAGAGACCACCGAGGAAAGCTGCAACTGCCTTGCTCTCCATGCCTGGCTTTGCCTGCTTTCTTATACAGGCCAGGAACACCTGCACAGGGTAACACCACCCACAGTGGGCTCGGCTCTTCACATCAGTCATAAATCAGGAAAATGCCCCCATAGACTTGCCTACAAGCCAGTCTGATGGAGGCATTTATTTCAATTGAGGGTCCCTTTTCCCAAATTACTCTAACTTATGTCAAATTGACAAAACAGTAACCAACATAATTAACTGGCCTGTCATCACCTTGACACACAAACATATCACCATTAAATTATACACTTTTCTTTCTTGTCTGTTCCCTAGATGTTACGTTAATACTAATATGGTACTATTAAATACCACAATATTTACTATACTGTATTTAAAAGATGCAAACACTTTAAAGTTCAAATTCTCTTTAAAATATTCCAACATATATTGAAATGTTCAAAGTCTCCCCAACAGCAATCTCCTGACAACCACATCAAAGTAAACCCAAGTTGAGCAGTGTGAAAAGAATAGTTGGTGGTATCTGGACTACCCGTGGTCCTGTGTGTGCCCGGGGCCGGGGCAGCTCCACTTCCCCAGCTGTGCATCTGCAGCACCGGCACTTGTGTGGTAGGCTCAGGCCAGTCCACTCCACACGCCCCGCTGTCCTTCAGTCTCCGCTATGCTGGGGTCTCCAGTGCTCCTGGGCTGCACTTTTACCAGTGGCCTCACCTGGGCTCTCTTCACATGGTGACAAGCCTCACCCCTCTCTCTGACCCCCTTGAAAACTGGGGTTTCTACTACAGCTGAGGCTGTATCTTCACCAATGGCTTCTCTTGACCTCTCATACGGGGCCAGTCTTCAGCTGTTCTTCGTGACCTCTTTTTGCCTTCAAAACTGTGTGGGATACTCTTAAGCACCTCGAGTTGGCCTGCCAGCATGGAGTGAGCCTTGCCCCCTCTGGACCGTACCTTCTCTGTGTTGCCTGAGAAAAATTTCCAAGCTCCCATAATGACTCATTTAAGTCTGAGCACTAATGATTTTTCCAGTCCAAAGTTCCAGGATCTTCCCCAAAAGATTTTTCCAGTCCAAAGTTCCAGGATCTTCCCCAAACATGATCAGGTTTGTCACAGCAGTAGTCCACTTTCTGTCTTAGTTTGCTTTCTATTACTTTACTAAAGACCATAACCAAAACCAACGTCGGGAGAAAGGTTTTATTTCACCCTACAGTTCATCATGTAGGCAGTCAGGGCAGGAACCTGGAGACGGAGACTGAAGTAGAAGTCTGAAGGAGCTGCTTACTAGCTCGCTCCCCATGGCTGGCTCAGTCTACTTTGTTTCACAGCCCAAACACCTCTTGCCTAGAAGTGGCTCCACCCGTGGAGTGCTGGGCCCACCTAATCATTATTAGGAAAATGCACCAGAGGCTTGCCCACAGTCCAATCTGATGGAGGCTTTTTTTCTCAGTTGAGGGTCCTTCTTACTTAGAGGAGCCTGGGTGAATGGATGAAAGGTTTTTTTTTTTTTTTTTTTTTTTTTTAATTGGAGCATGGACAACTTCCAGTGGCTACATATTTACAAAAATGTCTCTTCCCTGACAGCCATTGTTTCTAACCCCTCAGGAAGAGACAGGGCCTCCTGAGCACTTATATCTTAATCCCTCAAATTTAGTAATTCAGTTAACTTCTTAACTTTTCATTATATTCCTCATTTCCTGGCTTTAGAGAGACTGAGGAAGAAGTTTCTTAGCAGAGCTTTCCCCTGTCATTTCTCTATCTCTTCCCTCTTAACTGCTGTAGAAGAGAGGCGGGGACCCAAGATTGCTTTGAGATTGGTATGGCAAACAACCCTCTGTCTTCTCTCTCTCTAATCTTAACTTTATTTCATGTATTTAATTCTCTGCGTGTGCATGTGTAGGCCCGCATATGCATATGCCGGAGTTTGTGCAGGTAAGTCAGGCCAACCTTCAGGAGTTGCTTCTCTCCTTTTACTTCATTGCCCTTGAGACTGAACTTGTTTTCAGAATTGACAACACACGACAAACCGCTGGTTCTCAATCTTCCTAATGCTGCGACGCTTTAACACAATTCCTCATGTTGTGGTGATCCCCAGCCAAAACTTTTTTCATTGATGTCTCATAAACTGTAATTTTGCAACTGTTATGAATGGCAATGTAAATATCTGTGTTTGCTGGTGGTCTTAGGCGATCTCTATGAAGGGATTGTTTGACCCCCTCCCAAGGGGCCTACCCGCAGGTTGAGAACCGGCACACTAAGCTGTCTTGCCAGTCCTGTATTTCCCTCAGTCTTCAAGCTGCCCTTTTTAAAAACTCAGGTCGTTTTCTTTCTTAGTATGAGTGGATTTTAACTTTCTGATTTTAAAGAGTTTTGCTTTAGTAATTCTCATGTACCTCAGGCTGGCTTTTAAGCCCATTATACAGTTGAGGGTGACAGTGAACTTCAGATCCCCGCCTCCACCTCCCATGTGCTAGGGTTGCAGGTAGGCATCACCATGCCTGGTTTTGTGTAGTGCTGGAGCCTCTTGCATGCTTGGTAAGCACTGTATCAGATGATTCACAACCCCAATCCTGAGTAACTTCATTGTGTACAAGCTAATTAGCATGTAATGAGTACGGACTTAGTACATCATCACTGTTGCTATGATTTACAAGTTGAGTTCAAATTTGTTAATTCAGGGAGCCTTAGAAGCAAATACAGTAAAAGGGCAGGCTCTGTTTTCCAAGGTTGGGGAACTGATAGAACTGAGGTTTATTTGGGATGGTAGAACGGGCGTCAGCAGTCTAGAAACACCAGTGGGATGTCATCAGTGAAATCCATGAACAAAATCCCCTCCCTTCCCACCACCACGTTCTTTGAATGTTGAGGGTGGGAAAGATTGGCCTCATGTATGACAATTTGTATCATTTCTCTTGGCCCAGGAATGCTTGAATGCCATTTCATGGGTTCTTTTTCTTTTTCCTCTGACAGGTTTTTATTGTTGATCCTGTACATGAGACCACAGCTGAGTTGATTAGTATAGCTGAGATGTTCCTCAGCAATCACATACCATTAAGGTAACACTGGGGTCATTTAGCTGAGGTTTGGCTTGTTACTTGGATTACATGTCTGGTTTCATTGAATTCTGTAGTATAATTAATGGTCAGATTCACTAATGGCAGTTTTATCTTCTGCTTGTTATGATGCCTGTGTCTTTTGGGACTAAGAATTTAATTCTCAACACATAGAAGCTCACCACCATGGAATTATTGACAACTTATTGTGTTAAAATAGTTTGTGGTCTTCATTTACTTCCTACTGGAAGGGAGTTTTCCTGGATGCATGTCCACATGCAAAAGCACATTTCTAATTAATTTCATCAGAGAGCTTTTCTAGTGCCTTTTACTTGACTTATAAGGACTAAAATGCTCTAGAATGTTAAGTAGCCTTCTGCAGATATAGACAGATACATCTATGTTAGTTGTGTTGCCAGGTCTACCAGCTGGACACCAGATTTCCCCTGTTCTTTTTATAGAATGTGTGTGTGTGTGTGTATACACATACATATATACATATATATAGATAGATATTGTTATATATGTATTTACATATATATGTCCTACGTGTGTGTGTGTAAAGATATTTTCCCTTACAGTTTGTAATAATTCTGGTAACCTAAATGTTGATAAAATTTGAGTTACTGTTTTTTTCAAGGCAGGGTTTCACTATGTAGCTCTGACTATCCTAGAACTCACTCTGAGACCAGACTGGTGTTGAACTACAGAGATCCACCTGCTTCTGCCTCCCAAGTGCTGGGCTTAAAGGTGTGCACTTCTATGTCTGCAAAAATTTGCATTTTTAAAAATGAAGAAGCTAAAGGACGAAAGATTTCCTAGTAAATAGACATTGCAATGTGTTCACTGCCCAACACTGGGTTGTGCTAGGCTTGTTTGAGTGACATCTGTCCTTGTTTGCATACCTTGCCTCTCTGTAAGAGTGTGTTTGATTAAGTGCTTTAGGAAACAGAGCTTTGTGGGGAACACCGGGTTTCCTAGCCTCTTTGAAGAAAAGGAGGATTATGAGAACCAGAAAAGCAGAGATTGTTGAGTGCAATGAAAGTTTTCATTTAAATTTGAATGCTACCTGGAAAATGAAGAAAGAAATTCTAAATGACAACCATAGCTATGTTTTGTTTAGGAGATTCTGAGAACATGTAAATTGGCTCATGGTACACAGTGGACACTAACTAAACATTTGTACAATTGTACTGAGGGTCAGGAAGACTACAGACATAGGGAAAGAAGGCGCTTGAGCCCTGAGCACATGGAAGTAGTCTAGTGAGCATCGAAGGGGACCCAGCAGACAGGCTGACTTTTTTCACTTGGTGAGGGCAATGTGGTCCTACCTTGTAGCATTGATACAAGCTGTGGAAAGGATACAGACATCCGAGGGGCTCCCGGGGGCTAACCAGAGAGGGAACTACCCAGGAAACATAAAAGCCTGAACTTTTTGCCTTACCTAAAGAAAAACTGATGCCAAACTAGAAGCTGGAGATGAGAAGTGGACTTAGTTATAAAGAAGTAATGAAATTCTGGTGGTGTAAGTAGGTGTCAGCTTGCCTACTTAAGGATGTTTAGGCCACTTTTTCTAGTTATATGGTTTAGGTCATGAGTAGTTTAAAAAATAAGGAGTTAACTTGCAAACAAATCTCACTGTCTGCTCATGCACATACCACTAGATAACTGATACTTTTTTGTTTGTTTTGAGATAGTGTCTCACTATGTAGACCAGGCTGCTATAGAACTCAGTGAGATCCTCCTGCCTCTGCCTCTCAAGTTCTGAGATTACAGGCATGTGCCACCACATCAGGCCCACTTTTAACAGTTCTTGTTTGATAAATAAGGTCATAGTTTTTACATTTCCAAAAATATGTTCATAGTTTTTACATTTGCATACTTAATATGTCACGATCCTTGGCCCCCATCACTCTCCTGTGACCCTCTTTTCTTCTGCTGCTGGTCCCCTTTCCCATGTTTCTGCTTGTGTTATTCTTGTGTATGTGTGTGTCTTCTTGTTTGTGTTGCTGTGATAAAACACTAAGTTACTTGTGGAAGAAAGGCGTTATTTCAGTTTTATAGTCCATCATCATGAGAAAATAAGGCAGGAATCCATAGCAGAAACTAAAGCAGAGACCATGTAAGAATGCTTGGTGGTAGCACACGCCTTTAATCCCAGCACTCGGGAGGCAGAGACAGGCGGATCTGTGTGAGCTCGAGGCCAGGCTGGTCCAACAGCCTCCAAAACAATACAGAGAAACCCTGTCTCGTAAAACAAAACAAAAAAAAAAAGAATGCTTCTTGCTGGTGTGCTTTTTGTGGCTTGCTCAACTGGCTTTCTTTCTTTACATATCACCTAGCCCACTTGCCTAGGGACTTATCACCTACAATGTAATGAACCCTCCCATATCAATGAGCAATCAAGAAGTCATATAGCTATGACCACAGTCAAAGACAGCCTGGTCTACAAAGCAAGTTCTAGGACAGCCAGAAATACAATGAGACCTGAGCTCAAAATCAACAACTGGGACTGGAGAGATGGCTCAGTGCCCTTCACTGGCTGCTCTTCCAGAGGTCCTGAGTTCAATTCCCAGCAACCACGTGGAAACTCACAACCATCTATAATGAGATCTGGTGCCCTCTTCTGGTGTGCAGGGATACATGCAGGCATAACACTGTATACATAATAAATAAATAAATCTTAAAAAAAAAAAAAAGAAGCTAACCCAAGTTAGGTGGGACTGCTGATAGAGGCCTGTATTCCCAGCACTTGGGAGGCAGAGGCAGGGGAATCCCAAGTTTGAGACTAGCCTGGACTTTATAGTGTAGTCAATATAGGTTACACATACTCTGTCTCAAAGAAACTTAATAAATAAATAAAATGAAATCATGTTGGTTAAATAATTGGGGGGTATAGCTCAGTGGTAGAGCACTTGGCTAACATGGGTGAGATTCTAGGTTTAATTTCCAGGACCAAAGAAATCTATGTTGATTGATACATTATCATTAAGTAAACTTTATCATATATATTATAGTTCACTGTTGATATTGCTCATGCTATGGATTCTGACTGAGGCAGACTATTAACTATTTATATTATACAGACTAACTAAAATCACTGCTCCAAAAAACCCCTTTGCTACATGTTTGCCCTTCCCTACATTAACTGAACCTTTGGACACTATTGACTTTTTAACTACCCTCATAGTTCTTTTTATCCTTTTCAGAATGTCATATAATCACAGCTATATAATATATAGCTCTTTAGACTGACTTGTTTCATTTAGCAATGTGCAATTCAGGTTATTTCTGTCCCTCCCTCCCTCTAATCCAGACTGGGTTAGAACTCCTGATTCTTCTACCTCAGCTTCCCATGGCTTGTACCATTACTCCAGCCTTCCAATTTCTTTTAATCAGTGAGTAATATTTCATTATGTTATTATACCAAATTTTGTTTTTCTTTTCACATTTGAAGGGTATTGTTTTAGTCTGCTTTCTATTGATGTGATAAACACTATTCCAGAAGCAACTTGGGCAGAAAGGGGTTTATTTCATCTTACAGTTAGCAGTCCACCATGGAAAGGGAGTCAGGGCAGGAACTCCAGGCAGGTACCTGGAGTCAGGGACTGAAAGAAAAGTCCTGGAGGAAGGCTGCTTACTGGCTTGCTCCTGGAGTCTTGCTCAGTTTGCTTTCTTATACAACCCAGGATCACTTACCAAGGGGATACTGTCTGTAGTGGGTTAGACCCTCCCATATCACTCATGAATCAAGGGAATGCCCCATATAGACATGCTCAAGCATATCTGACTGAAGAATTCCTCAACTGTGGCACCTTCCCAGGCACATCTAGGTTTCTGTCGAGTTGATAAACTTGCCAACACAACCGACACTTTGTCAACTTAACACACAGTTATAATCACTATTAAGTTATAACCTTTCTTTTCTTTTTTTCATCCTTCAAAACCTCTTGTTAATATTAATATCACATTATAATGCACCATCCAACTTTAAAAAATCTTCAAGTCTTTGAAAATTCCATTAATTAAAAGTTCAGTCTCAGGATCTATAGAGATGTCTCAGCAGTTAAGACCATATACTGCTCTTCCAAAAGATCCAAGTTCCTATGCCAGCATTCGTAACAGGGAGCTCATGCCCACCTGTAACTCCAGCTCCAGAGAGTCTTAACACCTCTAGCCTCTGCAGGTACCTGCACTCTTGTTCACATACCCCCACACAGACACATACATACACATAATTAAAAATAAATATTTAAAAATATTCATTCACTTTAGGATATCTAGTATCTCTGAAAAAATCCAAACTCTCAACTGTGAGCTTCTGTAAAATAAAAAAAAAGGTACATATTATTCCAGGAGGAAAGAACCAGATCAAAATAAAACCAAACTCAACAGTGTAAGTAGCTCAGTGTCTGACATCTAGGACTCATGGTTTTCTGAGCTCCAGAGGGTTTGGGTAGCTCCACCTCTTCAGGTACGCCAGCTACCATACACAGCTTGTCCTACAGACTCAGGTGAAGTTCCCACCTTGGTGGTCTTCCCACAGACATGACATCTCCAATATGCTGGAGTCTCTACTGCAGCTGGGGGTGCTCCTTTTTTGGTGGCCTCTTGTAGGTTCTCTTCAGGGACTCTGGCCCTGCCATATGGTTCTAAGCCTCAGCCTCTCTTCATTACCCCTTCAGTCCTGAGGTCTTCTTTGCAGCTAAGGCTGCATCTTCACCAACCCCCTGTTAGCTTCTCACAGTGCCAAGCCTCAGCTTCTTTGTGACCTCTGGAGTCTTGACTGCAGTTGAGGCTGCAGCTTCACCAGTGGCCTTTCCTGGTCTCCCAGCATTAGGCCTCAGCTGCTCCCTGAGCACTCACACCTTCATAACCAGTACCACAAGTGAGAGTCTTGCACACCAGTATGTTTGACTGCCAACTTGAGATGCACTAAATGCCAAATCTTCAGATAATTTGAAGGTTTTACCTCAGTGATACTGGTTTCTTATTAGTCACACTGATCTTTCAGCCCCATGTCATCAACAGCAATTGTCCCAGGAAAGTCAGGGGTTCATGTCATTCAATACTGCAGTTCTCTTGTTGATCACAGTTGATTTTAGCTGACCAGAAACTCCATATTCTTAATTCAAAATATTTGCATGGTATCCCTGATAGAGTCTTTGCTTCTCTCTGAAACTTCTTTAACCAGGCATTTCTTCCAACAATCTTCCAGCCCATTAAACTTTGAACACTCAGTGGCTTTTCCAGCCTAGAGGTCCAAGCACTTCTACAAGACTTCCAAATCAACATGACCAGGTCTGTCACAGCAATGCCCAATGATCCTGGTACCAATTTCTCTTATAGTTTGCTTTCTGCTGCTGTGATAATCACCATTCCAAAAGCAACCCAGGGAGGAAAGGGCTTATTTCATATGATAGCTTACAGTTCAGCATGAAGAGCAATCAAGGTAGATGTTCCAGGCAGGAACTGGAGCAGAGGACATGGAGGAACAGCTGCTTATTGTCTTGTTCTCCATGGCCCAGGACCAGCTGCCCAGGCGTCACCACCCACAGTAGGCCAGGTCCTTCCACGTAAGTCATTCATGAAGGAAAGACCCTAAAGACATACCTACAGGGTAATATGATGCAGTTCCTCAGTTGGAATTCTCTCTTCCCAGATATGATTAGATTTGTGTTTAGTGATGAAAACTAACCAGAGCCTGTAAATCTGAGCAGATATTACTGAAGCTTAAAAATATCCATGTATAGATTTTATGTGGACAAAGTTTTGTTGACAAGATTGCTGGACTGTGTGATGAGTATATGCTAAGTTTGGTCAGAAATAACTAAATTGGTTTCCAAAGTGTTTACTCCATTTTGCTTTTTCACTAGCAGTGAATTAAGATTCCCTGTTGCTTCTCACAAGCATTTAGTGTTTGGCCGTTTCAGTGGATGTATTGCAATAGGTTTCTGTTTAATTGATAACTATAGTGGCATAGGATTTTACTGTTTTATTTTGTGAGTATCTAACAAATTTCTTTATTTGTTTGTTTTTTATATGGTTTTTTGAGACAGAGCCTTGCTGTATAGCCTAGGCTGACCTGAAACTTGATTTGTAGCCTGGGTTATCCTCGAACTACAATGTCCTTCTGCCTTAGCATTCCCAAGTGCTGGAATTACAAGTGTGTGTTACCATACTCAGCTTCTTTAGTCTATTTAAAAATATTGTTTGTTTAACATTGAGTTTCAAGAGTCATGTTTATATTTTCATATCAGTCCTTTTTCAGATAGGTGTTTTCAAGTATTTTCTGCTAATCTGTGGTTTCTCCTTTCCTTTTCTTGATAGTTTTTTTTTTCTTTTTCTCAAAATAGGTAATTTTTGTTTTTGTTTTGTGTGGGAGTTTGGTTTTTTAGAGACAGGGTCTCACTATGTACCTCTGCTTGTAGACTAGGCTGACCTTGAACTCACTGAGATCCACTTTCCTCTGTCTCCTCAAGTGTTGGGATTAAAGAATGCACCACTATAGGAGGTTACAAAAAAAGTTTTAAACTTTAATGGAGTCTGCCTAGTTGATGTTGGTGTTTCCCTCAGTTACCTTCACTCCAGTAACTGAACCTGGAGCTCACAGATTGACCAGGCTGCTAGCCAGAGAGGTCTCTGCCCCCTGCCAAGATTCTTCTGTTTCCACCTCCTCACACTGGGATACAGGCATATGCCCATGTGCTCAGTTTATTGTACATGGTGTTAAAGATCTGAAGTTGGGTCCTCATGCTTGAATCAAGCACTTTGCCCATTAAGCCATTTCCCTAGCTGGCTCATGCTTTTTGGATTTAACATGTCAATAGCTAAACCTGAGATCACCTACCAGGTTTTCCCAGTGCTATTTTCTAGGAGTTTTGTAGGTTTTGTTTTCCACTTATTTTTTGAAGGGTAAATTTATATCTAAGTTCACTACTTTGCATGTGCAGTTGTTCCAGTACCATTTGTTGGCATGATGTTCTTTCCTGCATTGTTCCCAGTCCAGGTGCCCAGCCTGCCCACTGCAAGTCTTCATACTAGTTCGTCTTTGTGTGATGTAGGACAGTTGATTTTCATTTTGCTTTCATTTATTGAAATAGTTCTGGCTGTCCTGGAACATGCTGGCCTTGAACTCACAGAGATCCATCTGTTTCTGTCTCCTGAGTTCTGGGATTAGGCATGCACTGCCTTCCTGGCTTCCTGTTATATTGCTTTAGTTATATTTAATTTTTTCAACTCCAATTTCTGGGTTTTTAAAATTAATTTATTCTTTATGTGTATGTGCCTGCTTGTCTGTATGTATAACACATTTGTGCAGTACCCACAAAGGTTAGAATTGGACATCAGATGCTCTGAAACTGGGTTAGAGACCCTTGTGAGCCATGTGATTGTGGGTGCTGAGGACAGAACCCAGGTACTCTGCAAAAGCAGCTACTGCTTTTAGTATTTGAGCTATTTCTCCAGTCCTCCAATTTAAAAGCAGAACAGAACTTCTACCTATCACTGTAACAATGCTTTTCATGTCAGTAAAGAAATCTACTCAAACAGCTTTAACTGTGGAAAAGCCTAACCTGTTTTGTGACCCTACTCTTGTGTTTTTGAAATGATGTGTGTGTACCTTTGCCATCCTTGTTTAGAGTGGGATGTGTACTATGCTTTTTGGTTAGGAATGGACAGCATCTGTGTGTATGTGTGGGGGGCACCCGCCTCTAGCTGATTGCCTTCTTTAAGAGGACTTTTTTCTTCTCTGCAGGATTGGTTTTATCTTTGTGGTCAATGACTCGGAAGATGTTGATGGCTTGCAAGACGCTGGAGTCGCTGTTCTGAGAGCGTATAATTATGTTGTCCAAGAAGTGGATGGTTATCACGCCTTCCAGACTCTCACAAACGTATGTTTTTGTTCAAAATGGCAAATACTTTTTAACTTACTCTAAAACAGTTTTATAAAGTAAATTCTTATATAAACTCTTATATTTTATATTTCAGGGTTCTTTATACTTTCTTAAGTCACTGGTATAAATGTAATTGCTGTGTTTATTTTAAAGTTTAGAATTTATTATTATTATTATTATGTGTGCTACTGTACATTGTATGGAGGTCGAGAGGATGACCTTCTGAGTGGGTTCTTTCCTTCTACCATAGGATCTGGGGATCAAGCGTGGTTGTCAGGTGTGTTAAGCCATAGTGCTGGCCATTAGATTCAGTTCTTTAAGAGTGAGGCTAGAAACATGGCATGTACTCTCTCATATATGGATTTTAGACATAGATCTGGGGAGTGCCAGCCTACAATCCTATGGCCAGAGAGTCTGGGAAACAGAAACTTCATTTAGTGGCTGGTTAAGTACTGAGCTGAACTCAAGAAAGCCAGTAACAGAGAGGGAGGACTGATGATCAAAGGGATTAAGACTGGGCTGGTTTAACCCCCAGAAACAGCTGACCAGACAAAGGCTAACTCTTGAATCCCAGGCATCAGCCTGGGAATCCAGCATGGGACTGATCAATACCCCCTGAATTTGGGTGTCAGTGAGGAGGCCTAGGGAACCTATTGAGCCTTGGGCAGCAGATCAGTACCCATCCCAAGTATACACACAGACTTTGGACTCCCATAGAACAATGTGAGGTGCACTCTCGCCCTGAACTCTTGGGGAAGGGTCTAGGCCCTGCCCTATATGAAATGACAGACTATGGACACCCTCATGGAGGGCCTCACCCTCCCTGGGGGAATGAGGGGATAACGGGGGGGGGTTGGGGGGAGGGCACGGGAGGAGGGGAGGGAAAGGGAGAGGGACCTGGAACTGACTTGTGAAGCAACCTCGTTTCTTATCTAAATTTAAACTGGAAAAAAAAAAAAAAAAAAAAAGAGTGAGGCTAGTGCATTAGAGCACTCCACACTTGGATTAGATGAAATCAGCAGTTAATGCCTCTGGACAATGTGAAGTTCTCTACTTTTTTTTGAATCAGTCTTTTTTCTTTTGAGACTGTCTTATGGTTTCTCTCCATCTTCTTTTCTTTCTCCTCATCCCCCTCTTTTCTTTGTTAAAGACAGGTTTTATATAGCTAAGGCTAGCCTTGAGCACACTGTGTAGCTGAAGATGACCTTGAGTTCTCGATTTTCCTGCCTTTACCTCCCCAGTGCTGCTGGGTTAGATGTGCAGCACTACACCTGGTTGCTTTTTTTTCTTCTGAGATAAGGTCTTTCTGTATAGCCCAGGCTAGCCTAAAACTCTGGCTCTGCTTCCCTCAGCTTCCCAGGGACTTGCTCTCTCAGGCATGTTCCACCACACCTGACTGCTGATACTTCTTAAAGCATTTTTGCCTCCTACATTTGGTATATAATGTGCTTATGAGCTGATAGGGTCATTTCAAGAAGTCTTTAGTCCCAGCACTCAGGTGCATGGGCATCTCTGAATTCAGGGCCAGCCTGATCTACATAGCAAGTTCCAAGCTAGCCAGACCTTCATGATGATACTCTGTCCCTAAAAAAGAAAGGAAGAAAGAAAGACAAATCTTCATTTCTTTTTTTTTTTTTTTTTTTGTTTTTACGAGACAGGGTTTCTCTGTATTGTTTTGGAGGCTATCGGTCCAGCCCAGCCTCGAACTCACAGAGATCCGCCTGCCTCTGCCTCCCGAGTGCTGGGATTAAAGGCGTGCACCACCACCGCCCGGCCAAATCTTCATTTCTTAATCAGAGGTGTCTTATGAGAAATATTGAAATGATAGTGTTGCTAAGAAGTTCCAGTTTTGGGGGGGGGGTTCCAGTTTGCTTTTTAAGAAAAATAGTCTTGTTTTTCTAATGTGTTTAGCGATTTCATCCCATTTGAAATGTGGATTTAAAGGTGTAGTTGGTTACCTATTTTTCTTCTTTAGATCTATAACAAGGTGAGGACTGGAGAAAAAGTGAAAGTTGAGCATGTGGTCAGTATCTTGGAGAAGAAATACCCGTATGTTGAAGTGAATAGCATTCTGGGGATCGATTCTGCTTATGATCAGAACCGGAAGGTAACACATTCTTTAGAACTTATTTCCTTTGTATTTTAACTTGACTGCAGCATTGGACTATCCTTCTTGGGGTGGATGGTGTCTATAGTGGGGTGTTGTTAAAGTGCCCAGTACTTAGCATTTCAGAATGTAGACAGACCACTTTTTAGTCCCCCCACCCCGTCCCCTGTCCCCCCTTAGAGACAGGATCTTACTGTGCAACCCTTGGCTGGCCTTGAACTCTTGGAGATTGTCTCTACCTTGTGAGTGCTGGGATTAAAGGCATGTTGCTACCGCTCCTGGCCTCACTTGTCAGTCTTTGAAAAGTGATTCCATTTCAGAAAATAGTACTTTTTTTTTTAACTCGCATGTTAATTTTTAAATTGGAAAGTAATTACTTTTTCATAATACAGTAGTTGTACTTGTATAAAGTATGTTCTGGATAAAACCTATTGGAAGCATAGAACTGGGAGGAGGTATGTGGCACAGTATGTATAATTTTACTTTACATCATTGTTCAGTCTCCATATGTGTCTGTTTAAGAAATATATTAACTAGCTGGGTGTGGTAGTGTACACCTTTAATCCCAGCACTCTGAAGGCAGAGGCAAGTAGATCTCTGAGTTCAAGACCACCCTGGTCTAAAGAGCGAATTCCAGGATAGCCAGGGATACACAGAGAAACCCTGTCTCAAAAACAACAACAAAGCAAAAAAAAAAAAAAAAAAAAGGAAAGCAGTGTAATAACCAGAGCCAGTGAGATTCCTTATTGGTGCAGATGCTTACTCTGCAAGTCTGGTGAGTTGAGTTTGAGCCTCCAAACTCATGTGAAGTTGAAAGAAGAGAAGACTTCAGCTTTTTGAGGTGTGACATAGGACCAAGTACTTTGTGACCAGTTCGTACATATTTACATACCCACAACCAAAACAACATTTAGTCTTATATTTTGAGAATATTAGAAAATACGTGCTATACTTTGGTTTTTAAAAAGTGCTATAAAAGTTAATCATTATAACTTAGTAAACATGGTCTTGTGGGTTTGAAGCAACTGTAAGAATGCAGGAACCAGTTCCCTTTTGCAGCCCATCCTCGTGTGGAAAGAATCCCTCTGCCGGCCGATGGCAGTTGACTCCTTGATTCAGGCTGGAGTGGCTCCCAGCCTGGGCCGGAAGCCGTAGGCACACGGAGCCAACAAATCTGTGTCTGGCAGTTCTTGAAAGTGGTTTTGCCTCTCCAGTGAGCAGCCTGGCTAGGAGCTGGACGCTGAGCTCCTCAGGTCTCCTCCTCTGAAGAAAGCAGGAACAGCTGAGCTGGGCTCTGAAATCTCCCTTCTTTCCCTTCCTCTGTTGCTGCCTGCTGCATGGGAGTCTGCAGCCCCTGAATGTCCAAGTTTAAAGAAATGTCTGCTTGACTGAGTGTGAGCGTGCAGATAAGGTGCAAGACCAATCAGGGAGGAGGTATAAATCTGGTTGAAGAGGGGAAAGAGCCCGAGCCTGAGGAGGGAAAGTTGCTCAAAGTCAGGCCCACAAGCCCCTTGTCTCTGCAAAGGTAACGAAACTTAAGAAGCAAGTTTCTGTGTGCCCCCAGTTGCTGCAGTGACCTTTGCAGCTGCTTGCTGCTTCCCTGATGAACTCAGCCAGCCCATTCTGCTTCAGGTACCACTGTGTTGTTAACAGGTCTCTGGGCTTGAGCCTGCTGCTGGCTGTCAGTAAACCCTGAACTGGGGTAGTGCACGGTCTGCTCCCACCAGTTGCAGAAAGTTTTGTTGTACAACGATGAGCATTGTATACATGATGCAGTTTTTTGAGACAGGGTTTTTCTGTGTAACAGTCTTGGCTGTCCTGAAACTCACTGTGTAGAACAGGCTGGCTTCTAACTCACAGAGATCACCTGCCTCTGCCTCCCAAGTGCTAGGATTAAGGGTGTGTGCCTGGCACATGATGAAGCTTTAGAAGCCTGGAGGACGGTCCACACACATAGACAAGCATGTACACATTCCCTAATCTGTAAGCTTTTGTTTTCTTAAAGTTCAGTAATTTAATTTCACATTTACCAAGCAAGATATTAACTATGATACCACTTTGTTTTTTTTCTTTTTCTTTTTGGTTTTTTTGAGACAGGATTTCTCTGTGGCTTTGGAGACTGTCCTGGAAGTAGCTCTTGTAGACCAGTCTCAAGTAGGCTGGTCTCAAACTCACAGAGATCCGCCTGCCTCTGCCTCCCGAATGCTGGTATTAAAGGCACCGCCGCCGCCACCCCTCCCCTCCCAGGACAGAATACCACTTTCTTAAAAATTATAAAGTGGCTGGTTTCCATATTGCTTAGAAAAGAAAGAAATATCTGTAGTCATTTCTTTTGCTATATTCTGTTATTTTTTAAAGATTTATTTATTTGTGTGTTATATTTGTGAATATATATGCTTTATTTGTGTGGCACTCGAGACCACTGAGGCCAATAGAGGCGTCTGACTCATAAGGGCTGCAGTCAGAGGTAGTGAGCCGCCATGTGGGTGCTGGGAACAGAACCCAGGTGCTCTGCAAGAACCACAAGTGCTCTTAATGACTGAGTCACCTCTGTAGCCCTTCTTTTGTTCTTTTTTTTTTTTTAAGGTTTATTTATTATAAATATAGTGTTCTGTCTGCATGTATGTCCACAGGCCAGAAGAGGGCACCGATCTCATTACAGATAGTTGTGAGCCATCATGTGGTTGCTGGGAATTGAACTCAGGACCTCTGGAAGAGCAGTCAATGCTCTTAACCTCTGAGCCATCTCTCCAGCCCCTCTTTTGTTCTTTTTTAAAAATTATTTTTATCTGTTATTATTGTGTGCATGTGTGTGGATGTCAGACGATAACTTTGCAGAGTCTGTTAAATGGGTTCTGGAGGCCAAATCAGGTTGCCTGGCTTACACAGCAAGTGTCTTTACCCACTAAGTCATTTTGCTAGCTCTGTTAACTTTTTATTTTTTAATTTAAACAGGCATGCAAGACACTATGTTTTGTTCTATGTGTGTTGTGAGGCGAACATGTGCTTTCTTTTTGTCCTTTGTTTTCTAGGATGCGAGAGGCTACTATGAGCAGACTGGTGTTGGTCCCCTGCCTGTTGTCTTGTTCAATGGCATGCCCTTTGAGAAGGAACAGCTAGATCCTGACGAGTTGGAAACCATTACAATGCACAAGATCTTGGAGACCACTTCCTTCTTCCAAAGGGCGGTGTATTTGGTGAGTGGTATTTTCAAGCCAACTTTGAGAGCAAATGGTTTATACTTGGTAGCTTCTGTGGTGGGCAGTACAATTCTGTATTATGCTAGGCATGGTGGCACATGGCTTTAGTGTCAGTTCTCAGGAGGAGGCAAGTGGATCTGTGAGCTCCAGGCCAGCTACAGAGTGAGATTGTGTCTCAAAACACAAAATAAATAACAACAATAAAAAAAAATTGTACTATTTTCTACAGGCCATTAGTAATTGGTTTGCAGATTCTCAGGAAGTCTTATTCGAAGGAAAATACCCTTAAACACTGAAATAACAACTTTTGTTGGTTTTAGGCTTAAGTGTTTACTTTTAAAAATAATAGGAATTTCCAAGAGACATTTTGTTCTGTTTATAAGGAATTCTGACTTTGGAAAGATGCTTTACTTCTATGTAAATAATACTTAGTAGTTGTGGAGTGGTAATTCACACAGTATAAAACTCAACTCTTTATTGGCTTTCATTTCATTCATTCATTTACTTGCAGTGCTAGGAGTGGAACTCAGGGCCTCATTCATGCACACTAGCTTAGTTCACCCTAGTGCTGATTAAACACCCAAGCTCTAAACTTAACTTCTTCAATGTGTGCGTCTGTGATTGTGAGTACATACACAGCTGCACAGCAATCAGCTCCAGTTTCAGATGACATCATCAGTGCCGGAAGAGTCCCTCCCCAGTTGGAGTCACAGCTCATTTTGTCCTCCTCTTAGCCGCTGACAGCTGACTTTCTATTGGTGGCCTTGACTCTTCTGAATATCTCCGTAGATAGAATTGCCTGGGTCCTGCTGCTCCCGTGTTGCTATGATCTTCCTTCACATTCCAGTCCTCTTATTGTGTAATGGCTCTTTCTCCAAACCTGAGTTAATGTGTTAGCAAAAACTAAGGCTTACCGTGCATCACTTTATGTTTGGTGTGATCTGAGAGGCCCACTGTGAATATCAAGGTTGTTTCTGCTACTGCCTAAGAGGTTACTTCCCGGGTTCCAGGGACTGGATTGTAGTCACAACATATGCTTGAGATCCCTTTTCTTTCCTGGGGATCAGTCATTTTATATATATTCAAACAGGGCTTTTGTGTTAGCCTAGGCTGGTCTCCAGTTGCCAGTCTCCAGCCTCACTGGTCTGAGTACAACTAGACCTGTTTTTTTGTTTTGTTTTGAGACCAAGTTTCCATGTGTACACCTGACTGTCCTAGAACTGGCAGTCTCCTGCCTCTGCCATCAGAGAGAAATAGGATTATAGGTGTGTGCCACCAGCTATTTTTCTTAACTCTGATTTTTTAATCGATCCTTTTACATATTTTATATATTTTTATTGATATTATTTATTTGGTAATAATGAGTTTCATAGTCATGGTTTCTTTTAGTTCTTTGAGCATACTTAATATAGATTATTTAAATTCTTTGTGTTTTAAGTCTACTGTGGGTTTTTGCAAGAACAGTACTTACTGGCCACTTGTTTTTTTGTTGTTTTGGGTATGTGTATATTTTTTTCTTTTTGATTGTTTTAGTATTTTCTTGTTATAATTGGACATTTTAGCTGTAATAACTCCTTGAACCTGAACCAAGGAGATGCTCATTCTTGTGCTATTTGTTGTTCTTACATTTACTTGTTTTAAAGCGACTTTCTTAAATAGATTCTTTGTTGTGTGAGAACTCTGCAGTATCTGCTTACTTAACTTATTAACTGGCTAGTAAGTGAACACATTTTCTTACGTGTATTTTCCCAAGTATCTCTATGTTCACATTGGGGCTTGGCTTGAGTACTCAGCTAGGCATTGATAGCTGTCCCTAGCCCTCTTGCGTCTCTGTGTGTTTGGTGCCAGAGGTGGCCTTGTGTATGCTAAGGAAACATTCAGTTTCACCCCAGCCTTCTTAGCCTTCAGTTATTGCTTACACAGATTGTCAGAGCTGAGGGCCTTCATGAATTTTCATGGGAATGTGCAGTACTATGGGCACCATGCTTTAGATTCTGGAGAGTGCATCAGAAATTCATAGCCTCTTGGAACAAGCATCTTATTCTCCATTAGTTTATGTGTTTGATCAGCTTCATTTTAGGTCATCTGAGGTGTCAAACAGTTTCTTCTGCTTGTGTTTGCAAATATCACAGGGGAAAAGCTATTGAACTGTTACTCAGCTCAAATAGAGAACCCTGGGAACTCTGTGTTGCTTCTTTTGGTTTATTAAGGGTTTTATTAGGTAGAGAAAGGTAGACTATAATAGGGCAAGTTAAAATGTTATAAAGATCACTTTCCTACTAACATTCAGGCATTATTTTCAGTAGAATTCCCTCTGAATTTTCCAAACCTTTAGTTAATTTTCTGAGTTTTGGGAAAGTTGTGGTTGTTGATGGTGGTGTGTGTGTGTGTGTGTGTGTAATATTAAGGTATCTTTGGATAGTAGAGTTATACTTTTATTATGTCTTCTGAATGTCATCCTCAAATAGTATTTTAAATATCAAATAACATCAATGTACTTGTAACCCTAAGTTGAAATATATTGGAATTTTTTGTTATTTTAAAAGTTGATTTTTAAATATTTTTAAATTTTATTTTAAAACTTTTATTACTAAATACTTGCAAGTAAAGAACATCACACCAAAAATCAGTGAGATCCAAAGATTATACATCTCCGTGAACTTCTGTATAGTTAGAAAGCCATTCTGAAGTAATGGAGCTTCACATTGCATTTTGCACGTTCACCATTAAATAGATATATTTAAAAATTTAAATTATTTTTATTTATGTGCATTGGTGTTTTGCCTGCTTGAATGTCTGTGCAAGAGTCTCAGAAGCTCTAGAACTGGAATTACAGACAGTTGTGAGTTCTGGGACTTGAACCCTGGTCCTCTGAAAGAGCAGACAGTGCAAAACCATTGGGCAATCTTTCCAGCCCCTGACTTACAAAAGATACAAAACACGGGATCTACCAACTTTCAGTGTTTGGTGAACTGGCATTTTCAGTCACAATTTTATGCCACCCTTGCTGTTTTCCTGTAGAACTTTTCCACCCAGCTTTTAAATCATTCATCTATTACTGTCATTTCATGCATGCGGGTGCGTGCGTGTGAGACAGAGAGAATGTTTAGAGGGTTTCTATCCTTTAGCTATCTTGCAGAATCCTGCAGTGAGTCCTGCTGTGCTAGGGATCGAAGCCAGAGCTTTGTGCATGCCAGGCAAGCCCTCTACCATTGGACCTGCGCCTCAGCCCTCTACCCTCTTAATAATATCCTTTGATGCAGAGTTTCCATTCTGATGAGTTTTAGTTTAGTCTTTCCTTTTGTTTTTGTATTTTCATTGTTTTATCCAAGAAAGTACTGCTAAATCATTGCTCAGCTATTATGAAGATTTTTCTCTGGTGTTTTCTGCTAAGACCTTTATGATCCCCAATCTTTAGGGCAAATATAGACCTATTTTGAGTTAATTAAAATTTTTTTGCATGTATTATTGTTTAGGGGTTGTATATGCCATCACGTGTGGAATCAAAGGACAACTGTGTAGTCAGATCTTTCTACCTTTCCATGAGTTCTAGAGAATCAAACTCAGGCTGCCAGTTTGGCCCAGCATGACTCACTGAGCCAGCTCGCCAGCCCTGATAATTGTTTTCAAGACAAGGTCTCACTATGTAATACTGACTGCAAGATAGACCGGGCTAGCCTTGAGCTCACAGAGATCCGTCTGACCCTAAGTGTTGGAATTAATGATGTGGACCAGTATACCCAGTCTCCAAAAGACTTTTGTGTGACTACATTGACATTTAGAACAGATCTACTTATTTTAAAATTTTATTTCTGGCTGGGTAGTGGTGGCACATTCCTTTTATCCCAGCATTTGGGAAACAGAGACAGTTAGAGCTCTGCATTTGAGGCCAGCCTGGCTTATAATTCAAGTTCCAGGACAGCCAGGCCTACTCTGTTTTAAAAAGCCAAAAATAAATAAAAATTCATTTCTGGCGTTTTTAACAGCTGGTACTGGGAAAACTCTATATCAACTTAACTGCAGAACAAAATTTGGCCCTTACTTTATACCTCATATAAAGATGAATTCAAGGGCTGGCAGAATGGCTCAGTGGGTCAGGAGCTTGCTGGGCCACGCTGGTATCTGAGTTTGAGTCCCTAGAGCCCGTGGAAAGGTGGAAAGAGAAAAGTGGCTCTGCAGAGGCTGTGTGCCTCCCAGCATGGGAAAGCTGACCTAGCTTTCTTGTTTCCTAGCCTCCCGTCTTCCTGTGAATGTTACCAGCAGCACCCTGTGCGGTGATAGAGATATGTGTATACATCCACACTGTGTGAAAGAGGTAGTGTGTACATCCACACTGTGTGTGATAGAGATGTGTGTATACATCCACACTGTGTGAAAGAGGTAGTGTGTGTACATCCACACTGTGTGAAAGAGGTAGTGTGTGTACATCCACACTGTGTGTGATAGAGATAGTGTGTACATCCACACTGTGCGGTGATAGAGATATGTGTGTACATCCACACTGTGCAGTGATAGAGATAGTGTGTATACATCCACACTGTGTGTGATAGAGATATGTGTATACATCCACACTGTGTATGATTGATATAGTGTGTGTACATCCACACTGTGTGTGATAGAGATATGTGTATACATCCACACTATGTGTGATAGAGGTAGTGTGTGTACATCCACACTGTGTGTGATAGAGATAGTGTGTTTACATCCACACTGTGTGTGATAGAGATATGTGTGTACACATCCACACTGTGTGTGATATAGTGTGTATACATCCACACTGTGTGTGATAGAGATATGTGTACACATCCACACTGTGTGTGATAGAGATAGTGTGTTTACATCCACACCATGCACATTACTGGGCTCACATAGATAGCTCTTAGCATATGGCAAGCTGTTACAGAGCTACTTTTTTTTCTAGTGAACTATTATTGCTGATATTTCTTTAACACTCCTGACCCTTCTGTTTCTTTTTTCATACAGGGTGAACTGCCGCATGATCAAGACGTGGTAGAATATATCATGAATCAACCAAATGTTGTTCCGAGAATCAATTCTAGGATTTTGACAGCTAAGCGAGAGTATCTGGATCTGACAGCAAGCAGTAAGGAGCTTTTCAGTAACATTCTTATATTTATTAGCTTATAACAGTAAGACAATAACCCAAAATTATGATATATGCTTCTGAACTTACAGGATTTTCCTTATAAAAAAGATAGATAAATTCTGGGGCTGGAGAGATGGCTCAGTGATTAAAAATACTTGCTGCTTTTACAGAGGATTGGGGTGAGGGATCCATCTCCCTCTTCTAGCCTCCACAAACATACGTACCTGCAGCCAAAACACTCTTACACATAATATAAAATAAATCTTTAAAAAAGAGAGAGGGCGAGAACCAGCCATGAATGGTATAATATGACATTATACCTGCAGCAGGAAGGCTGAAATTGTGCAGGTGACTGTAGGAGCTGGGGCCTGGGTGGCACTCCCAGAACTTTACTTAAGGAGTTTAAGGTAGGGTGTGGAGCTTTGGGAGGAGCAGCGGTGTTATGGGCTGGGTGGCTGGGGCAGGACAGTGCAGCTTGAGAAGCTTAGAGGGACAGTGTCTGGGCACTGGAGACTTTAGCAGAGCCACAAGAATTTCTTTCCTTTTTGACCTTCAGTTCAGTTCCAAGGACCCCAAGAATATTTGTCTTTCCAATAATTTAGCTTGTCAGAATTCCCAAAAACCACTCCCTCAGTGAAACCCCTGTTTCTTTGTGAAATGTGGGCTAATAGCCCTGAGGGAAGCTTTGATGGAATACTCTCCAGTCCTGAAGGCACCCAGCTCAACTGCCTCACACTTACACAGAATAAATTACATGCACAGGAAGTGACTCCTCTCCAGTGCAGGAGAAAGAATGACCTAGGCATGGGAGGAATCCCATTATCAAATATAAACATTACCAAACCCTATGGACTATATGTAGGGAAAGAGTGCACATTTGGAAAGTTCCTCAAGCCATCTCAGATGAAGTGCCCCAGAGGAAAATGTCAACTCCCATGAATCCTGCAAATACAGTTCAAAAGACACATACTTGGTGGCAGCCATGTTTCTCAGTGCCATACAGGGACAGGGTCATTCACTTATCGGAGCCAAAGGCTTACAAGAAAAGCTGCTTGCTCAACTGCAGAAAGATGGTGTCTGCCAAAAAGACAACTCCTTGGGACCCATACTGCAACAAGTGGCTACTCTGCATACTAAGGACCTCCCTATACCTTTTTTTCTTTTTTCTTTTTTTGGTTTTACGAGACAGGGTTTCTCTCTATTGTTTTGGAGGCTGTCGGTCCAGCCCGGCCTCGAACTCACAGAGATCCGCCTGCCTCTGCCTCCCGAGTGCTGGGATTAAAGGCATGCGCCACCACCGCCCGGCCTGACCTCCCTATACCTTAAAGGATTACATGTTTAAGGAGCTGCACCCTGACTGGCCAGGGTACAGTTAGACAGCAGATGGTCATTGGAGTTAATGCTCTAGCTGTTTAGAATGTTCTATGTGTTTCAGCAGAGATGCTGCATATTCTCCCCAGAAACAGTCTTTGGATTGAGAGTTAGTTGATCATTTAATGAACAAAAAGCTTGAATGTCTCACCTGACAAGCAAGAGCCCTACCGACCTTAAGTGGCTGTTTGAGTTCCATCAGTGTGAACTCTGTTCAGGCCTTCTACTGCCCCTTACAGCTGCTGCCATTCCCATGCACCTAACCTACCTGCTTGTCTCAAATCCTCCTCAGACTATAAATTCCAGCTCCTATTCCCCAAGCACTCCAGAAGGTCAGTGGACTCAAGACCTTCTAGGTAACAGCTTAGTCACAATGGTGACATTTTCAAGGACCAGCAAGACAAGAAATCTTTAGGGTTTGTCTGGAAACTCTTCCAGATCTGCTAAAGTATCTAAAGCCTGTGGAAGAAAACAATCTAGTGTCTCACAAAAGGACTAAAATGAAGTCTAAAACCCATAATGAAAAGGACCAAATAAAAAGCATGAGATCAAAGGAAGGCTGTCAAAGAGAAGAAACTGCCAAGCTGAGTAACTCCACTCCTAAACCCAGTGAAGGAGTTGAAGAAGGTTGCACTGCTTCCATGCAGCCTCTTCAACAATTTAGTTCATAGATTATTCAGTAAACACATTACTACTGCTAGTGTATCCTGTGAGCAACACTGAATTACAAGGATGACTTCACTGTTGACTGTGGTGAGTACGGGGCTTTGTTGGTCACGATGGAAACTGGAGCTAGGAGATTTGTCAAATTGAATACACAATGACAATGCCTTTCTCTGAGCTCAAAAGCATACCAGAATGTTCCTGAAAAGGTCTCACAAGAGTTTAGGAAGATCAAGCAGTCCCAGCTATCATGAAGAATTATACACGTTGGAGTATCTTCAGAACATGCTGGCTCACATCAAAAGATACCATGGGAGTTTAGCTAACAACAAGCACATTCCTGGTACTAGAAACTACTTGGACCAGAATATGAGAAGTAGCTTAAGTTTATTTAGTTAAGATTCCAAAAGATTAAATTTAGCTTGTTGGTAGTTTCAGTACTAGTGATCTTGAGTTATGTTTTCCCCTCCATTTTATTTTCCTTTCATGCATTTTGAAGCTGATTTTTCCCCCCACTCCCAAGACTTGTTTGTTAATAGAAGCAGTTGTATTTTTGTTTGTTTGTTTGTTTGTTTGTTTAAGATTGGGAAGTCTAGTGTCTACTCAAAATTAACTTTTAGTTGAAAATCTTATTTGTCATTAGAGATGAGTTTTTAGATATCAGGTATGCAGTGTCCACATTTAAAGAGTTGTGTGTGTTTGCAACAAAACAGTAATATCCAAAGTAAAATGCTGACCTTTGTTAACGCAAGTTCTTTGCCCTAAGTTATAAAACATTTAGACGTTTCCACAAAATACAAAAAAATCAAAACCTTGTTGTGGAGGGTTGAAAAATAGAAGTGTGTGCATGGTGGCTTTTCTTCTCTCCCTTCCTTCCTTCCTTCCTTCCTTCCTTCCTTCCTTCCTTCCTTCCTTCCTTCCTTTCTTCCTTCCTTCCTTCCTCTTAAGATGTATGGTATGTATGTGTGTGTATGTATGTATGTATGTGTGTGTGTGTATGCATGCATGTATGTATGTATGTATGTATGTATGTATGTATGTATGTATGTATGTATTGTGTGTATGGTGTTCTGCCTGCATGCCAGAAAAGGGCACCAGTTTGTGGTTGCTGGGAATTGAACTCAGGACCTCTGGAAGAGCAGCCAGTGCTCTTAACCTCTGAGCCGTCTCTCCAGCTTCATTCTAGAGTCTTATACATGCTAGAAAGTATAGTACTTTACCACTTTGCTACAACCTCAGCCTCAATTTTATGTGTCTGGGTGTTTGCCCTCATGTATGTGTGTGTACCATATGCATGCTGGTGCCTGCAGAGGCCAGAAGATCTCTGGGACTGGAGCTGCAGATGATTGTGAGCCACCATGTGAGTGCTGGGAATCAAACCCAGATCCTTTGGAAGAGCAGCCAGTGTTCTTAACCAACAGTATCTCTCCAGACATATCAAACTCAACTTGTTACAATACATGATTTGATGCTTTTTAGCTTATTCTCAAAAGTTTTGCTATTGTCACCATTGTCTAATACTAAGACATATCATCACTCCCATATCAACCTGTTTCCCCTGTGTCATTGCTCCATTTCCTTCCTTCCCTATTCCTTTCTGTCTGCTTAGCTGCATTCTGGTTCTATGGGTTTCACTAGTCAGGACATGCCATAGAACTGGGAAGCTCTGCATGGCTTCTCATTTATGTTTTAGTCTCTTCCTACAGTTTATCCAGTATCAGTATTTCTTTTCTTTTAGTTACTTAAATATTCTGTTCCTTACTGTCAGCTGATGGACATTTGGATGTTCTCCACAACTCTAGCTTTTAAGAGTTATGGTGAACCCGTGAGCAGTCTGTTCCAGACTTTCAATGGCATTTCACCAAACACTTGGAAATAAGGTGAATGTCTCATCTCTTACCCATTATGATCCTTCTGTAAGGAAGGAAAGACATACGAAGTCTCTCATGTTATAGATCAGTATAATGAAAATATACAAGCTTGTAATCATAGCTACTTGGGAGCCTGAGGCAGAAAGATTACAAGTTCGAAACCTGCTTGAGCTCCATAATGAGTTCAAGGCTAGCCTAGACAATTTAGTGAGTCTCTATTTTAGAAATAAAAATTTAAAAAAATCGTGGATTAGTTAGGTGTTAGTTGCTTATCTTACATATGCAAGGCCTGGAGTTTAATTCCTAGTACTGGGAGGAAAAGCAGGTAAACAAAAGTAAAATGTAGGCTATGCAGTGGTGGCTCACGCCTTTAATCCCAGCACTCGGGAGGCAGAGGCAGGTGGATCTCTGTGAGTTCCAGGCCAGCCTGGTCTACAAGAGCTAGTTCCAGGACAGCCTCCAAAGCAATACAGAGAAACCCTGTCTCAAAAGAAAAAAAAAAAAAAAGAAAGGTAAAATGTAGATCTAGAGGGTTCAGATATGGTTCAGTTGATAAGAGTGCTAGTTTAGTGCACACAAAGCATTACATTCAGTTTCCTAGCACAGCGTGAATTTGGGTGTGAAGAACCTGCTCAGAAAGTGGACTGAGTAGTTTTCCATAGGCCAGGGTTACCTTCAGAAGTTAGTCTAGAGTGAGACAAGTAGTTCTCTGTCTCTGTCTCTGTCTCTCTCTGTCTCTGTGTGTGTGTGTGTGTGTGTGTAAGACAGGGTCACACTATATAGCCCTAGTTGGCCTGGAACTCACCACCTATAGATCGAGTTGGCTTTGAACTCACAGAGTTGTGCCTGCCTCTGCCTCCCAAGTGCTAATATTAAAGGCGTGCGCCACCACACAATACTTCATTATTTTTAATTAAGCTGTAATGGTAGGCTGGATGGGTATAGTGGTCATACTGTAATTCCTGCACTTAGGTAACAGAAGATAAGAGAACTGAGAGTTTTGGAAAGGAAAAGAAAATCCAAACAAATAAATTTAAAATGTGAAGGTTGTCTTTGGGGTTAACAGTGCTTAAGGAGCGTGGCAGCAGTGCCATGTGTTAGATTGTATTTCTGTGCTACAATGGCAGGTCTCCTTTCTGTCACTCAGCCCATGGTAGGGTCAGTGATGAGGCACTGTCATCCTAACTATCCTCTGGCCTTTGCTGTCCTGGGACCTTTTTAAGAAACCATTGTTAGATCTATATTGCTGTGACAAATTACTTGAGAAGAACTTTAAAGGAAGAATGGCTTTGGGATTCAGAGATTTGGTTCCAAGACCAGTTGGCTGTGTTGTTTGAGAGCCAGGCACATGCAGTGGGACAGCTCTGTTTACCTATGGTGGCTGGGAAGCAAAAAGACAGGTACCAATATGCCTTCCAAGAGCAACCCTCTTCCTCCTAGTAAGCAGCAATTAATATACATCTTATGCATCTTCTATTATGCTTAAAGCCAATTATCAGTTGAATATTAATGGTAAATTGCATTGAGGTTTATTAATTACACATTTGTTTAAATATTTTTCTTTTTTCCCCAGATAACTTTTTTGTGGATGATTTTGCCAGATTTTCTACTTTGGACTCTAAGGGCAAGACCGCTGCTATAGCCAACAGTATGAACTATCTTACTAAAAAAGGTAACCCATCTGGGCTTGGCTTGGATCTAATGTATTTTATAGTCTTAGTATTTGAAAATGAAACTCTGTCTTACTGTCTTGGGAAAAGAAATTCCATAACTCCTTTTATTAATTTTCTCTTAAAATACAAGTATAGAAAATGCATATTTAAAATATAATTCTGTATTTGTGTTTAAAAATTCAAATATTTTCTTTATAAATTTTGTTTATCATTAAAATTGATAGGAAAAGCCCTTCATGGTTCAAAATGGAAAACATTATATGAAAATGATTTTGCCTGATTCTTTGATAACATCATAGAGCTGATTTTATTGTAGCACTTATAGGGTAAACTAGATTCCAGAAAGCCTTGTGAATTCTTTAAAATAATTTTATGCAGTTGCTTAAGCTGCACTTGTCTAAAGAAACTGTTTTCAGTGGCAGGCAGGTCCTTTCCCTCTGGTGGTGTTGACATGATTATCCTTCCAGAGTAGTTCTAGTAGTAATTGCTACTCTGGAAAGCAGCAGTTGTCATTAGGACAGTTCCGTTTACCCTGCTGCGATCTTCCCGTTGGATTCCCATTTCTGTATACGTTCACACAATTAGTCCACTGGATTTCTCAAAGATTTTATCTCTGACGGGTCCTAGAACAGGGCTTGGACATGGTGGGAGCTAGAGCAGAAAGCAGCCCAGCCTTGTTAGCCATGTGTGATTGCTGACTTTCTGATGGGCATTTGATTATACAATGACATTCTCTTTTCTTTTACTCTTTTTTCTTTGCCTCTTTGTCCAGGAATGTCCTCCAAGGAAATCTATGGTAACTCGAAACTCCAGAATGTTCCCTTCATTTTTATAATTAACTTACATGGTTTCAGGACCATATTCAGAATTTATTGACATTTCATTGTGATGTTTCTGAAACCCGTGGGTAACATAGATTGTAGATAAACTATATAATGTTTATACAAAACATCTATACATATGTATAAATGTTTGGAGACCTTTTAGAAAGTTGTAAATTAACATGATTAAATACTACATTGCGTTGCCCACATGTTTCATTGTATATGCTAAGAGATCCCCCAGACCACAGGTCAGTTAATCAATGCATGTTCCTAGTTTTCATTTGAGTTGCTTGGAAGATTGCTCTGCTTCATGTTAGTAGAGAAGTTCCATCCACTACCTGCTTGCTTTGTACCTATGACAGCAGTCATTTTCTTATTTTTTGTTTTGCATGTTTTTCAGAAATTATTTGGCCTATTTAATGTTGGAACATCGATTATCTTTTTTCTTCTTCTAGTCAGTTTGTTGTGTTTATTTTTCTGCAGATGATTCCTTTATTAGGCCAGTGACTTTTTGGATTGTTGGGGATTTTGATAGCCCATCTGGACGGCAGTTATTATATGATGCCATTAAACATCAGGCAAGTTTCTCAGATTTCATTCTGGGAGGGGGGTTATGGAGTATTTTGTTTTGTGTTTGTTTGTTTCTGAGGCTCCAATTGGCTCTGTGCTAGTGTGATTATTCTAGTGTTTCTAATGTTTCTTAGTGTGCTGAGGGAGTTGAGCATAGTGTCTTCAAAGGCTGTCAGCTCCTAATACAAAAGGTCAAAGACTGCAGGGCCTCACTTCACTTGAGGGAGGGGATGGAGTCTCTAAGAGAAAACACAATGGGATTCTCAGTGTAGGATTTCCTTGCGCGAGTGCATGTGCTTGCTGCAGTGATCTTGCCATGTAGTGCAGCATCAGGAGAGGCCCACACATTCCCAAGCCAGCAGGCTGGTGTGTGTTCCACATAAGTAGACGCAGGCTCCCAGCCAGGTGTTCACAGAGCCGCTCTAAGTCAACTTGTATGTTTTAGTAGGAGTTGACATTGCAGTGCTGAGTGGTTGAGAAGAAATGGGTTCTTTTGGACAGTATCATTGTCAGGATCAGACGTCAAGATCCTTCTTCCTGGGTCTTTGCAGCTTCATTTAGAAGTCACATTTCTCTTTGTGTCTCTGTCTAACCCGAGCCCCAGGGAGACTGCCTGAAATAAGAAGATATCCAGGGATTTTCATTTCACTGCGGTGCCAAGGGCCTTCACTGTTTAAAACACTGGATGGGATACTGTGGTCAGTTGAAGGTTGAGTCAGGACAGTTCATAATGATGGGTGACAGATGTATACACAGGGTTTTCTAATGTGAAAGGAGAAACTCTTCACATTAGGAGAGTTCTAGCTCTTAAATATGTATTTGCATTGAGGTGAAGCTTGCGTTCATATACTTAGTGTTACAAGCAAGTATGCCCCTGTGTCCACCACCCAGATCAAGAAATAGTAATGTCACTGAAGGCCCCCTAGCCACTGCTCTCCTCCCTCTTCTTGCATCATAAAATTTTATAATGTATACTTATATTTGGTTCCTTTACATTTTGTGAGCTGACTTTTATATGTTTGAATGTGCACATAAATATACACAGGCACACCTCACATGCATGCCTGATGCCCAAGAAGACCAAAGAGGGTATCAGAGCTCCTGGAACTGGAGTTATGTATAGCTGTGAGCTGTCACATGGGTACTGTGAACCAAATGAAGGTTCTCTAAAAGAACAATAAGTGCTCTTGACAGCTGAGCCATCTCTCCAGCTCCTGATACCTTTTGTTTGTCTGTTTGGTTTTCCGCTCCATTTTAATTTATTTATTTATTTATGGGAAGAGACACACACATAGCATGGTGCTTATGTGGAGGTCATAAGGCAACTTATGGAAAATTATTTTCCTTCCACACTAGGAGCCATAGGGATTGAACGGGGGTCTTTCTTGGTGGCAAGTACCTTTACCAGCTAAGCCGTCTCACTGCTCACTGGCCAGCTTACTTTTTTTTTTTTTTTTTTTTTTTTTGGTTTTTCAAGACAGGGTTTCTGCCTCCAGAGTGCTGGGATTAAAGGCGTGTGCTACCTCCTCCTGGCCCCAGTTTACATTCTTGACATAAGCCCTGTTTGGTTCTATGGTCCTCCATTTCTTCCATGCGTATTCATGCTTTTGTTTTGTTGAATAGTTTGTCTTTTACCCATGGGGAGTTCCATTGTTCCTGGCCTCTGAAAAGGCCAGGTGAATGAAGATGAGTGAGCAGGAACATGGAAAAGGATTTGAATTTAGAAAGATGGAATGCAGTTAGAGTATAAAATGTGTGAGGATACACAGCATTCTTGATGTCTGCTGTGTTTATAGAAATGAAATTGGAAAGGAAGCCTGGGGCTAGTTCCTTACAGGATTTGGCAGACTTGATTGTACACATCATCTGAATTTTATTTTGACTACAAACAACTACTGAAGATGTTTAGAAGAGATATTGCTATTATGGAGCATGACTGATGTTAGTACTGTCTGCCCTGCACTCCTTCCCCCTTGGAGGCATGTGACTCTGGTCTGGCTATGTAGCCCAGGCTGGCCTTCAGACATCTGCCTGTCTCTGCCTTTTGAGTGCTAAGATTAAAGACATGTATGCACCACCATGCCTGGTCAGTGTTGCCTTTTAAAGTTCTTAACATGTACGGTATAATTCTTATCTCCCTTTTTGTAAACAGAAAACCAGTAACAATGTTAGGATAAGTATGATCAATAATCCCAGCCAAGAGATAAGTTACTCAAACACTCCAATCTTCAGAGCCATCTGGGCAGCTCTCCAAACACAGACCTCCAACTCAGCTAAGAACTTCATCACCAAAATGACCAAAGAGGAGACAGCAGAGGCCCTGGCTGCAGGAGTGGACATCGGGGAATTCTCTGTTGGGGTAAGGCTCAAGGTTCTGAGGCTAGCCTGGTCATTCATGTTTTTCTCCTGGACTGATATATACTATTCATAATAGGGTTTGTGATTGCTTCTGAGTCTCAGGATATTTTTTGTTGTTGTTGAGTTAGAATCTTAACAAGAAATAATTGTATCGTGTTACATTTTACTTTCAAACTTGTTTAGTTTGAAGATGTGCAGGATACAAGTATGTGCCATTCTTTATGATCTTTAAAAGATATTATTTGATTTACTTATAAAGTAGAAAAACAGATTATAGTTTTAAAATTTCTTATAAAGTTATGAGTATATTGATTTTTAGTTAGAGGAAATGACTGTTACCAGAAGTACCAAGATTTAAAATTGCAAAATAAAGTTATTGAGAATAGACTGCCAGTAGAAAATAGGAAAATGGAATGCGCAGTTTATGAGGAGGGCAGAAAGAGGAGAAAATGGAGAATTAAGATGTTATAATGTTAATTATGAAATTTGGTTATTTTCACAAAAGCACTTTATATTTTATTCATTTTGTGGTTTGCTTAATAACAGTGACTTTCCTTAACAATGATTACTTCCTAGGGCATGGATGTCAGTCTTTTTAAAGAGGCCTTTGAGTCTTCCAAAATGGATCCCATTTTGTCTCATGCGCTGTACTGCAGGGATGTTCTGAAGCTGAAGAAGGGACAGAGAGTGGTGATCAGCAATGGAAGGGTGAGCACTTTCTGGGCTGTGAAGCTTGCCTTCCATAGGCCTTTAGCTGTCTCACTCCTTTGAAACGCACTGGAGCCGCCCCCCTGTTGGCTGGCAGGCTTCTGAGTGCTGGTGCAGAGAGCTCTGTCCTGTCTTTCCAAGACGGCGTGCTTCTGATGCAGCCCCTGTGGGCCCCTTTGTTCAAGTGTGTCTTGACAGTGAGGGGGTAGTGAGTGTGGGACGGTCGGGACAGAAGTTAGTACAGCTGCCTAGGAAATACCTGCCTAGGAAGTAGGCCTTACTGTTAGCTAACAACCAGCGCCAATGACACTGCTAGTTCATGTCAGTTTCTTAGAAAGTTAACACACGGCTCTACTGATGTGGAATCAGCAGGTAAACAGTAGCTGAGTTTCTTCAGGCTCTATTTTTTACTTTTCATTAATTTTAAGATGTTCTCCAGGGTTGGGGTTCCCAGGGCTAGCAGAGGTGTCACAGCCACTGGTGACCGCCAGCTTGGCTCTGCTCTTTACCTCACAGATCATTGGGCCGCTGGAGGAGAGTGAGCTCTTTAACCAAGACGATTTCCACCTCCTAGAAAATATCATCTTGAAAACATCTGGACAGAAAATAAAATCTCATATCCAACAGCTTCGCGTAGAAGAAGATGTGTAAGTTTTTATAATTAGTTAACTAGTTAAATAATAAGCAAAAATGTTTTTCTAACTAGATGCTAGATCATGTCACAGGATTTTTATTAATTTCGCCTCTTTGGTCAAAGTGAGGACTATATATTATCAAATATATTCCCGAGTCTATGGGTTTATTTCCAGTTTTACTGTAATAATGCAGGTTATCAGCTAAGTTTTTGAATGACTTCTCTCCATTTTGAGTCTGGAAAAGTTCAAACACAGGCAGGGACAGGTCTGCTTTCTACTGGACACATGTGTAGAGACTTTCGCTGGCTCTTTGGTCTCCTTCAGTTTCATTGTGTTGGGGAGGGAATGCATGCTGAATTCTAGTCTTTTCATCATTTTAAGTCCAGTTTTTTTATTTTCTTGTTTAATTGTGGGCATTCCTTTTATTCTAGATGTCAGTTCCCTATCACATCTGTGGTTTGAAAATATTTCCCTATTCCCTTGGTTGACCTTTTACCCTTTGAATAGTGCCATTTGATTCAGTTGGAGGATATAAAGACATTAAAGGTCTCTCTTTTCATTCATCTTTTTCATGTACTGTCACACCACATCTTTTAGTGATGTGCTGTCTTTGATAGCTGCCAAAGTAGCCCCTTTGTCATGTGATATAGATTTTTTTGTGTGTGTGGTGCTGTGGATGTTGGAACCTAGACCTTCATATATGCTAGGAAAGTTTTCTACCACTGAGCTACTTCCCCAGACTGAGAAAAAGTCCTTTTCGTCTGACTCAACGCTGAGGTTGAGGTAAAGTGTTTCTTCCTGCCTCCGTGGCTTTTGAGTGGTTTCCTTTGTGTGGCTTGTGAAGCACTTCCCTGAGGCAGCACTTTCAGTATCTCCAGGGTCACTGTGTTTTGGGGTAGTCCCCTGTTACAGTCATAGCTTTCAGAAACCTGGTTGTGCACTCTTTGATCTTGGTGCTTTGTATAAGAAGTATAAGAAGTTGCTTGTTGTTCTGTGTACCAGAAGTGTTCACAACTGATACTGGGAAGTTAAATAAATTGTTTATGATGCGATTAGTTCAAAGAGAAAAATGTGCAAACTTGGTTATAGTTGAAGTCTATCACAGCTTACTTGGGATGTCGTATTCAAGTCTAGCTTCTTTAAGTTCATGACATTTGTAGTTCAAGATCTCCTTTGGTTATAAGTCAGCTTAGAAGGGGTTAGCAAACCAGTAAGATGATTCAGTGAATAAGACAACCTCTGTTTGATTCCTGGGATCCATATGGTGGAAAGAGATAACCAACTCCTTGAGTTCTTCTCTGACACCCACAACATGTGAGAACACACACATGCACACAAACAAATAAATCTAAATAGAGGCGTGAACTCAGTACCAAAAGGTGTGATTCTAAGTTTTCATCACTTAGTGCAACATCGACCCATTTTGGTGTCTCTGAGGTTCTTTACTGTGTTAACATAAAATAAAATGAAGAAAAACCTCCATTTTACCTACCCCCTCTTTTAAACCACCTTGTTGACATTAACTCTGTGTTTGGGCTGATGGTGTTCAGCAATAATTAGAAAGTCTGCAGATAAAGTGATGCTAAGATGTCATAACTCCATCTTTTAGGGCAAGTGACTTGGTAATGAAGGTAGATTCTCTCCTGTCAGCACAACCCAAAGGAGAGGCACGGATCGACTACCAGTTCTTTGAAGACAAACACAGGTATGGAATTCATGTTGAATTTATGCACATTCCTGATATTAAACTCATAGGCTTTTTTTTTTGTCTCACATCCTTTGTTTCTCCATATAAGGTTTTAGAAACCTTAAATGTTATTAGAGAAATAAGAAGTTTAGTGTGTGGTTTTCTTTGTATGTTAGTGTTCACATATAAAATGAAATTTCATATGTAAAATTCAATTTCATTAAAGTTGGTATTTCTAAATAAATTTGAAATAATTCTGAATATATCCTTTCATTGAAAATAGCAATTAATGAAATAGGATAGCTATAATTGTCTAGTATTCAGGAGTAACCAGATTGCTTAAATACTAGTTAAATACTTGCCTCTTGTTTATTATTATTATTATTATTATTAAAAAACAATGTTTCTAATAAATAAAAATGCATTTAGGATATGAAGATGTCTCTGCCTTTTTATTCTTCAGTTTTTTATTTTGAAGTTTCAAACATGAATGAAGGTGCAGGACTTGCAAAGAATAACTATGTATTTGTAGCTGTATTTAGTTATTGGTGTGCCGTATTCGGTATTTCCCATCTGTGTGTGCAGTGTGCATATGTGTACTGTTATCTTTTTTTCTAGCATTTGAAAGTGTATTGCTGACATGATATAATATGTCTAAAGTGTTCAGTATGTGGAGACTTGGTCCACAGTACTGAGAAATGTGACCTTCATCCAGTAACGCTAATACTTAATCTCTGTTCAGATTTCTCTGATGTCCCAGACCACACATTGAAGTTATCCATAGCTCTTGAATCTCCTTTAATCTAAATGAGTTCTCTGCTCACCCCCACCCCCTTTTCCTTTTATGGCATTGACTTTTTAAAGAGCCTAGACAGATTGTCTTTGGAACCCCACGTGTGGGTTACTCCCTTAAGACCGGAGAACTCAAAACATCAGCTGTTAGTCTCCTCATTTAAAAGTTGTACTTTTATTATTTTTGATTATGTGTGCACCTGTGTGCAGGTGCCTGTGGAGACCTCAGGCTGTTGGATTCTTCCGGGGGTTCGCGGAACTATAGGTGGTTGTGAGAACTGGGAACCAATGTCAGATCCTTTTCAAAAGCAGTATGTATTCTTAACTGCTGAGCTCTCTCTCCAAGCCCATGTCTCCTCATTTATGACTGCTTCCTATCTTCGTCTTTCTCCCTCCTTACCCCTACTCCACTCTCTTATGTAGGGCCTGTGCATGCTAAGCACACGTGCCTCTAAGCTACGTCTTCAGCCTTCTTCTGATTTCTCATGTCACTTGTAGGCAGAGACCTCTGTGGCCCAGGATAACCCTTCAGGTAGTTTGCCACTCACAGCTGTGCACACGCTCCTCTTCTCTTCTCTGCACTGTGCTCTGAAAGAAAGAACTCGTTACTAGCACAGGAAACAGTGATTGATCTGCTGTCCCATCTACCTTTCGTAGCCAAGAGAGTAGGTCCTCAGTGTAGCCCAAGCCCTCTCTAAAGCATCCTTTTCTCTATGATCTCTGTGAGTTTTACGTAATTAAAATTGCTCTAGCTACAAATTCTGTTATGATACAATAGAAATTTTTATTGCTGTTGTGTGAGCCAAGTTTTTGATACATGTAAATCAAAATTTCTCATTCCTATTTTATTGAAAGGTTTTATCCATTCAGCTCATCATGTGGATTCTTTGTTTCTAACTTTTCAACATGCTGAAACTTGCTTTACTCAAATAAATTCCATTTAATTATTACATAAAAAGTTTTTTTTTTTTTTTTTTTTTTTTTGGTTTTTCGAGACAGGGTTTCCCTGTGGCTTTGGAGGCTGTCCTGGAACTCGCTCGGTAGACCAGGCTGGTCTCGAACTCACAGTGATCCGCCTGCCTCTGCCTCCCAAGTGCTGGGATTAAAGGCGTGCGCCACCAACGCCCGGCTAGTTATTTCTTTTTAAGGATTTATTTCTTTATTATGTATAGTGTTCTGCTTGCATGTATGCTTGCACTCCAGAAAAGGGCACCAGATCTCATTATGTGTGCTTGTGAGGCACCATGTGGTTGCTGGGAATTGAACTCAGGACTTCTGGAAGAGGAGCCATCTCTCCAGCCCTACTTATCATTTCTGCTACAAATAAAAATTACTGTGCACTCCAGGCATTGGTGGCGCACTACTTTAATCCCAACACTCGGGAGGCAGAGGCAGACGGATCTCTGTGAGTTCGAGGCCAGCCTGGGCTACAGAGTGAGTGCCAGGGTAGGCTCCAAAGCTACACAGAGAAACCCTGTCTCGAAAAACAAACAAAGATTGTGCAGGTGGGTGGTGGTGGTGGTGCATGCCTTTAATCCTAGCACTCAAGAGGCAGAGGCTGATAGCTCTCCCAGTTAGAGCCAGCCTGCTCTACAGGGTGAGTTCCAGAACAGACAGGGCTACACAGTGAAACCCTGTCTTGAAAGACAAACAGAAATTCCTACGCTATCAATTCTGTGTGCCCTTAGTGTGGGTCTGAGACCATCAGCAACAGGGTATTGTCCGGGAGCCTGCTGAGTGATCTTTGGCCCTACAGCAGACATGTTGTATCAGTACCTGCCTCTTAGCAAGATTCTCCAGTGATTCCGGTGAACATAATTTGGGAGGGCACAGTTTTCTTGAATATTTGCTCTATTCACCCAATGGGAATGTGTGATTTGGCTTCATTCTAGAGTTTTCTCTTAACAGTACATCAAGTACATCGTGTTAATTGGTTTGTATTGTGCCATTCTCATGTGACTGTTATTTCCTTGAGTTTTCTTGCCCCCTTTCCTTGTTATAGAACACAGGAGTGATTTTTAAAAATTAATTTAACTTTTTATTTTTAGAAACACTCTTATTTACATATCCATCCCCCCAGTCCCTCACCTTCCCATCCTCCCATGCTTCCCACTGACCCCCCAACCCACCCACCACCCACTCCCCAAGGATAGTGAGACCCTCCATGGGGGATCATCAAAGTCTATCACATCATTTGGGGGAGGGCCCAGGCCCTCCTTTCCATATCTGGGCTGCAATAGTATCCATAGAGAAAGGGCTCCCAAAGTCCATTTGTGGCCTAGGAATAAACCCCGGCTCCACTGTTAGAAGTTCCTTAGACTGCCTTGTCCTCCTAGCTGGTACCCACCTTCAGAGGGCTTGGTTCGGTCCAATGCTGGTTCCCCTGTTTTACGACTAGGGTCTGCATGCTCTCATTAGGTCAGGTCAACTGTTTCTGTGGGTATCTCCAGTTCCTTCTTGGTTCATTTGGTCATCTGTCTTCAACTAGATTCCGGTTAATTTAATTTTTTGTATATGGGTGATTTGTCCATGTGTAAACCTGTACACCCGTGTGCATGCATTGTCCATGGAGAGCAGAAAAAGATATTGGATCCTCTAGAACTGGAGTTAGGGATGGTTGTGAACACTCATGGGGGTGATTTTTCGAGAATAGCTACAGAAAAATAGTTGTCTTATATTGAAGTAATGGCTGCTTCCAAAGCATCTAACTTTTGAAATAACCACCAGCAGCAACTAAACCATTGCTATATGGTTTGCTGGTTGCATTCTGCTTTGTGTTGTACTGTTAGCACAGGCGGCAAATGTTCTTAACTGTAAAACTTTGATCAGATCTAACAAAGCAATAAATGATTTTATACAACTGGGTGGAGTCTTAGTCCTTTGAGAGTCACTGCTTTTTTCCTCTTTGCATTTTCATTTGTAAGAGCTTTTCTTGGGCATGCTGCTGCAGTGCTAATGGTGGAGAGAGGAGAGATCTCTTTAGATTAAGCTTATCTTTCCAGAACCAGGATTTGGCATGTTATTGTGCTCCTTAGCTCATAGTCCCACCCATCACAGGCCTCATACAAGGACAATCACAAGCCTCACCTAATTAGGTATAGCTCCTTCCACAGCTTTAGTCTCATAGTTGATCACCATTATAGCTTGTTAATTCTGATCTGCATATTTTTTGAAATGCTCAAAGGGCTGAAGAGTTGATACAACATACTGGTATCCCCATCTCCCCCCACCTCCAACTTTGTTTCCTCTTATCTCTATGCTAATGTTTTGTTCTTTTGATTTTTTTTTCAGTGCAATTAAACTGAAGCCCAATGAAGGAGACACATACTATGATGTGGTAGCTGTTGTTGACCCTGTCACAAGAGAAGCACAGAGGCTTGCCCCCTTGCTCTTGGTAGGGCTGCTGTGGAGGCAGTTATTATCTTTAATGAAGTAGTCATGGGCCCTATGATTTTCTGGGTACTTCCTTTGTCCCTGAGACATCTTCTAGAGGAGTTGGACAATATATTTTCATAAGTTTAATAGAGGCTCATTTTCCTTATTAATTGTATCATATCTTTTATATATATATGTATATATATATATAAGGTGCTATACTTTGATGTATGTTTAAAATGCTAGTAAATGCAACACCCTAACATTTCATTTAAGTGTATGTGTGTGTGTGTGTGTGTGTGTGTGTGTGTGTGTGTGTGTGTTTTGTGTACATGCATTCTAGGGCCTGAACATGGAGCCTTACATGTGCTATGTGCTATATGGGCACGCTGCCAAATGAAATATATCTCTAGCCCTAGCTGGGATTTTTTTAAGATAGTGTGATCGCCTACTCTTCTGTAGGTGTTAATACATATGTCTTTTCATGCTTTTTAATGTGAATTGAAGCAGTGAGCTGTTGTGTTTTCCTTTGTAGCTAAATATTCATCATTTATCTGCTGTTTCCTTGAAACTGAGTGTTAAACTTTGTGTGAGAAGTGATCTGCAATAGCTTTTATTAAAAATAAATTTTAAAAAACCCAAAAAAACCCATTCCTTAATTCAGTCAGTCAGTCTGTGTGTCTGTTTACGCACATCATGGTACATAACTAGCCATCAGAGGGCATTTTGAAAGAGTCCAGTTCTTGCTGACTTTGAAAGAGTAGTGCACACCTTTAATCCCAGTACTCAGGAGGCAGAGCCAGATGGATCTCTGTGAGTTTGAGGCCAGCTTGGTCTACAGAGAGTTCCAGGACAGACAAGACTATTACAGAGAGAAACTCTGCTCAACAAACAAACACCAGTCAATGCTTGCCTTCTGCCGTTTGGGTCTCAGCGTCAGACTTGGGCGGGAAGGCTTGGCAGCAAGCGCCTTGGCTTGCTGAGCCATCGCATCCCTCCCTGCCCCTTTTCGGGTCTGTGCCTGAGGTGTGTATGGTAGATTCCACATTGGAGCTTTGATTCTCACAACTCCTCCAGTGCAGATGTAATGACAGCTGTTATCTTTATCTGTCTTCTTGAGATGTTAATGTTTTATTTCCTAACTAGTTGTGAAATAATGTTTCTGAGGAGAAAAAGCTAAATATTTTGTCATCTGGTTTGCCTTTTTAGGTTTTGACTCAGTTGATAAACATGAATCTAAGAGTATTTATGAATTGCCAATCCAAACTTTCGGACATGCCTTTAAAAAGGTAAAATGCCATTTAAGGAACCTTTTTTGAGTGGTACCAAATCTAAAAGTTAATACAAAATGCTGACAAATCAGGTGGGCTGATAGGCGGATGTTGTTTGAATGGACATCTACTGACTGTTGAATTATGTCACATATTTGTTCTGGTTAGACACTCTGAGAACATAGTGTGGACTTGGAAGCATTTAGATGGCACTAATCCAAGCTACTTGCACATTGGCATCTCTCTTTAAAAGAACTGTAGCCATTGGTTGCCACATGTAAGAAGCTTACTGTACTCATTCTCATGTACCCTGGGGAAGTGGACAGGCTTGGTTGCAGGATGGCCATTTGTGGTAGGAGTGTCCCAATAATAGTGGTAGCTTAGCACATGCTCTGGCTGTGGGAAATGTCTTCCTGGATGAAGGACAGAGCTATAGTTTCTAAATGGATCCCAACAATTTTACAAAGGATGAGGAACCCCAACTTCACTATTAACTTTATATTAAAAAATGTTTAGTTATGACATACAATGTTTTCAGTGCTGACATGAGAGCACAAGCACCCTGGGCTCAGATTTTAAGAGAAAATGTGTTCTCCTTAAAGAGGAGAACCACACGTCTGAAGGGACGGTCTTCTGCATTCTTCCCTCTCTCTTTTGACTCTATGGCAGCCCTGGGAGGCTTCACTAGATCAAAGAATGGTTTTGCCTATTCATAGCCTGATCTGGAAGGATACTGTCCAAATCTAGTTTTTTTGTTAACTTGTGTGGACCCTTGTGATTGCATCCAGAAAGCCTAACACTCCTATTTTCATTTCAGCTTTTATCGTTATGTCTTAGAACCAGAGATCTCTTTCGCTGCAGACAACAGCTTTGCGAAGGGACCAATAGCCAAGTTTCTGGATATGCCACAGTCTCCCCTGTTCACTTTGAATTTGAACACGCCTGAGAGTTGGATGGTAGAATCTGTCAGAACACCGTATGATCTTGATAATATTTATCTAGAGGAGGTAAGATTATCATTGTTTCCGAATCCTGAGTCATGTATGGTCTGTTTATGATTCAGTGTCCCATCGTAAGTTTTGGCATGTGCACAGACTGGTGCTGCTGTCCTTGCTATCTCAGTTTAGTTGTCCCCGTAATCAGCAACGTGTCTGTATTAGTTACTTTTCTCGATGCTACATCCACGCGCATGACAGAAAGCCATGTGAGAGAGGAGCCATTCTTTTGACTCATAAGATGGAGTCCATCATGGTAGGGAAGATGTGGCAGGGGAAGTGGTTTGGTCTGTGGCACCAACCAGAGAAAAGAGAATTCAGGTGACTTCCTTCCTTCCTTCCTTCCTTCCTTCCTTCCTTCCTTCCTTCCTTCCTGCCTTCCTTCCTTCCTGCCTTCCTTCCTGCCTTCCTGCCTTCCTCTCTCTCTTCCTCCCTCCCTCCCTCCCTTCCTCCCTCCCTCCCTCCCTTCCTTCCTTCCTTCCTTCCTTCCTTCCTTCCTTCCTTCCTTCCTGCCTTCCTGCCTTCCTGCCTTCCTGCCTTCCTGCCTTCCTGCCTTCCTTCCTGCCTTCCTGCCTTCCTCTCTCTCCCTCCCTCCCTTCCTCCCTCCCTTCCTCCCTCCCTTCCTTCCTAACTTCCTTCCTTCCTAGCTTCCTTCCTTCCCTCCCTCCCTCCCTTCCTCTCTTCTTCCCTTCTTTGGTTCATGTATTTATTTGTTTGTTTATACAGTGTTCTGCCTGCTTGTATCCCTGCAGGCCAGAAGAGGGCACCAGATCTCATTACAGATGCTTGTGAGCCACCATGTGGTTTCTGGGAATTGAACTCAGGACCTCTGGGAGAACAGCACTGAACCATTTCTCTAGGCCCCCCTCCTCCTAACCCCTTTCCTTTCTTACTCATTTCAGGATCCCAGCCCATGAAACAGTGCTGCACATTTAGTGTGGGTCTTCCTTCTAAATTGAGCCTCTCTGCAAAGGCCCAGAAATATGCTTCCAAATCTAGTCAAATTGTCAGTGAAGAGTAATCCTCACAGAACTCATTAACACTGACCTGTTCTTCCTGCTGGCAGTCATTGACTTCCCGTTTCTCTGAGCCTTCCTAATCTGACATTGTGGCTGAGTAGTTATTCAGCAAGTGGTCTTTAGTAACTGACTTTTTTCACTTGACAAATGGTTTTCCGAGGTTCGTACATGTGATGATAACTATCCGTACTTTATTTTGATTGCCAGATAGTATTGCTTTATTTGGAAATAGTGTATGAACACTGGGTTGTTTCTATTGTTGGCTCTTAGGATGATGCTGTGGATATTGTATACGAGCTGTACCCATCTATTACCATAAGATGTAAATTCTTTTTCTTTATTTAGGGCTTTTCACAACAACTTGGAGAATCTTAGCCTCTCATCTATATTTTTGGAATGACTTTATTATCTTTTCTTGTTTCTCCAATCAAGTTTTTATGATTATAGTTATTAGCCACTATCTTAATCAAGATTCAGAACATTTTATTCCAAGAATCCCTTTGCTATCCCTTTGTAGATTACCTCCTACCCCCACCCCAATCAATGGATGATCTACTTTCCAAAACCATGTTTTTGCCTTTTCTTAAAGTCACAAAAGGTGTATTTTTTAATTTTTGTTTGTTTGGGTTTTTGATGGGATTTGTGCCATGTAGATGTCAGGGACAGCTGTAGACATCAGGTCACCTTCTAATGTGTAGAACCCAGGGATCAAGCTCAAGTCATCAGCCTCAGTAGCAAGTGCTTTTATCCACTCCACTCCTCCCCCCATCCCTACCCCTGCAGATTGCATTTTGAGTATGCATGTGTAATATTCATGTGGCTTAATTTTGACTTTTCAGGTGGACAGTGTAGTGACTGCTGAGTATGAGCTGGAATACCTGTTATTAGAAGGTCATTGCTATGACATCACCACAGGCCAGCCCCCTCGAGGACTACAGTTCACTTTAGGAACTTCAGCCAACCCAACAATTGTGGACACGATTGTGATGGCCAATTTGGTAAATAACCAGTTTATCAGATGCTTCAATCATGGTAATTTAGATACTAGAATTTATGACAGAACAGTTAACATTCTGAACTATGAAGTGAAGTGAAATAAGAATTAACCATGGACTACATGTAGTCATTGAAAAGTCAGTGGTTTGGTTAAGCTTGGGGATTCCATTTATATGCCAGTCAAACAACAAAACTCGCTGTAGAGCTCTGCTCGCTCTCTTTTCACTGTGAGCTCCCAGCACATTCCCCTGCCATACGTTTTCCTCAGTGGAGCATAGCAGCAGGCTTCTTGGCTTCACTGACTCTGTTCTTCTAGAGCTATTTGGTTTTTAGCTTGCTTGTTTGCTTTTGTTTTGTTTTTTGTTTGTTTTGCTTTACTTTTCCCTGATTTGTTAACTATCTTTTAATTTTTTTAAGTTATCACGGCAGCAAGACCCTGGGTTCAATACCCAGTATAACCCTCCCAGCCCCCACCCCCCAAAAGAAAGAAAGATGTGTAGGTAAATAGGTAGGTATACACACACATGATCTGATACTCAAAAGAAAAAGTGAATATCTGTCAGAAACAACAATTTGAAGTTTTAAAGGGAACTGAAATTTTACTTTGTTTGTGTCCTAGGGATATTTTCAGCTCAAAGCCAATCCGGGAGCCTGGATTCTCAGACTGAGGAAGGGGCGCTCTGATGATATTTATAGAATCTACAGGTAGGATTAAGTGGTATTGTTGCATTTTAAAAGAGACTCCACTTTAATTGGGTGTTATCTGGCCTTTCCTCAGACACCATGAATTTAATTTATAGTCATATGTAGCAAAACTAAGGTTTCCAGTATAGGAAGTGTGGGTAGATTTTTAGAGGTGAGTTGGATAACAAGAGGTATAAATAGTAGTTATAGTGAAGTTTGTTCTCCGCTGGTTCCCCTTTGTCAAAGCCGTATCAGAATGGAATAAGTCTTTCCCCGTGCTGTAGACAGCAGGCAGCAGCTTTGTGTACTTGGTGATATCTGACTTTTGGAAACTAAGTGGGGTTGGCCACGTTCAGTACATTGATGGAATCCTGAATACAACACGTGAGTTTGGACCATGAAATGTGACTGTCAGTCTTGATCCTTGGGCCGGGGTTATATAGATGTACTCCTAGAGCATACCGTCAGTGGTGGGAATTAACTTAAAATTTACTGCGTCCTTGAGCCAGGCAGTGGTGGCACACGCCTTTAATCTTAGCACTCAGGAGGCAGAGATAGCTAGATCTCTGTGTATTTGAAGACAGCCTGGTCTTCAAAGAGCGTTCCAGGACAGTCTCCAAAGCAATACAGAGAAACTCTGCCTGGAAAAAAACCAAAACAAAACAAAAAATTCACTGCGCCCACTAGTTACAGAACAACACCCAAACACCATTTTAAAAGTTGCAGTGTCCTATTCTGTTTAACACAATTTTAATTAGTCCTAAGTTCTCTGTCAGTTTATTTAGGGATGGTTTTCTTCAGAGTTTATTTTAACACAGGAAAGCAGTATGGATTAGTGTTTTTGGTTTTGATGCAGAAATTTTTCTTTCTTGCCCAGGCTTGAACTGGGTTCAAGTGAACCTTCTGCTTTAGTCTCCTGAGTAGCTGAAACTACAGGCATGTGCCGCCATACCAGCTAGGTACAGATTTCTTCTTCAGTACCTATGAGAGTTTTGTACTGTAAAATGTCCCATTGTAAATAGTAGGCTTTTCTCCGATGAAGTGATTTTCTGGGTAAGGTCTCACAAAATTATGTTTCTGAATTCTGTATGCCCTTGCCCGTCTTCCTCCTTGCCCAGGACTATGCTGCCATCCTTTTCCTGCTGCCTTGGGCTCCTAGCCTCCCGAGTGGACATTCCCTGACTCTGGCGCCTTCTGTACTTCAGCTTTCACCCTCCTTTTGTCTGTGAAATGACAGCAGACACAGTGACTTCTGATATTTGGTGACTGGAAAATATGATTAGTAGGAAAAGAGTTCTTAAAATTTTCTCTCTCTGCTCCTATACCTACAAACAGAGTTGGTTGTGCTGTGGACTTTCTACCAGAGACACACTTGCCTGGTTGGGTTGTCTCCCGACAGAAGGCAAGAGTGGATTACTGTTGTTTTTTCTCACACTGTAGTCCAGGCTGGCTTTTGATCTCTATGCTGCTTCCTACTGGGGTTACAGGTGTGAGTCACTGCATTCAGCCAAGAGTAGATTTCTTCACATAGCTGTTCCAATTAAAAAGTAGAAGTGACTCCAGCAATGAGCCTGAGTGCTCAGGCCTATGAACATACACAGATGTTGACAATCTTGACAATCTGTCATGTGCGCACTCTGTCTGAGAACCTGTCACTGTTTGCCTGCTAACCTGAAGGAGGATTCAGGAAGGAAGTCAGCTCACTTAGCCTAGAGATGGAGATTTCCATGAACACTTCTTTGTCCCATAAAGGTGCTTCTTGTAGGAACTGTTGGACAAACACAGCAGTTGTCTGGGTATTTACTGCGTTCGGGGAATAGTGATTTGTATTCTCTGTCTTGCTTTCCTCTCTAAGCCACGATGGCACAGATTCTCCTCCTGATGCAAATGATGTTGTTGTCAACCTCAATAACTTCAAAAGCAAGATCATCAAAGTGAAGGTAAGTTTGCTCTGTCTTGGGAGCCACTTGTTTATAGTTGATAAATAGCCCTCATTCAGTCACTGTCAGAAAAATATAGACAGCCATCCTTCCTGTGGCAAGATTTAGTGATCACAGTCAGCCACCGTCTATAAAGATACTGACACCTGTGTGACTGTCTCCAGGATAGCATGTTTACATTAGTGTATTAAAATATTGTTTTAATGTTCCATTTTACTGTTAGCTATTGTTGTGATTAAGCTTTGTCATAAATAGTATGAACAAAGCTATAGTATATATTCAGGGATCTTCACTGTCTGGGATTTCATGGATCCATTAGGGGCTTGGAATGTTTCCCAGCAAATAAAGGGGGACAAACTACATTTTGAAGTCAGTCTGGTATTCCATTTGAGGGTTTGTCATTGTTTTAGGGATGCTGCTTAAGGAAAATGTCTTTGTGAAGACAAACTTCGTGTTTTCTTTAACCAAGAGATTGTGATCTCAGAGAGCACTGCCAGTTCCATTTCTCACAAAATGTTCTCAGAGACTTTGTCCCTGCCCCCTGTTCCTTTTCAGACAGGGTCCCACTGGATAGCCCTGAATGGCCTTGGATTTGCTGTGTACACCAGGCTGGCCTTGAACTCACTGATATATCTGACTGCCTCCCAAGTGCTAGGGATAAAGGCATCTACCATCTTGCCTGGGCCAGCTTTTCCAGCTTTTAAAAGTTTTATTTGTTTTTATATATGTAAATGTGTTTGTATGACTGTATGCTACACATGTAGAAGCACCCAAGCCAGAAGAGAACATTGATATCATTTGGAACTGGAATTATAGATAACTGTGAGTTACCCAGTGTGGGTGCTGAGAACCAAACTCGGGTCCTCTGTAAGAGAAGTATGTTCTCGAACCTCTGAGCCATCTCTCTAGCCCTGCCTTTGACATTTTTATACCCACAATTCATAGTGTTATTTGAAGATGGAGTTTCTGTCCTACCTGGTCTTGCAGCTGTTTAGTCCCAAGTAAACACACATAGGCTTATATTAGTTATAAACTGGTTGGTTGATGGCTTAGACTTCTTACTGGCTAGAACTCTCTTAATTATTAACCTATAACTATTAATCTATGCATTTATATATGACCTTATCTTACTGGAGAATGCCTGGGCATCCTACATTCCCAGTAGGGACATGGTGTCTCTCCCTGGCAGCTTCTCTCCATATCTTCTCCCCAGAATTCTCCTTGTTTGGTAGCCCCACCTATACTTCCTGCCTGGCTACTGGCCAATCAGTGTTTTATTCATCAAGCAATAAGAGAAATGTATATTCAGAAGGACATCCCCCATCAGTTATTGATTGTTTTATTCTCATAAGACTGGGAAATTCCAGCGACAACTCAAGATTATAGTTTTTATAGGAACGGTGGTACACATCTGTAATCCCAGTTAGAGGCAGGATGATCAAGAATTTACTATTATCCTGCACTGCATAGTGAATTTGAGGCCACTGTGGGTGACATGAGACCCTGTCTCCAAAAACAAATACAAAATACAACAGTGGTGATTTTATTTACTGTCTTTTGTTGCTATCTCTCCTCAACATTTTAAAGTTCTTTGTCTTGAGGTAAAATGATTGTAGGATAAGTAACTGTTGTACATGGTTAAAACCTAAAGTCAGCCATTCCATGGCTGAACAGAGAGAAGGCTGCTGTAGAGAATCCATTGTGGTAATGAGTCCTGAGAATGGGCTTTGACCCAACACGCCTCTCTCAACAGTTCCTGAAGGCCAAATTCTTCCCCAGAAGTTGTTAGCTAGAAGAAATAGTCTTTTGGGTTTACTCACTCTGCATTTCTGTGCAGCTGAATTTGGTCTTTGGCTCATTGTATGAACTGAGCTTGACTACCATTTAATTCAAAGAGATTGCTAGCTCCTTCCTGCAGGCTTTAACATGGACACTCTGATGCACCTACTTCCATTGGACACTGAGAGTCTGGGTGGGGTTTTAGTATAGGAGAATTGGTTGGTTGGTTCCTGTTGACAATACTCCATATGCATCCAGTGTAAGTCACGTTTGTGCCTATCAGACCTACTAAGAGAAATAAGATCTGTCATATACAATTGCAGGTTCAGAAGAAAGCAGACATGGTTAATGAAGACTTGTTGAGTGATGGAACAAATGAGAACGAATCCGGATTTTGGGACTCATTCAAATGGTAAATTGGTATAATAAAAAGGGTTAACATTTTGAAGGAAAAACTGACCAATGCGTGTCATGCATCCTTTTGAGTATGGTAATTTGGGGGGGCTTCTGACCTGCTTCATGTAGCTAATTGTCCCCTTTTGATTGGAGTGGAGGAATGTTTGCCATGTGATTAAGAAAGGGGAAGTGTTCTCCCACATAGCTTGCTTCTGCTGTGCACTTTTCACTCTGACTCCTGGGAGAGGCAATGGTCATTGTTCTCCCATGGGACAGATTGCGTTCTTTGGAGCAGCTTGTGTTGCATTTATTGTGAAATGATATGGTGCCTTGTGATGAGCATCCTTATTACCTTGTAAGATGGCCTTGTTCCTGTGCTCCCTCCCACCATCTTTGTATGTTGCTTCTACCACATCTTACCCGTAGAGCAGGGAGATGAAGACGCTGTCTCTTTCCTCTCCTGAAAGGTTGTGTCTACCCAGCGGATTGTAAGTGGTTCTGATTTTAATTCTGTTGTTACAGGGGCTTTTCAGGACAGAAGACTGAGGAAGTGAAGCAAGAAAAAGACGACATAATCAATATTTTCTCTGTTGCATCTGGTCATCTCTATGAAAGATTTCTTCGGTTAGTCTTTATCATTTGTATGTGAATGATTTGTTGTAGTACTATTTTGTGAGAAAGGTTTGCTTGCTGTACTATGTGAATCTTAGGACTGTGGATTGCTTGCCACATACAGTTCCATTTGTTTTGATCTAGTTCACTCCGTGAAGTTAGTGTCTGTGTGGATATTACAAGGCTGTAGGCCTTCAGTATCCTATGCACACCTTATAGACAATTGTTGATCCCTTGACCATAAATATTGCTTCAACCAGAAACTAGGGAATTGACATAGACTAGACCGTAACTGTGTAACACTTGGTCATCTTCTACAGACCCACATGCCTTGAGAGCCAGATCTTAGTTCTGTGTGAGAACACCCTTGCTTGAAAAACTGAGACCATAATGGAAGGGGTTTGCCTCGGTCATGCAGCTAAAAGCAGAACAGGCATCACTTGAAACTGTCGATATGGTTACCAGAGGGGAAGGGTCTCAGGATGAGTTTGTCACTGTGTCTGGGAGCTCAGTGTTGAAGACACATTTCTTGAAGGTCATTGTCCCAATTTCAGAGCTGTTTTTCCTTTTAGTTTTCATTAAAAGCTGGCATAGGAAATAAAAATAGTATCAGCTGGGTAACTTCTAGTTCTTCTTTTTCCAGCAGATAGCTAAATAAAATAACAGCAGAGGTGATAACTGAATTGCATTTCTCGGCCTGGGAACCTGAGCCTGTGCCCTCTGGTTTCCCTCCCCATGTCCTTCTCTTCTTTCTCTCAAGGCTCTGTGTCCAGGCTGACAGAGACTGTGCACGTACCTGCTGTTTGCTCAGTTCTGGATATTGCTGTGTCTGAGCACAGGGGTCTGGAGAATGCTGTAATCATGACTGCAACCTCCAGTTCATGAGCTGGCTCAGTTAAGCACATAGCATAATTAGTATTTGTCTTGGTCTGTTTGGAACATGCTCAGAGGGAAAGCCTTGTCTCTCTCATTCAGTGACATCTTTATAGTATAGTGTGTCACTCTCTCACAGGTGAAGGTCTCTTTGCCTAATTGAATCACGAGTTAGCTCTGCTGCAGCCTTGTGATTTTTTTTTCTGCTTAATGTTGGATTAAAAAGCATTGGAAAATCATTATCTGTTTTGTTTGGCAGCATAATGATGCTCTCAGTACTGAAGAATACCAAAACTCCTGTGAAGTTCTGGTTCTTGAAGAATTATTTGTCCCCCACATTCAAGGTTTGTGCATGGGGAAAAGGAAACCCTTGCTGAGGGAATGTTTGCACTGTAACATACTCTTTTCTACTTTTGTTTTATCTGTACCTTTAATTGGGATACCCTAATGCCATTGTCTTTTTTTTTTTTTTTTTTCTGAGACAGGGTTTCTCTGTATTGTTTTGGAGACTGTCCTGGAACTCACTTTGTAGACCAGGCTGGCCTCAACTCACAGAGATCCGCCTGCCTCTGCTTCCCGAGTGCTGGGATTAAAGGCGTGCACCACCATCGCCTGGCTGCCATTGTCTATTTTTATATTGGCGTTTTTTTCTTCCAGGTTTCTTTATTTGGGGTAATAGTTTTTATAAAACCAAACCCAAAATTGTGACCTGTTTGAAGCTGGATAATATAGGAGGAGAGTCTTTATCTTTTCTAAGAGACAGTGTTTTAGCAAAATAACAGCCTTTTCCTTGGAAGCATTAGTTTAAGAAGCACAGTGATGGTGTTTTGAGAATGATTAATTTTCTCATTTGTAAGGTATGGAAGGCATACTTCCTCTGTGTCAAAGGAAAACCACACTTGAGCGTTCTCCTGTTTAACTTGCATTGGCCTGGACTGATTTTCTTGCATCTTACTTTTTTCCCCTGTGGTATTCAAAAATTAACTGAATATTTAGTGGTGACTCATCTTGGATGAGTAGTAACTTTGGATCTACTGAGGGTACTAGTGCCTGGGGCACAGAAGACTTGCTTGTTAATGTCAGGAAATTGAAGAGTTTGACTCTGTCATGCAATACCCTGGGTTAGACTTAGCCTTGAGAAGGTCTTACTATCAAGCTCAAAAGTGTTTTGCTAAAATCAAATTTAGATAAATGAACACAGAGCTTATGTGTCTTAAACACCCACACGTAGAGTTATAAATCATGTGGTGACTAGAAGTCATCAAGAAATGGGGATTGAATCAGAGTTTATATGTGCTTTTATGTGAGTCAAGTGAATTAAGATCAAAGTTCTTACTAGACTTTGTTTTAGTGGAAATGTTTTAGTTATACTGTTTTAATGGTGGTTAGCTTACATTAAGGAATCAATTTTCTTAACTCCAATGAATGATTATTGTTCCCTTTGTCTAAAAATAGGAGTTTATACCTTACATGGCCAGAAAATACAACTTCCAATATGAGCTTGTTCAGTACAAATGGCCGAGGTGGCTTCATCAGCAGACAGAGAAGCAGCGGATTATCTGGGGCTACAAGATCCTCTTCCTGGATGTGCTTTTCCCACTGGTGGTTGACAAGTTCCTGTTTGTAGACGCCGATCAGGTGAGCTCTGAAAGCCAGGTGTTGGTGGTCTATGTTAAATAGGTCAGGTTTCCTTTTCCTTTTAAAACACTGTTTTCAGATATGAAAAAGTACCTGTTTATTTTGCATTAGTATTTCAGAAATATGAAAAGACATCACTTAAATGCTATCACTTTAAAATTTAAGTTCCATCAGCTCATCTCTCTTTAAATTTTTTTCTATCATGCATGTATACAATAAAATGTGGTTATGTGATCATATATACCCTCTGTAAATAACTCACTGTGTCCTGTTAGTGCAGCCCATTGGTACATGGGTATAGTTTGGGAAATCTGTCAGTAGCCATATCCTAAAAAAGAATGATTCTCTCTTCTTGGCATTTACTCCCTGCCAGTAATGCCTCAGTAAGGGGTAGAGCCTACATATTATCTACCCCATCCATCTGCATTTTGACTGGCGTGAGCTTGTATAGGTCTTGTGCTGGTAGCTACTATGAGTTTATGAGTTTGATAACCATGCCCTGTCCAGACAGCATTTCACAGCACTCTTCCCTATCCTCAGTCTCTTCTATCATTTGTATCTCATCTTCCCCAGTGTTCACTAAGCCTTGGGAGATAGCGAAGTTGAGATAGATATTCTGTCTGATTGCATTGAGCAATCAGTCTCTTATTGTCATCACTTTGACCAGTTATACATTTCTCTGCTGCCCACTGCACAAAGAAGCTTCTCTGACAGGGCAGGTGCAGTACTAAGTATGGGTTTTAACATGAACATTTACAAGTTACCCTGAGAGCATCACTGTTCAGGAAAATGACAATGGCAGGTTCTGCTCTGAGACCTATGACTTCCCCAATTCTGAATTTTGGCCATGATTACAATACTAGGTATGACATTCCCTCCTGTGGAGCAAGCCTCAAATCTGGTCACAAAGCCGTTAGTTATCCTGTGACAGCTGTGCCACTATTTCTCTAGTGGCAAAAAGTTTTCTCCTGCCACATTCACTTCACAGTTGCTTTTGTTGTATGGAAGCTTTTCACTTTCTGAGAGCCATTTGTTGATTAAATACTTTATTTTCTGTGCTATTGGAGTCTTGTTCAGAAAACCCTTCCCTGTGCCTAAAAGTTGAAGTGTGCTCCCTACATTTTGTCTAGCAACTTCAGAGTATTGGGTCTTATGTTGAGGTTCTTGACCAGTTGGGGTTTAGTTTGTGCAGAGAGAGAGAGATAAGCTTCTAGTTTCATATTGCATTCCAGTTTTCCCAATACCATTTGTTGAAGATGTTGTTTTTTCTCTAATGTGCATTTTTTTATACTTTTGTCCAAAATCTGAAGTTGTACGGACTTTCCTCTGGGTCCTCAGTTCTAGTCCATCCGTGTACCTGCTTTTGCGCCAGTACCATGGTGTTTTTATTACTGTATAACCTGAAATCAGATGTAGTGATGCCTCCTGCACTGTTCTGTTTGGTTAGGATTGCTTTGGCTATCCTTGGTCTTTTGTGCCTCTGTATAAATTAGCTTGGATGGTTTTTAAAACCATGAGGCATGGACTTGGAATTTTTGTTAGAATTGCACTTGAGTATGTTGAATCGTCTATCTTCCTCAGTTTCTTTCTTTACCATCTAAAGATTTTTGTTGTAAAGGTCTCTTGCTTACTTGGTTAGGTTTAGTCCCAGATGGTTTTTGTTGTTACTATGTTTGTTTGTTTGTTTGTGACTGTGATCTCCCTGGTTTCTTTTTCTATCTGCTATTGTAATATAGGAAGGTAACTGATTTTTTTTTTAATGTTGATTTTGTATTCTACCACTTTGCAGAAAGTATATATCAGTTCAAAGTCTTTCTTGGAATCTTTAGCATCTGTTATTTATAAAATACTGTCTTCAAAAAGGGATACTGTGACTTCTTTTTCTATTTGTATTTCTTTTATTTCATTCTCTTGTCAAATTGTTCAAGCCAAGCCTTCAAGTACTGTATTAAATAGAAATTGTTCCTTGTCTTGTTCCTAATCTTAGGGAGAATGATTTGAGTTTTTGTCCATTTAGTATGATACTGGCTTCAGTTTGGTTCTATATATAGTTTCTATTATATTAAGGTATGAGCCCACCATCCCTAGACTCTCCTTGATTTTTATCATGAAGGGATCTTGGATTTTTATCAGTGACTTTTTCTGTGCTGATTGAGAGAAACATGATTTCTGTACTCTAGTTGATTATTATGATGAAATTTATTTATTGATTTACATGTATTGAACCACTCCTACATTCACTGAAATAAAGCCAACTTGGCCACATGAATGATATTTTTAATGTAATCTTGAATTCTGTAAGGATTTTATTACAGAATTTCTGTATCTATGTTTAAGGAGCTGTTATTACAGAATTTTACAGCTATGTCTAAGGAGATTGGCCTGTGATTTTCTTTTTGTTGTTGTATATTGTCTTTATCTGATTTTAGTGTCAGGGTAATACTGGCTTCATAAAAAGAGCTCAAAAGGCTTCTTTTCTATTTTCTGGAACAACTTAAATAGTATTGGTATTAGTTCTACAGAAAATCCACTGGAACCTGAGTTACAGGCAGTTGTGAGCTGCTATGTGAGAGCCAGGACTCAAACCTGGGTCCTGCAGATGGATATCTAGTGCTCTTAATCACTAAGCTCTCTCTGTCCCACTATCCTTCAATTTTAGTACATAGTTTTACTGGGTATAGTAGTCTTTGCTGGCAGTTGTGTTCTTTTAGACCTTGGGCTACATCTCTTCTTTTGACTTAAAGTGTTTCTGTTGAATAACCAGGCCCTGTTATGATGGTTCTGTCTTTATAGATGATGTGACCTTTCTCTCTTGAAGCTTTGAGTAACCTTTCTTTTTGTTTTTAGTATTTTAGCTATAATATGTTGGGAATTTCTTTTCTGGTCCTGTCTAATTTGGAATTTTGTAGGCTTCTTGTACCTTGCTGGGCATCTTTTTCTCTAGATTTGGGTAATTTTCTTCTATGATTTTATAAAAAATATTGTTTATGCTTTTGGTATAGTATCCTGCTTCTTCTGTGCCTATATTAAAGAAGATTTGGTCTTTTGGTCTTTCCTTGGTGTCCCAGATCTCTCTTATTGTACCCCTCCCTTCCCCCAACCGTTCATCATTGACCTTTACAGCATGATTTGATTCCTGTCTCGTCTTTCTGTCCTGATACTCTGTTTTCCACGTGACCCATTCTGTTTGTGAACTTTTAATTTGGCTAACTGAATTTTTCATTTCCAGCATCATTTCAGTTTGATTCTTCTTCAGCAATTCTTCCCCCTTCCCTCTTACCCTCTCCCAATTCAATTTTCATGTCTTGGGTTGACTCCCTTATCTCATTCAGCTCTTTTTGTTTTCTTCTCAATTAAGTTGTTGGGACAGAATTATAATTATTCTTTTAAATTCTTTGGCTATAAATTCTCCCAAGCCATCTTCATTAGAAACCATAGCATTGGGATTAGTAATCTTTGAAGAAAACTATATCTTGATTTTGTTTTTGTTTCTGTCCTGGAACTTGCACATCTGGAGTTAGTTTACCAGTTGAGATTTTCTTTCTTTTCTATTTTTTTGTTTTTAAAATTCAAATCACCTTTTATTTTCTTTCAGTGGTGGTGTTTGTAGTGTTTAGGGGAGGACTACACTGTTGGGTTGCAGTGCTGTTTTATGGGACTAGTGCGCAGGGACAGGGTCTCTATCTCAGGTCTTCCTCTGTCCTGGGGTCAGGTATGGTCCTATGTGAGTGTGGGCACGCTGCTTGGTTCTGCAGCTTTCTCTGAGAGCTGTGAAACTTCCCAGAGTAAAATCTAGTTCCAGTTGTGGGTCCCCAGCTTCCACTGAAGCCACTGCAAGATTGTGGTTCTGGTTTGGTGTCAGTCCAGTCCCTACCCTGGGACTGCAGCTTCTTGTGAAGCTGTTTGGAGGCGTGAAGTTTGCCTACTCACCAATAGGCCTCGCCTAAGTTCAGGATTGCCCCTGAGTCTTTAGCTTCAAAGCACATCTCATTTTAATCTTGTCTATTGTATGTGCAGTCCTATATCTTACTTAATTCATTTATCACAATACCAAGAATTAAGAAAATAAATGCCCAGTTATCTGTCCAAACGTTAGATACTTTACTATTTGTTCATTCCTTGATTTTGAAACAGAGCCTTTCTCTGTTGTCGCAATTGTTCTTCTGTCTCTGCCTCTCAAATACTGGAACTGCAGGCCTTGCTACCACATCTGGCTGAGAGAGGTCTAATCGCCATGGGTGATAAATGAAGTTCAGGGAAAATGCTTGGTTCTTCTAACAAAGGATGCTGCAGATACTTCTCTGGCATACCTTCTCCACGGTGATACTGATCTTTCTAACAATTTCAGCTTTCTCCTCACTGCTAAACTCTCCTTTTGTTATCCTTCTCATCCTCTGTTTTCCTGCTCGCTAGATGTCTGACCCAAAGCAGGCAACTTACTAACCATGCCACAGCCTGAAAATAAGAGTCTTGAAATTCCCTGTGTTAAATGACTCGGTTCATTACTTTTGAATCCAGCCTGACTCAGATTTTACTCCCGTCTGAAGTCTCGTCAGCACCGTCATGACTGTCTCCATGTCTCTGACCTTCTGGTCGTAGGCTCCCACCAGGGCGGCCCTGGCAGCTCTGTTCACAGCACTGTAGTCTTCTCTAGCCTGCACCTGCAAACCTTCCCACGTGCTTCCACAAGCCAGCTTGAAAGGCCTGCAAGCCACTAGTCAGGTTCCGTCCTCCAGTGTGTGCTCACTCTCGGTTCTCTGTATTAGAGCTTGTCTCATCGCTCTGACCAAACACCTAACACAAGTCGCTCAAGGGAGGAGGGCTTTGCTTTGGCTTCAGTCTCAGGGGCTGCAGTCTGTTGTGGCAGGGGTGGGGGGATGATGATAATGTCTGATGTGGCTGTTTGTCCCTATGACAACAGGCCCAGGGTAGAATGGAAGCTTGAGTAAGGCCAGGCTAGGAACTTCAAAGACCTGCCCCTAGAGACTTTTACTAGCCAGATCTAACCTCCAAAATAGCACCACCCACCAGCTGGGGACCAACTGCTCAAAACATGAGTCTGTGGGGATCATTTCAGATTGAAGAGTAACAATGAAGGAATCCAGGTTGTATTCTAGAGCCTGGGCTGTTACTCACCCAGTTGCCCTTCCTGCTGCCTTGTGTAATGTAGTCTACTTTAAGGAATGCCTTAGAGTTATCTGTATGCTGGTTAACAAGTATTTTGACTTTCTTTACTGCAGATTGTACGGACAGATCTGAAGGAGTTAAGGGATTTCAATCTGGATGGTGCTCCTTACGGTTATACTCCTTTCTGTGATAGCAGAAGAGAAATGGATGGTTACCGGTTCTGGAAGTCAGGGTACTGGGCCAGTCATTTGGCTGGACGCAAATATCATATCAGGTATCGAAACGGCACTCCCTATAATGCTCTCTGAGTTTTCTTTTCCTACCTTTGTGAATTGAGTCAGTGAATAGATACTATATTAGTATGACCTAAAGAGAAAAATTCTTCAATCTGTCTTTTTTATCCATCCCCCCCTCAACAGATAACCCCTCTTATTTATAGTCTATCCTTCCAGAGTTTAATTCTCTCAGAAACAACTATGAATGTATATCTTTTTTTAATTCAAAATATACTCTCCTCTTTACACTATGTTGTAGTTTGAGCTTCTTAAAAGTGTCATGCTAGCTGGGCGTGGTGGTACATGCCTTTAATCCCAGCACTTGGGAGGTAGAAGTATTCAGATCTCTGTGTGTTTGAGCCCAGCATGGTCTACATAGTGAGTTCACACAGTGAGTTCCAGGACAGCCAGAGCTACAAAGTGAGACCCTGTCTCAAAACAAAACAAAACAAAAAAACCCACCTCTAACAATCAGCATTTATTCATTCCTAGTGGATACTCCATGTCTTCTGGAAGAAGTGTAATTTGGAAGATCTGAAGGCTAGGGCACGTACAAGAAATAATACAGGGCTGGAGAGATGGCTTAGAAATTAAGAGTGCTGGCTGCTCTTCCACTGTACCAAGATTCAATTCCCGGCACCCGCATGTGGCTCACCCCTGCCTGTAACTCAAGTTTCAAGGCGTCTGATGCCTTTGGCCTGTGTAGGCGCTTCATGCATGTGATGCATAGACAGAGATGCAGGGAAAACACCCCTACATATAGCAAGTAAAATTTAAAAGACAAGACTTACTTATTTTATGTCTTTTGCCTGCATGAAGGCCAGAAGATGTCAGATCCCCTGAAACTGGAGTTGCAGGCAGTTGTGAGCCCCTATGTGAATGCTGGGAACCAAACCCTGGTCCTCTGGGAGAGGAGCCAATACTTTTTACTCTGATTCAAGTCTCCAGCTCCCTAAATACATCCTTTAAAAAAAAAAAGAATGCATAGAGAGATGAATGATGAAGTACAGTGATTTCAGTTTTATACTTTGTTTCCTGGCCTGAAAGATTGTAACACTGCCCCCACCCCCATTTAAGAGATCACCAGGATAGCTCTGGCAAAAGGTTATTTATCAGTTTCAGTGATTTTTATTACTAAATCTTCTGAGTTAGCTAGAAATCTTGCCTCATTAACTAATTTCCTTATAAGACAACAAAATAAAAAGCTGGTCAGAGTGAGCTGTTGCAGCAGAGTGTGGCCTGCAGGGTGTGGTCCTCTCTGAAGGATGCACACTCTGCCACAATCCTCCAGTCCACCCTCTAATGACACTTGCAGCATCTGGCTCATGACCTTTTCCATTATTCAGTTTGGTTTGTTGTTGGCATAAATCTGTGGTTTGGCTGTTACAAGTGTCTCTTCTTGTTACAGTGCACTGTATGTCGTGGATCTGAAGAAATTTAGGAAAATAGCTGCTGGTGACAGACTCAGGGGACAGTACCAAGGTCTGAGTCAAGATCCCAACAGTCTTTCAAATCTTGATCAAGTAAGTGACTGTGGACAGTTTCATATACAGTCATGCCACTGTGTGTCAGCAAATGAAGTAGTATTTGTGTCTCTATTCTCTCAGAATCGAACAGCAGTTTCTTCATGGAAAGTGTGTGTGTGTGTTGTGATTTATATCTGATCTTAAGAGGACTGAGACTGTCAAATGACTCACAATTTACATAGTATAGTATTAAAGTTTCCTAACCCTGACTCCCCTCCCCATGTCAGAAACTTTCAGGAAGATTTCAGGAAGCTGAATAACATTTCCAAATAGCCAGCATTTTCAGAAGTAAAATTACACGTTTGGGTTTGCATTTATGTATTTACCTATTTATTTATTTGTGTGTTGGGTGTTTTACCTGCATGTGTGTCTATGCACAATGTGTGCAGTGTGCCCAGGGTCCAGAAGAGGGAGTCTGACCCCCTGGAACTGGGGTAACAGACAGTTGTTAGGTGCCATGCTGGGTCCTGTGGAAGGGCAGCCAGTGCTCTTACCCGCTGAGCCTTCTCTCCAGCCCCAAAATTGTAGGTTTAGGTATTTTTAGTAATTACTGTCAGTCTTTTTCCTTCCTTCCTTCCTTCCTTCCTTCCTTCCTTCCTTCCTTCCTTCCTTCCTTCCTTCCTTCTGTCCTTCCTTCCTTATTTATTGTTTATGTATTTATTTATTTATTTGTTGCTGTTTTGAGACTAGGTATCACTTGCCTTGTAGACAAGACTGGTCTTGATCCACCCGTCTTTCTTAAAAATTTTTAGTTGTTTATTGTGATATAGTACACTCCTTTAATCCCAGCACTCCGGAGGCAGAGGTAGGTGGATCTCTGAGTTCAAGGCCAGCCTGGTCTACAGAGCTACTTCCAGGACAGCTAGGGCTGTTACACAGGGAAACCTTGTCTCAAAAAAACAAAAAAGAGCTGGGCATTGGTGGTGCACGCCTTTAATCCCAGCACTCGGGAGGCAGAAGCAGGCTGATCTCTGTGAGTTCGAGGCCAGCCTGGTCTACAGAGCGAGTTCCAGGACAGCCTCCAAAACAATACAGAGAAGCCCTGTCTCGAAAAACAAAAAAACAAAACAAAACAAAAAAAAAAAAAACCAAGCCAAAAAGGAAAGGGTGTGTGTGTGTGTGTGTGTGTGTGTGTGTGTGTGTGTGTGTGTGTGTGTGTGTGTGTGTATGTGTGTGTTGGTAAAATTAATATCAAGGAGTCACTACAAAGCAAAACCCATATCTAGAAGCTCACTCAGGAGTACATCATTATGGCCATCATACTGCTACCCTTCACTCTGACTCTGACTGGAGTCAGTAGTCCACTTGCTTCTCTGCAGACTCAGTCCTGAGCCCGTGGTCCTGCCTATGCTGCCTATGCAGTGCGCTTCTGTTTTGTCTCTTGTCCATTCTGTCTTGGAGATGTGTTCCTTCCACTCGTGTGCTGTTGTTTTTTCTTAATTTATGACAGTCAGTTTGAATAAACGCTAGCTAATTTCAGTAGTGTATATATAAAAACCGACTCCATTTCCCTACTCCTTTGTACTGTTACCAGTTTGTGTTTTTATTCATTATATACTCCCATACAAATTTATAAGTTCTTTCTGCATTGTCTAATTTTAAATCAGATACATAGATATTTTCTTTATATTTACTCATGGACTCTGTTAACTCATGTGGATTTCAGTTACTGTCTAGGGTCCTTTCATTTTAGCCTGAAGAATTCCCTTTAAAGTTTTCTTTCAGTTTTGATGAATAATTCTGCTATATATAAAAGCCCTATGGGACACATTATTTTCTTTCCAGCACTTGAACATCTTTTCCCATAGTCTTTTGTCCTCCAGGGTTTCTGATGATAAATTATCATTTAACTTCAGTGACGATCTTTTGTATATGACATGTTGTATTCTCAACTGCTGATTTCAAAATAGGTATGTTTTGATAGTTTTAACTACATCTGTTAGGTATTGGTATCTTTCTGTTTATACGTATGTGGACTGCACTGAACTTCTTAGATATGTAAAGATTACTTTTGCTTTGAGACGTTTTCTGTATTCCTGTATTCTCTCAGCACTGCCCCTCCTTCCCCCTTCCTCCCCGCTCCTTTGGGTCTCCCAACATTGCTGTGGTGGTCTGACCAATGGAGGATCAGTCTCTGAGGTTGTGTTTATTCTCTCCCCTCTCCTGCCCCTCCCTTCCCTCTCAGGGTTGTGTTGGTGGCTTATGTGTTGCTGTGACCACAACAGCTTACAGGAGGAAAGATCTGTTTTGGCTCCATGGTTTCTGAGGGTTTCAGCCCACCATGGTGTGAAATTCCTGGCACAGCAGCTGAGTTCTTGGTGGCAGGAAGTGTCTGACCAGGAAACAGAAAACCACTAGAAATGACCAGGCTAGTCTACCCCATTGCTCACAATTCAAGACCTGCTTCTGAAGGCTCCTGCGTCTCAGAGGAGGATCATTCGTTCACTGAAGAGCAAACATTCAAAACACAAGCCTCTGGAGACATTCATATTTAAATAGGGGGTTCTTTCTTATGTGGTGTGAGGTCAAGCTTTTAATTGCTTTATGTGATGTGCAGTCATTTGGCTTGTGTTTGTTTGTTGTTTGTTTTGGTAAAGATATGGCATTGCCTTGGCTGATGTGGAACTCATAGAGTCCCACCTACCTCTACCCAAGGTGGTTGCTGCTAGACCTGGCCCAGTTTCTTTTCCTTTAAACAGGACACATTGACTGGGTGTGGTGACACACACTTTTAATCCCAGGGCTTGGGAGAAAGAGGCAGGAGGATCTCTATGAGTTTGAGGCCAATCTGGTTTACACAGAAAACTCCAGGACAGCCAGGACTACATAGAGAGACCCTATCTCAAGATAAATAAGTCAATAAATAAATAAAGAGAATACATTGCTGTACTATACCATCTTAGTCAGAAATGGGGTGGCCAAGGCCAGAGAATATAGTTTAGTGCTAGAGTGCTTACCTAATATAAGCAGGACCCTTAATTCAGTTACTAGTACTAACAAGGAAAATAGAAATGAAAGATTCATATGTACATAGGCATGTCTCTGTGACTTTTAATTTCTTCCGGTGGTCTGTCTTCATGCCCGTTCCACAGTATCTAAATTGGTATAGCTTTGTATGTTTTGGAGTTCTTTGCTCTTGACTGGTATGGGTTTTGTTGTTAGATTTTAACGATTTTATTTTTATTATTCTCAGGTAGGTCTGAGTGTGTGCCACATGTGTGCATGTGTCCTCAGAGGCCATCAGATATGTTGAGGATACATGTGATTGTGAGTACCTGTATGGTGCTAGGAAACAAACTCGGGCCCTCTTAACTGAACTCTCCCCCTTGGTGATGGCCAGTCATGTTTTCTTCATCAGCTTTAGAGCCACTGAGGAGACTGGTAAGGCGTGCCTTTCAAAGTCTGTGAGGGTATTTCCAGAGAAAATTAACTGAGGGAACAAGACCAGCCTGAGTGTCAGTGACACTGCCCCCTGGCAGAACCCCTGTGGTGAAAAGGGAGACCTGGCTCGTCTAAGTTGCCCTCTGACCTCCACACCTGGCGTTTGAGCGTGCAACACACACATGCATGTAGTAAATTTAAAAAATAGCTGCCCTAATGGGTCTGAAGGAGACTCTTACTGTGTGAGAGATCTGTGGCCTGTGCTAGCCTCAGACTCTGTCCAGCCTTCCTGAGGTTCAATTACAGGCTTGGGCTTCTGTGCTCAGTTCTCATTGTGGTTTTGATTTTGATTTTGGTTTTTAATGATAACTGCTACCTTTCTGTTTGGCTATTCATATGTTATATGTGGAGGTTTTTTAAAGCCAGTTGCCCATTTTAGAGTTATTAGTTTATTGAGTTTCAGGAGTTCTTTGAATGTTATGACTATTAATCTATTATCAGATAAATGGTTGACATTTTCTCCCTTTCTTTTGTTACCTATGCTGTTTGCTGTCATTCCCTGGAGTTCATAAATAAATCCAATATCATAGGGATTTCCTCTGTGCTTTCTTCTAAGAGTTTTGCAGTTTAAGGTCTTTGCTATAGCTTAGTTGATTTGCAAATAGTGTAAGGTAAGGGTCCATCTTCACTCTTTTGTATTTATACTCATTTCTTTTGGGGAGGGCATCATTCTATGGATTTAACCCAGGACCTCATGTTGCTAGACAGCCCTCCACCACTGAACTGTACCCCCAGCTCCCTATAATTGAGATATGTATTCGGTGAATTTAAACTTGCGACTTGAATTTAAACTTGGCAGTTATTTATTTTAGGAGTTTTCATGCAGTTTCCCTTTTACAGGCCTTTGGTTTCTGATGTTCCAATTGAGCTTTTACCTGCTGCCCTGATGATTTTAAGATTAGTTTCTTGCTGTGTTTAAGATTTGTATCGCAGTGAGGTGGCCGGGTGGCTGGTTGTGGGTTTTGGTTTTTTGAGACAGGGTCTCTTTCCCACTGTAGCTGAGGCTAGCCTGCATCTCCCAACGATGAACCTCCTGCTCTGGCTTCCCTGTGCTAAGTGTACAGGCGTGTGTCTCTGTAGCCACCTCTACTGAGTTTCGACAGATCTTCTGCTAGACACTTAGGTTTTCATTTGGGTCTTGCTTGGTTTAACAGGGTTTGGGGTGGGATGTTTCTTTAAAATTTGTGATTTTATTCTATTTGGGGAATCGTCTTTGACTGCCTTTAAGTAGTATCCTGCAGAGTTCTTCCTGCAGCTAAACTCTTTTACTTAGTGCGCTCTCTTTTGTTTAATCCTTTATTTAGTCTTTTATACTTTGTTCTTAGGATTCCCTGTTTATTTTGTTTAACCTTCTGTTTGTTCCTAATTTTAATTAGGATAATTTTAGTTTGTTTCCATTTTAATATTTTTTGTTTTTAGTTCTGTGCTGAAAATCTCTATCCTGTATTTTTACAATGGTCTTATGTAGAGTGACGATATTGACTTGAAGTCTTTGTATCACCTGCTAGCTCTCATTTATACAACTACTGTGGATCTGATTCTATTGTCATGTCTTGTTTATGTTTGCTCTCGGCTGTTTTTTTCTTTTACTGAAAATTGATTCCCCCTCGAATAATATATCGTGATTACAGTTTCCATTCCCTCCCAGTTCCTCCCTACCCCTCCTCACATCCGGATCCATTCACTTTCTGTCTCTCATTAGAAAATAAACAGGCTTCTAAGGGATATCAATAAAATAAAATGTAAAAAGATAAAACGAAACTAACACATTAAAATTAGACAGAACGGACAAACAGACAAAAGGGAAAAGGTACAAGGCTCAGGGACTCATTTGCACATTCAGGAGTCTTGTAAAAACACTAAACTGGACTGAGCAATGGTGGTGCATGCCTTTAATCCCAGCACTTGGGAGGCACAGGCAGGCAAATTTATGTGAGTTCGAGGCCAGCCTGGTGTACAGAGTGAGTTCCAGGGCAGGTTCCAAAGCTACAGAGAAACCCTGTCTTGAAAAAACCAAATCAAACCAATCAACCAACCAACCAAACTAAACAAAACAAACAAACAAAAAAACACCCCACTAAACTGTAAGCCATAGTATATATGCAAGGACCTGTAGGGTTAACATGTGAGTGTTGAGTGTGTGTGTGTGTGTGTGTGTGTTTGTATCTGTGTATATATAATAAAAAGTAATGTATTTATGTGTGTATATATGATTAAAAGTAAGATAATTTTTTAAAGGAAAAAACCCTGATATCACATTGTGAAACAAGGAACCTCCAAAGGTGTCATTGAATTCATTTTCTTTTGACCATCTCCTGCTGGGCGTGCAGCCTACCCTTAAGAGTAGTTTGTTTCACCAGTGAGACTTCCTTGGAGAAAACTACATTTTTTACCTGGAAGTGGTGATCAATTGGAGATAGCTTCTAGATTAGGGATGGGGGCATGTGTCCACTTCTCCTTTCAGCCCAGGACCCCAACTGGTGCAGACCCATGCAAGCCCTGTGTGTTGCCTCAGTCTCTGTGAGTTCCTGCGTGAGGTGGCTGTTGACTTAGAGGACCTTGTCTTCTTGGTGTCCTCCATCTTCTCTGGCTCTTACTCTTTTTCCTCCTCCTCCTCTCCCTTGGAGTTCCCTGAGCCCTGAGTGGGAGGGATTTGATGGAGACATCCCCTTTAAGGCTGGGTGTTCCAAGGTCTTTCACCCTCTGCATAATCTTGGCTATGGGTCTCTGTATTTGTTCCCATCTCCTTCAGGAGGAAATTTCTCTGATGATAACTGAGCAAGGCACAGATATATAAGTATAACAATGTCATTGGGAATAATTTTATTGCTATGATTTTTGTTGTTTTTCTTATTCTTATTATTTTGTTTTGTTTTTCAAGGCAGGGTTTTTCAGTGTAGTAGCCCTAGCTGTCCTGGAACTCACTCTGTAGACCAGGCTGGGCTCCAACTCACAGAGATCTGCCTGCCTCTGCCTCCTGAGTGCCACCATGCCCAGTTGTTTTTATTTTATTTTTTTAAAGGACAGTGGTAATTTGTTTGCCTAGGTCCCTGGGCTACCTAGTCTTGGTTCCTGGTTACCCAGTCAGCGTCAGGTATGGGTCCCATCTGGTGGAGTCGGCCATAAGTGACGTCAGATATCGGTTGGTGACTCCCACACGCTTTGCGCTGTCATTGCACTAGCGTCTCTTGCAGGCAGGACACAGTTGTAGAGCAAAGGTTTGTGGCTGGGTTGGTGTTTACATTTCTCCTTTGGTAGCATGCAGCATACCTTTCTATACCAAAGTCACTAGCATATAGGGGTCAAAGCTCTCTGTGTGCACCAGCTCATCATCTCCATGTTTAATGAGTTGGGTGTTGTCTTCAGCAATAGGGTCTTACTGTCAGTTTGTGGAGAGCAACCTATAGTCTTGACAACAGCCTGGGTTGTTTGGGGTTCCTATGGGGGGGGGAATCCTTTGGCCAATAACTCAATTAGATGTAACCTACCCTCGGTTCTAGAAACTGCATTTGGTAACAAGAAATGTCCAATTGAGGCTCTGGCTCCCTATTATTTTTGTTTATTTTCTGCAGTGTCTGAGATACTGTTTTTGTAGGGTTGTTTGTAGAAATTTGAGGTTGAGAATAGTATCTTCTGACAGAATTTTAGTTTGTCTTGTCAGGAGCCTAGTAGTTCTACCATCCAGGATTATTGAGGTTAGTTTTAGACTCTCTGATTTAGCCTGCAGTCTTTGGTGGGTCTTTTATTTGCTGTATTCAGTATTTTTCTATGACTGTGATAAAACACCATGACCAAGAGAAGAGTTAATTCGGGCTTATAGTTCCTAAGGGAGAGTCCACAGTGGGGGGGGAGGTGTAGATATGACAATAGGCTCCTGTAGAGCTTCCATTTTCAACTGCAAACTCCAAGTGAAGAGTGGGGCAAGGCTGGGAACTCTCAAAGCCTACCTCTGCTGATGTACTTCTTCCAGATTGGCCACACCACCTTTCCCTACAGCCCCATTCACTGGGGTCCGTGGGGTTCAAGTCCCTGAGCCTATGTGAGAAACCTCATCCAAACCACCACAGTTGTTCACTCTGAAGTTGTGGGTGTGTTCTTTTAGTACCCAAAGCTGGCCTCCTTGGAACTCCTATCAACTTTTATGTGCATCTTTGTTACTGAGGTTGATTGGTTGTTGAAATCCTTAGAAAACATTGCTTAGCAGCTTATGTACTAGAGGAAGGACTCCAGATTCTGCAGTTTTCTTAGTGGGTCACTGTTCTCTGGCCTGATAATTTATTCCCTCATTTGCTCTTTGATGCCTTCCGCATGTGCTTTTCTTTTGTTTTTGATGGTGGTGGTGATAGGGATTGAACTTGGGTCATATGCGCAGAACACACACTCACTGAACCACACTCCCAGCCTCAAGCGTGTGTCCTTCATAACATCATTCAGCTCCTCAGCTGTCTTCAGGATTCAAGTTAGCCTCATTTACCTTGTCTACCAGTACTAGAGGTAGAATTTGCTCTTCCCGCAGAGTACAACGTAAATGGACACTCTGTTCTTTGTATTGCAGTAGTGCCAGGCCAACAGTGTCTAGAACCAAACTCTGATACATCGAGACTGATATTTGACAATTTAAGTTTAATGTTTATTTTGTTGACAGGTTTCATAAAGGGAATTGTCTCAGTTACTTTTCTTTTTCTGTGACAAAGGCAACTGATAAAGCTTTAATTAGGCCTACATTTTCAGAGGGTTGGAGTCCTTGATGGTGGAGCAAAAAACATGGTATAGGAACAGCTGAGAGCTCACATCTTGCCTACAAATGAGAGAAAGAGAGAGACACAGGGAATGGTATGAGCCTTTTTAAAACTCAAAGCCCGCTCTCAGGAACACACCTCCTCCAACAAGGCCACATCTCCTAATTCTTCCCAGTAGAGATGGTTGCGAGCTGCCGTTTGTTTGGTTGGTTGGTAGGAACAGTTCCACCAAGTGGGGGCCAAGTGTTCCAACCTATGAGCCTATGGGATCCCATTCTTATTCACACCACCACAGGAGTCGTTTATCTTATCCCATTAAACACAACATTAAACACAAGATATAAGTGATGGTTGCTTGCAACATATCATTGGTCTGCCTTGGTTTGGTTTGAAGACAGGCTCTCACATAGCCAGGCTGGCCTAGAACTCAATGACTGTGATTCTCCTGCCTTTGCCTCCAGAGTGCTGGGATTGCAGTTGTATACCACTACACTCCGTTAACTGCCCTACATCGTTGTGTGTGTGTGTGTGTGTGTGTGTGTGTGTGTGTGTGTGTGTGTGTGTGTGTGTGAGTGGGGGGGTTCCGAGACAGGGTTTCTCTGTATTGCTTTGGAACCTGTCCTGGAACTCCCTCTGTAGACCAGGCTGGCCTTGAACTCACAGAGATCCGCCTGCCTCTGCCTCCCAAGTGCTGGGATTAAAGGCGTGCGCCACCAATGCCCGGCTTCATCATTCTTTACAAACATCACAGTCAATCATTTCTGTACATTTGATTTCATTGATATACTGGATTATTTTTCCAGCATGTTAGAATAATGGAGCATTTTACTGTGGGAGACATATGGGCTCCTACACTGGGAATGGGACTCAGACAGGAGAATCAGAGCTTCTCTTCTGGAAAATTATAAGCTATAAGAACTATCTCTTCTCCCTAACTAAACTACAGAAGTAAACAGTTGCCAGGCAGTAGGACTTCACAAGTCCTAGACCACGTTGAGCGAGTGAGACACTGTCTCAACAAAAACAAAAGAATAGCATGTTTTAAAAAATTTGCCTTCATACAAGAAAGTATAGTTGAATTCTGTTTGTGTTGGTTTTTGGTTTTTTTATATATATAAGTGTTTGTCTACATATGTGTACTGGAGGAGACTGGAAGAGAGCACCGGATCCCCTGGAACTGGAAATCCATACAGACGGTTGTGAGCTGCCATACAGTTGGTGGGAACCAGCCTTGATACTCTGTACGAGCTGCTGAGGCTCTTAGTAGTCCCCTTCTTAGGCCCCAGTTGAGGTGGTATTATTGTGTTTGTAAGGTTTTTTGTTTATGTTTTTACCTTTAATTACTTGTGTGCATGTCTGGGTGTGGGTATGTGCATATGTGTGTAGGTGCCTGTAGAAGCCAGGAAGGGGTATCAGATTCCCTGGAGCTGGAGTTACAGGTGGTTGCAAGCTGCCCTCCTTGGGTGCTGGGAACTGAACTCTGGTCCTCTGAAAGAACAGTAGACTCTTAAATGCGGAGCTCTCTCTCCAGCCCTCTGGGTGAATTTTAAGATAACATTTTTGGTTGCTTGTATTTAAATTTCTTTCTGAGTTTTAGATCCCTGTGTTTTATTTTCTTTATCAAACAGGATTTGCCCAATAACATGATCCATCAGGTGCCAATCAAATCCCTCCCTCAAGAGTGGCTTTGGTGTGAAACATGGTGTGATGATGCTTCTAAGAAGAGGGCAAAGACGATCGACTTGGTGAGCTGCTTCCCTGCTGTGGCCTCTGACAGTGCTGGGTGGTTGCTGATGCTGGTTTGAGTTGGCTCTGTCTAAGTTGTGATGGGAGCTGCAAAGCGAGCGTGCCCTGGTCATTTCAGCAGGGATTTCTTCGCTTGCCACAAGGAGCCAGATCCCCGCAGCTGGCAGGGCCGTTTCTGCTGAGTCACTACTTGTCTTCAGTCCATCTCTGCTGCAAAGGATTTCCACTTAGCCTGTAAACTTTGTTGCCCTTGGTTTTGAGAGTACCTTTCTGTGTAACCTGGCCTAACCTTGAAGTCCCAATCTTTCCTCAGTCTCATCCATGCCCACCGGAAACCCCTTTGATATCTCTACGGTGTGCCATTTCTTTAGCTCCACTGAGATGTGTGTGTTGTGTTTTCAGTGTAATAATCCCATGACTAAAGAGCCCAAACTGGAAGCTGCTGTGCGAATCGTCCCCGAGTGGCAAGACTATGATCAGGAGATCAAGCAGCTGCAGATCCTCTTCCAAGAGGAGAAGGAGATGGGGACCCTGCAGGAAGTGAGGACACAGGAAGGTAAGTGTGGGCCTGGCTGGATAAGTAATTCTTTGTTTCTGGTCTCTGTCTCTCTGTCTCTCTCTGTCTCTGTCTCTCTCTCTGTCTCTCTGTCTCTGTCTCTGTCTCTCTGTCTCTCTGTCTCTGTCTCTCTGTCTCTCTCTGTGTGTGTGTGTGTGTGTGTGTGATGGGACATGCCATGTGTTTGTGAGTGCCACCACATACCTATAGCAGTCAGAGGACAACTTACTTTGAGGAGTCAATTCTCTATTCCTTCCATGTGGGCTTTGGTGATTAGACACCTTCCCTACTGAGCCAACTCCCTGACCCCAGAGGTTGGTTCTTTCCTGGATTACTGTTTCAGGTACTTTACAGTACAGAGAAACCTGCCGTTGTTTGGAGAAACCTTACAAGAGCCTTCATCTTTGTTGTTGTTTTGTGTGTGTGTTGTTTTCATTAAATCTGCCAAGGTACTAAAGAATGAATAAATTTAGATTAAAACAAATATATACTCATTTGAGAGAAAATAGTGTAAAATAGGAATATTGAAGTGAGGATGAAGTGCTTGTATTTAAACTGAAGATAAAAAAAGATATCAGACTTTTTTACATAAAACTCCATCTTTTATTCCATATCGTTTTATTACACTTCAAAATACATTCATTTATTTCGGGGGCATACATCACTGGGCATGGCAGCACACACCTTTAATCTCAGCACTCTGGAGACAGACAGGTGGGTCTCTGTGAGTTTGAAGTCAGCCTGATTATGTAGTGAGTCCAGACCAGTCAAGGAAACATAGTGAGATCTTGTCTCAAAACAAGAACGAAGTTAAAAAACCAAACACACATACAGTGTTGTTTTAACTGGGTGGCAGGAAGCTGAAAGAGCATAATGTCTGTGATGAGACTTGTCTTTCTGAAGACTGGTATAGCTCTGTGGTAGAACACTTACCTAGCATGTGCAAGACCCTGGATTCCACCCCTAGTGCTTCCAAGGCTAGACATGGATCTCTGTACAAAGTACCTCATATTGTTTACAGTCAAATTAGGGGTTTTGTCTTTGAAGCTGCTAAAACCTACAAATAAATATTTAATACCTTTGCCCATCCATACGAGTCTTAGCAGTTTACCCAAAGCTAGGAAGTGAGAGGATCGAGTGTTAGACTCATTTTTCAGCTACATAGTGAGTTTGAAACCAGCCTACAAAAATAATGAATAAACTGGACTTTGGGTTTTATATTTCTCCTACTTTTTAAATTTTTTTTCATTATTTTTATTACATTATTTTAGAAAAGAGATTGCTTCACATGTCAATCCCAGCTTCCTCTCCCTCCCCTCCTCCCGTTACCCTCCCCATTATCTCCCCCCCAGCCTCCCACCCTATCCCCACTCCCTTCCACATAGAGGATGTCCAGAGTCTGTCATTTCATTCAGGACAGGATCCAGGCCCTCCCCCAGGAGTCCAGGCTGAGAGAGCATCCCTCTTTGTGCTATGGACACACGAAGTCTATTTGTATGCCAGGGATAAATACTGTTCTACTGCCCAGGGCCCCATAGCATAGGTTGCCCAGGCCTTTTCACTGACTCTCACAAGAAGCAAATGCAGAGCTTAGGTCTTGAGTGACTTCACAGTCCATTCTGGAGACTGCCAGGATAGTAAGACTCACACGCTCAACACAAGAACAACTCGAATTTGGAGCAGGAGAGATGGTTAAAAGCACTGTAGGTAATTCCAGTTCTAGGGGATCTGATGCCCTCTCCTGAAGCCTTTGTGGGCTCAGCATGCATGTGGTACACAGATATACATTCAGACAAAACACCGATACACATAAAAGATGAAAATAAATACCTTTTTTTTTAAAAAATGAAATTCAGCCAGGTGTTGGTGGCACACACCCTTAATCCCAGCACTCGGGAGGCAGAGGCAGGTGGATCTCTGTGAGTTGGAGACCAGCCTGATCTACAAGAGCTAGTTCCAGGACAGCCTCCAAAGCCACAGAGCAACCCTGTCTTGAAAAACCAAAAAAATAAAATGAAATTCATTATGAAATTTATAAATGGACAAAGAATATGAACAAAATATTCAGAAGAAAAGCCATGTAGGAATAAGGAGACAGAAATAAGTTAGAGTCACCATTAATATCTGTATATCAAAAAACATCGATACGTTGGTAGTGGTGTACATGGAGGAGACAGTGGTGAGACTCTGGTGGATGAGCCTGACTGAAGCTGTGTGGCTCTAGAAAGCCCTTGTTAAAGCAGAGTGTTATCGGAGCCTCGAATCCTGTATCACTGGGGACAGCAGGCAAAATGACTGCTGCACAGCCTGATATGACATGGGTCTGATCCCCAGAACCCAGGTAAAGTGAACGGACTCCGCACAGTTGTCCTCTGACCGACACATGAGCACCATGGCATGTGCACACAGTAATCAATAAAAACGTATTATGAAAGAAAATGCCTCAATCCTCAGCAATTCCTCTGTTGAGAATGCATCTTAAATAATTCAGTACAAGGAAAAGCAATACACACAAAGAAACTTACTTTTCTGTTACATATCAGTCAGTAACATTAAAATAGTTTAAGGATCAGAGAAAACAGCTACCGTGGCACACGAAAAAGTTTGGAAGTGTAGAAGATCTCTGCAAAGTATATTGGCTGAGAGTCAGTACTGCCCTTTGAAAGCAATGTGGCCATGGTTCCAGCCAGCAGCTCTTAAAACTAAGAATGGGTCCTTTTATGTTTGCTTTCAGACTTTTAATACAAAATGACCAAACCCCAAGCTCTTGTAACCCCACCTAAGAGCTACAGTGGGGTGTGCTGTGGACAATGCTCACACTGTGTTTACAACTTAAGTCTTCCATTCTCTTGTTCTTTTCCATAGGACCTCAGGAACATGAAGAATTATGATCTTTGGAGGAAGATAGGAAGTCCCACCATCCGACAGTTTTTGTACTAACTGCTAGTTTTTCTCTGATCTGTCGATACAACTGCTGATGAACTATTAGGCAGGTGTACCACACCTATTGATTTAGACTACTGCACCCTAGTGGGTGCTGCATCTTTGGGGCTAAGGCTCTGTTGGATTTGTACCTCAGAGGAAGACGCGTGGCTGATCTTCTGGGACTCTCTTCACACCGGAGGGAGAAATGGTGGCAGCAACTGAAAGGAACTGAGTCCTTTGGTGCGCACACCCACGGGCACACATTGCTGCACTGGCTCAGAAGCTGGCCAGACAGCCACCATGTCCTTCCGTACCTCAGTTTACCTGCAGCCCTCGCTGCACTGCAAATGCCCACCCTGCACAGGTCAGGCCGGCAGATGCTTCATCCAAGGCCCGTGCCTCAAGGTCTATGCCAACATGCTTCTCACATCTCGTGCCCCATACTCTCTTCCCGAGCTCAGGCTCGTTGTTTAATCGAGCCCACCTGGTAATCATGTGTCTTCAGGGTTGGCTCAGTTGCTAAGAAATCAGTCTTCAGGAGAACCGGGGTGGCTTGAATGAGGGTCGGGGAAACTCCAAGCAGAGGAGTGTTTTGTGGTGTTCAAAGGTAGAAGACAAAAAAAATTGGCCATTCTCTTTCAGTCCATTGTGGCTGAATTTAAAGGAAGCTTTATTCTATTCACAATGAACTTTCTAGGTGATTGTTTTGTAAACAATTTTTATATTTATGAAAATGTTTGCTTTTTCTTCCTACTTTCTAAAAAACTATTGGTACAAGGTTCCTGGCTGGGCACAGGTGTACTGAGTTCCTCAATGATCCATCTCAGTGTACAGAGCCTCCATCTGATGGCCACCATAATGTCTGCCCTTTCCCTTGTAGAATTTTCTCTCAGACCTATGGCCAGGGATAACTGTCTCCAGAACTCAATTTCCTATACTGTCTTTTCCCCTTTTATTTTGACTCTGTGGGTTGCCTGTGGCTTTTAAGACATGCCCAAGGCCTGGTCCAGTTTTAAGGGAACTGCTGCTGTGTGAAGCAGCAGCTGTCATTGCTTTGTGTGGCCACAGCCACAGCCCAGCCTCACCTGATCAGGAGCAGCCTGGGCTGGGGAGCCCGGGACGTGGTGTTACCTGGCTGCACAGGTGTGTGGTGTCATCTCTGCCCAGGAATCAGGATCTGCAGCAGAGTTAGAGCACTGCTGGGCACTGGCCTGCCTTCTAGCTCATGGGGGCTGCTCTTCCCTCTTCAACCTTTTAGAAATGAGAAGGGAGCCGGGGTGTGGCTCAGTAGCAGACAAAGTGCTTGTCTAGCAAGCTCAAGGCCCTGTGTTCCATCCCGGCACCGCACCCCGACTCCCACCCCAAATAAAAGAAAGAGTGAGCATGAAGAGGGAGTACACATGGGTAAGTCCTTCACGTCTGAGCTAGGTAATACATGCGTTTCAAGGAAGGATAATCTGCAGTAGCCATAGTCGGGTTTTGAATGGACAGTTATTAAGTAATAAATAGTGAGAGACAGCAAAACAGCATTGATTGGGAACTCACACAACTGGAGTTGCCCACTGCGTGTCCTGGGCAGAGCAGAGTGATCCCTCAGGTAAGGCTTCCAAGTAAAAAAACAAAGAGCAAACCTAAAGTACCATCATCCAATTCGGTGCTCACAACATCCTGCAGAAACCAGCGGGGGACGCAGAAGCAGGCAGCTGGAGTTCCCTTTCTCCAGGCTGAGCTGCAGTGTTCCTTCCCCACTGCGGGCACTTTTGTAGCAGGGCTAGGCAGTAGCTGATTCCTCTGACCTTGGGAAGGATCTGGGAATGAGTGACTTCCCAGCTATATTCAAGGATGCCATATTTTGACTCATCCCCAGACGAAGGGCCTTGGAGGACACTTTGAGATAAACATGTTCCATAGCCAGCTTCTGAGCTAGCACATGACATCAACACACTGTACATTGCAACAAGAATTTTTAAAATAAAGATTTCACCACACATATATCAAGTAATTGATTTTTTCCCCCCCATTTTCAAATCCTTTGTTCAGGCTTCATGTCCACATTCTATTAAGCTTTCAGGGATGCCACTACCACTGTCAACTGTAGGCAGAAACGTGTTCCCAGTGTAGTGGGAGCCTGTGGTGAGCCAGAAATAGTCAGGTCACAGGGATGTGCTTTCAAATGTGGGCCCCAGCGGCCACTTCCTTATTTTACCAAGTCATTTACCCATCCTCCGTGGGGACGGAGGTGCAGAGTATGTCCTCTGTGGTCCTTCAGTCCCTCATGTGTCACCACCCTGACATCAGTCATTAATAGTTGATGCTGGATAGGTCAGACCCTGCTTGCATCTAAAGTTATTCGGGCCTTCCTCTGTCAGCTTCTTCCTTGCTTCCTGTGGATTAACCATCTCTACAAATTAGGCAAATGTCCCAGGACGAGTGTTGGTCTCATCTGATACCTCCACCGTGAAAAAGCATACTGTGACTGAAAATATTTTCCAAGAAGCAGGAAATAACTGGTCACATGGATGGTCCAAGCTTCTGGAAAGTTCGTTGTTGTTCTTGGCATGCGTGTATATATATATTTTTTTTTTCATCTTGTCATGTAGTAGTAGAAAGTTTCCTTTCTGAATCAGTAGGGTAGTGTGACCTATGACATGTCAGAATTACATGCACCAGTGTGAGTCGGTCTCTGTGTTCTATGGAAAGTGGCACTTGATTGGCATCTAGGGTGGTTGGGGCACAACTCTCCATCCTGGATTCAGTGAAAAGTTGACAGTATTGGAGTATTGGTTTCATAAGATAGTTGACCTTGTTAGTCTGGCAGAAGTTCGTTTCTGATTGAACATGTTTGTCTGAAGGTGCACACTTGTTGTACCGGGCCTGTCTGGTTAGAGGCAGGCTTCATGGCAGAGCTGGGTTTCCTCTATTCTCCTTGAAACTTTATGTTCTGAACCTTGTTGACATGTTTTATCTGCTCTTAGGCTGAGTCCCTGAGCGATGCACTGAGAGCCCAGTGGTATAGAAGGAAGAAAAGAATAGGAAGTAAACTTGAGTGGCATGATTTACAACTGGCCAGACAGCTCTCACATGGTCAGGAGTACAGAGTCACTCCTCTTGTCCCTATCTCTGTGACTAAATCTTTTTCTAAAATTGTTTTCCTTTTACCTGCATGACTAAAAGAAATCATTTGCCTGAGGAGTTGAGAGGAGCCCTGGTCCACTTTGCTGGATGGATTTCATGGGAAGCTGTCTAGTGGGCAACATCCTGGTGATGTGGACTCTTGACTGTGACTTCTGGGGCTCCGTCTTTTTAGTGAGTTGTCAAATACTTGGCTTCCTGGGGATATTGTGTGATGACCAGAGTCCATCAAATGGCTCATCGTGTTTCTTGTTTAGTAAGGTAGCTTTTGTTGTTGAAATTCATGAGCTCCTGTCTCTCTGCCTTAAGGTAATAAGGAAAGTCTTAATGAGGACTTTTCACATACCAGATCGAGTTCAAGCACATTAAACACTGTCGCTCAGGAAGTTACTGAAATTTCCAAGTGTCTGGAAGGTTCTCATTTCCTATTCATCGCTGGTGTTTTGTCTCTCCTTAATAAAAGAAAGAGCCCTTCTGTGTCCCCTAGCAGTGGTGAGTCCATGAATTGGGCAGAGTCTCCTCCTCATGTTGTCATTGAATGCCACTGGTGATGGAGTCAGCGCCAAGCATCAGCGTGCTGCGGGGAGTCCATGAAGCTGGGGGTGGAAAGCAGGGGCCACTCCTGAGTTTCTGGTCCCTGGCAATGTGAAGGGCCTGTGACTCGTGAGTAGGGCGTGGAGCCATGCTCTTTCCGCCTGTGTTTTCTGTGCTGCCTTACTTGTTCCCATTGAGCTCAACAGAGAAATGGGCACCATTCCCTCAGCCACATGCAAACTACACTAACCTAGTTGGCAATTTGAAACAAAAAACTTCCAAGTACTCTGTTTTCCAACCAAAAATATGAAAATGGAGGCAAAGCTTAGGGTTTTTAAAGAAACTGTGTCCTACTTTCCGTTCAAACCAGTACCTCACTTGGTGTGAGGTCAATGTCTGAACGTCATGGTCCAAAGGAATGCTGGTTTTATCATGAGAGGAAGCTCTGCTCAATACAATAAACTTACATCTCTCTTCTTTACATCTGCCTCGGTCATCAAACGCTCTCTCTCTCTCTCTCTCTCTCTCTCTCTCTCTCTCTCTCTCTCTCTCTCTCTCTCTCTCTCTCTCTCTCTCTCTCTGTGTGTGTGTGTGTGTGTAGGAGGGATAGATTGGTAAAGGACAGTCTAACCCTTCACCTGTCAGAAGTCACAAACCCTGATTGTCTGACCATAGCCAGGCCCCCAACTCTGGGACCTGCCCCCAGCAGAGCCTGGATGACAAGCTGCCCTGGCAGTGCCAGCCATGAGAGGCAGAGGGTCATTAGCCTCAAAGAATTCTGGTAGACCTCCTCACTGAGCTCCTCAGGAGGCATGTGGGCTCTGCCACACCCCCCCCCCCCGCCTGTTCTCTGAGCTGCTCAGAAGTGAAGCTGAACACGCCACACCACTCCGTAACCACTACACACTTGAGACCGCTGTGTCGAGTGTCCTTGCTCAAGAGGACCTGGGCCCCAGGGGGAGGAGAGATTCGGTGGGCAGGAGAAGCATCTCCAGGGAAATGATGCTTAAATGGAAGCCTGGCATGGACGTGAGCTCTTCTGTGTTGGTGAGAGACCTCCAGGGAGTACGCGTGCATCTCACTGAGCAGTCCAGGGCTGGGGCTGATCTGGGAATAGAGTCCTGGCCTTAAACTGGAGTTCTGACTTGACATGGGTTTTGGGGTCTGGGGGTGGGGTCTGGTGTGTGTGTGTGTGTGTGTGTGTGTGTGTGGACAAACTCCTTTCACTCTAGACTCCTTTTGCCTGAGAAATACTTACGTGGCCCTGAATATTCAAAATAGGTACATACGGTGGGCATTTATTGATAATAAATTATGAATTTATTTTAAGACATTGTTTGGTATACATATAATTTTATCATTTGTATTAGTTGCTGTTCTATTGCTGTGGTATGACAGGGGCAGCTTATAAAAGGAAGGATCTGTTTGAGCTGATGGTTCCAGATGGGATGAGAGTCTGTTGTGGCAGGGAAGCCTGGCAGCAGGCAGCAGGCAGGGGCAGAAGATGAGGACAAGCAGGAAACAGTGAGAACTGGAAATGGTGCATGTCTTTAAACTCTCAAAGCCCACACTCCCTCCCACAAGATTCTGACACTCCCCAGACAGTATCACCAACTGCAGACCAAGTGATTATGGGGGACATCCCTGGCCCCCATAGTCTCCTGATTGTGCCATACTGCAAAATGCGTGTAGTTCAACTTCCAGAGTCCCACAGACTTTTAAGTCTCAACACTGCTTACAAGTCCCTTCTGAGAATCAAGGCAATGTGTAACCCCCTAAAAAATGAAAAAGCGGGTACAAATTCCAACAGATAATAGTACAGAATATACATTACTGTTCTGAAAGGGGGGACTCAACAGTAAGAAAACACTGAACCAAAGAGCGAAACTGAAACCCTTAAGGGGAAACTCGGTTCTCTAGCTCCATGTCCTAGGTCAAGGGGCTTCGGTGACTCCTCCCCTCCAGCCTTGCTGCCTACAATATACAATATGCATCTCCTGGGCTGGCTCCACTCCCCGTGTGCAGCCTTCTGGGCAGCTATTTCACAGCTCTGGCATCTCCCGACATCTCATCTAAACCACAACACCATTTATTTTAAAAGGTGAAGCTATGTGCTAATGAAATGGATGTGCTAGGGCTTTTTGGTTTTGTTTGTTTTTGTTTTTGTTTTTGTTTTTTTCCGAGATGGGTACTCTGTGTAACAGCTATGGCTGTCCTGGAACTAGCTCTGTAGACCAGGCTGGTCTGGAACTCACAGAGATCCTCCTGCCTCTGCTTCCTGGGTGCTGGGATTAAAGGCATGTGCCTCCACTGCCCAGCAAATCTGCTATTTAAATCTTAGTTAAATGTTTGGTGCTAAATATTATGGAACACAGGTAATCTTCAATGTTCATTTTGAGTAAACACATAGTACAAATGGCAGAGGTGTTGGAGCCTCTCAGAAACTGCTGTTAACTCCGTTCTAATGATTGTGGGGTGTGTTGCGTGCGTGCATGTGTGTGCGTGTGCATGTGTGTGTGCACGTGCGTGTGTGCGTGTGTGTGTGTGATGCCTCGGCACATGTGGAAGTCAGTGGATAACTTCAGCTGTTGGTCCTCACCTTCCACTTTTTTTTTTTTTTTTTTTTGGTTTTTTGAGACAGGGTTTCTCTGTGGCTTTGGAGGCTGTCCTGGAACTCGCTCTGTAGACCAGGCTGGCCTTGAACTCACAGAGATCCGCCTACCTCTGCCTCCCGAGTGCTGGGATTAAAGGCGTGCGCCACCAACGCCCGGCCCTCACCTTCCACTTTAAGGTTGAATCTCCACCCATCACTGCATATGCCAGGCTGACTAGGCTGTGGGCACTGGAGATTCTCCTGTCTCCACCCCGCAAGCTCTGGGGTAACAGACAGTTGCCCTTTGACGTCTCCCTTTTTGTAATGTGTCTTACAGATCTGAACTTAGGTTGTCTTGTGCACTTTAGCTACTGAACCGTCTCCCGAGCCCTGTCCTCTAATGATTTTTTAAAAGTGCAACTTGAGCAGCACCTTTAAAACGTTTTTAAACTTATTTGTATGTGTGTGTTGTGTGCCCAGACGTGTGATATGTGTGTACAGGTACCACTAGAGGGTGTCAGACCCCTGGTACTGGAGTTGCAAGCAGCTGCAAGCCACCTGATATGGGTGCTGGGACCTCTGCAAGAGGAGGCAGTGTTTTTAATCACTGAGCCATTTCTCCAGCTCAAGCTGGAATATTTTTTAAAAATTAAAAATTTTAATTTAAAAAGTCAAACATCTGGGCTGAAGAGATGGCTCAGCAGTTAAGAGCACTGGCTGCTCTTCCAGTGGTCTGGGTTCAGTTCCCAGCAACCACATGGTGACTCACAACACACAGAATGAGATCTGGCGCCCTCTTCTGGTCTACAGGCATACATGCAGGCAGAACACTGTCTACATAATAAGTAAATCTTTTTAAAAATCCAACATTTAACACAATACAAACATGGATTGGTTTGATCCATGCTGGGAAATGGTGGTGGAAAGTAAAGTGTGTTATTTTCTGTAATCAAGCCATTAGGTTTCCCAGGCAGTGTTCATTGGCTCTGTTCAGTGTGACAGATGCACAGTCCACGTTTGTTGTATATAGAAGACTGCAGTGAGCAGTTTCGTCACACATGTGGAGCTTTGAGAATACCTTACAGGAGTTGGGTTTTCCTCCCAGGAATTGAACTCAGGTCAGTAGGCCTGATGACAGCCCTGTAAGAGTTTTTCTTTTAATGCCTCTTTGATCCAGACATGAGGTCTGTCCTCTGGAGTGACCTGTTAAGGTAAGTTCACCCCTCAGCCACCTCTGTCTTCGGGCTCACACTCTAGACCACTGATCAGTGTACCCTAGAGCAGTGGTTCTCAACCTGTGGGCCGCAACCCCTTTGGGGGTTCAACAACCTTTTCACAGGGATTGCATATCGTATATTTACAATTACTCATAACAGTAGAAAAATTATGCTTATGAAGTAGCAATGAAAGTAACTATGGTTGGGGGTCACCCACCACAAGATGAGGAACTGTATTAAAGGATCATAGCATTAGGGAGGTTGAGAACCGCTGGCCTAAAGCCTTGTCTGGACACACATGGGCAACTGATGTGTCCTATGTTAGCTGGAATCCTTCAGATGATCCCAGTTTAAACCTGCTCCCCCCTCCCCACCTCCTTCCCGTAAACCTCAATAGAGGAGTCACCCAGTTTACCACTCCCTCTGCCACTGCTGCCATGTCAGCTGTCCCTGGAGCTGGAATATAAAATAGGGACATTCTCTGTGACCCCCATCCCCCACCCCAGACTAGCCTCAGATTCTTTGTGTAGCCAGGATGGTCTTGAACTCTTAACTCTTCTTGCCTTTACCTCCCAAGTGCTGGAACCCAGGGCTTCACACGTGCCAGCCAAGCGCTCCACCGAGTCATACCCCCGGTACCCACACCCTTGTGTGTCTTTCCTTAACCACCCATCCATTGCACTCCTGGTTTTGCTTTTTGTGTATTTTCCCCCAAAGTGCTGGGGATCGAGCCCAGCACTCCGTCTTCTTAGAAACAAAGAAGGTCATTTTTGCAACAAAACAAGGAAAGTTACTTAAGAATTGACATCGACTCACAGTTGTGACCACGGTGGCGCTTGAGGCAGCTGGTTGCATGGGGCCTGCAGTCAGGAAGCAAAGAGAAAAACAAATGCTAATATTCAGCTCACTTTCTCATTATCATCATCCAGCCTAGGACCTCAGACCATTCCGTGTGCCGCCCACATTTAGAGTGGGTCTTCCTGCCGAAATAAACCCAGTGTAGGAGCATCCTCACAGACATGCCCAGAGGTATTATCCATCCTATCAGTGTTAAAAGTATAAAGTGCCAGCCGGGCGGTGGTGGCGCACGCCTTTAATCCCAGCACTCGGGAGGCAGAGGCAGGCGGATCGCTGTGAGTTCGAGGCTGGGCTGGACCAACAGCCCCGAAAACAATACAGAGAAACCCTGTCTTGTAAAAATCAAAAAAAAAAAAAAAAGTATAAAGTGTCACACAGGCCACAGCTGAATGCTGAGAACCAAAGGTAAAGTAGATCCCCAGGTTGCATGGTGGCCAATGCCTTTAATCCCAGTGCTCCAGAGACAGGCAGGTCAGTTTCTGAGTTCAAGGCCAGAACAAGTTCCAGGACATCCAGGACTGGACAGAGACCTCCCTGTTTCAGAGCCAGGAAAACAAGACACTAGAAGGAAATGCACAGATGATAACTGACTCCAGGGGATTGGGGAGCAAGTGGAGGCGGATGGTGTGGTTACTTTGCTACAGAAAGAAAACCCTGATGAGCCAGGCAGGGAGAGGTCTCCAAACCTAGAGGGAGGTAGAGCTTCCCAAGGGCTCTGAATACAGACTTTCTTGCCGGTTATGGGGCCTGGAAAAACTACTGATGGCCCTTTAAAAGGAAAATGATGCTCAGCAAATTTCAAACCCATAGAAA